AGTCTTTCCAGAAAATTTCTGGTATTAGATTAAAAAGAGCAATCTTGTTTTAGTTTTACGGAATTTATATATTTAACAAAGCACATTTGTAGATGGACAGCCTGATTTTTAAAAGCTTCTTTCTCCGACTTAGTGAAAGATTAGATCAGTGCGTCTGATTAAAGTCGACCTTTCCGGAATTTTTATAGTGAAAACAACACGATAAAGACCATCCGATAAAAAATCAACTGACAAAACCTTTTTCAATGGACATCCGCAGTCCTCTCGATCTCAGATTTGTGATTCATTATTAACAAAATTGCAATTTTGGTAATGTCTGCTTTGATTATTGTTAACTATATTCCTTTACTTTATGTGCCGTGTCTGTTAGCAGTGCTGATGAAAGCGCTTCAAATCTCCTACATCCCTGACCATTTGTGGCATGTCTATGGGAATCCCAAACATACTTAATTTCAAAATTCTCGCTCTTGGTTTTATAAATCATTTTTATCGTCATAAAATAGAAGAGAATAGCCCAAGTAAAGCGCGCTGCGCGAGCACCCTAAAACATCACGCCTATTTAGAGAATAGTAATATTAGCCTCGGAAAGACAAAAAAACCCCTAACATTGATGTCAAATGGAATGGCTGCGTCTTGTGACTATCGCTAGGAGGGGTGTCGCCGAAAAAGGGGGGGTTGAGGCTCCCTCTAGATTGACTTCTTTTGTTCTATTACCGAGCCAAACATGTTACTTTTGGTGTGTAAAAAGAGGTTGCTTCTTCTTCTAATGACAAGTTTGTCGAATTTACTTTTGAAATACAGATATCTCTAATAGCTGGATGTAAGAATTTCAAAATGATTGGTTAATACTTCAATGAGTGAAGTATGTTGAAAATACCCGTGGTGGCTAAATCTCTGGCGTGGCCATTGTTGACAGTTTTGATACAGTTCCTGTCCAACCTAAAAAGCACAAATTCGCAGAACTGAGAAGTGATGACAATATCCAAGAGCCTTTTCTGAACGGTCAGGATTGAGAAAGATTATCTCAAAGTATGTTCGTATAAAATTGTTTCTTGTCAAACAATGTAGCTAACTCACCAAAAGTATTTGATACGAATTTCGCTGGATACTGTAACAAGTACAAAAGCAAACGAATCAACGACTTAGTATTTAATTTACCTGTGCACTACCAATACTCAATGAAAAATTTATCGTATCAAACGACTGGTTCGAAAAACTCACCTTTGAGGATCCTGGATGGCTGTGCAATTTTTCTGACTCACAGCAAGAAAAACATTTATATGGTGGAAATATGATAAAGCTTTTTTAATCACAATCCAATAAATTTAAGAGCGTTTCCATGATATATTTTTAAAGTGGAAATATGATGACCCAAGAAGTATGATCAAAATAAAAAAATATGATTCAGATATCATGGTGTAAACGTGCCTTTACACATTGGAAATTGAATTAAGGATGATCTGATATGAGCAATCCTCGCGATGGGTCAGTCATGAAACAAAACTATTATTCAACCAATCTAGAAGTATTGTATTGCAATGCAAGACATTGCCACCAAGTCAAAAAATTATCATATCAAAGTTATAGGTACTCCTGGATAAGAGTGCCTTATTATTCAATGCAGCCATTGACAACTAAGGCCCAATGACAACTAAGTGCACCTTCGATGTATCAAAATCAGATACATTTTATTTATGTTGATAAAATATTCAGGGAATGTATAGTACAGAAAAAAGCACACCAACAGGTCTAAGAACCAGGAAACACCATGCAGGAATTCGTATTAAACAACACGTGTTTTGCCAGCATCATACTCAAAGCCAAAACAAGTCTTTTTCCTTTGCATCTTTTTTTAGGACGCCTTACATCGATTATCTGCCAGTCAAAGACTTCCTTCAACATCTGTATTTTGCATGTATCGCAGAATTCAATTATTTGCCATAAAAGCTAGCAGCTTTAGCAAGGCAAAATAGATTGTTCACGCTGTTGTTTTTTTGCTGCATGATTTTATCAATGTAATCAATCAAACCATCTGCCCTCCAAGCCATTGCTCAGATTTTTTTTCCGTTCAGGGTTTTAAAATTGCTCAAAGTGTAATGTCAGCAGTAGTTTATCCTGTGAAATGCTGTAAGTAGACTTATGAGGGGTTGAGGGGGGTCGATCCTCTAAATATTTTTATCGGGAAATTTGTTGCGATTAGAATAGGTGCTTGAGTTATCCAGCATGAAAGGAAACACTAATGAATTAGGTAATATTAACAAATTTGTTAATAAGACTTCAATTTTTAAGATTGATAATTTATAACCAAAAATATCATGCAACCAATGTAACCAATAATATCAATGCAATTCAAGTTGGAAAATGTTGCATCTGAGTCCTCACAATGTAGAAAATGAATGAATTGGCATAATTCTTCTTCTCTCTTCACAATAATTGAAAAACCTTTGACATAGCAAAAACTGGCTGATATGGCCAAGAGGGCACAGGAACTTTCCCCAACGGATCTCTGTAATTTGGTTACCGTAAATCACTCGAATGAAGTCACTTTAATTGTAAATAACAGTACCAAATACTTTTCTATAAGAATTATTCTGTATGGAGTTATGTCAAGATTGGTTATGTTTGAGAATTGTTTTTCTTCATGTATCTAAACATAAAATATTGGAAAACATTAGAATGACTTCCAATAATGAACAAATCTAGATAACAGTGATTTGTTAATGAAATTCAAATCATTCATTGGCCATATTGCACTCAAGCTTTAGAAAAATTAATTGGTTTTGCATAATTAGAAGCATTTCATGATATGCTTCAAGTTTTTATGGTCAAAAGCGAAATGCCAAAAAATGACTTTTTTGACGTCATTTTTGCATCAGGTATTCGAACATTCTTGTTAGGCGAACGACATATTTAGGACATTGCACACACTCTTTTGGGAAAAGTGTGATTTAAGACATCCAGATGACCTATCTAGAGGGATTATAAGCATGTGATATCTTCATTCATGCTTCACAGTATTGGGCTTACAATCGTTTATGTGCGCAATGCTTAAAAGGCTGTTGCTACAGATGATATCATTAAAACTTTAATCAAACGTGTCTTTATCCTCTTAACTAGGACAGGATTTTATTCTCTAAACCTTTCTTTTAGATTTCATATTTATACTGTGCTCCTGACCTAAATATTTTGATACTTCAAAAAATTCAACTTCAAACTTTAAGGCCCTAAAGGAAAGATTTTTGAAATAAAACTCATTAATCTTTGTCAAAATGGAAAATCGAGAATACTTTTTCAAGTTTGAAAAAGATAAGCCGATTGTATGGTGCCAGAAAAAATGAGTTAATTGCTAATTATTTCCGTTTTACAGAGCTCGTCCTACTCTGGGGCATGACGACGGAACCTTTGAGGGGTTAGTGAATTTGCTTCAGTTGCAATTTGGGTGGCCGCACTGAAAAATAAGTATTTGTTTAATCTTGTTTGGTGCGCCCAAAGTCAAAGTCGAGAATTTCCATTGCATATGATAAGTTAAGACTTGCCAGGTGTGTAAAATCTGAATATTTAGATATTTTACTTCTCTTTCGCCCATACGATCTGCAAAACTGAACAGGATAGAATCTAATGGCGTTCTGCAGAGACAAGGTGCCTTGACCTGTTTAATTTCACCGTGTTCTTTGATCACTAAAGGTCCTAATTACTGATACACTACATTATTTTCTTTATCTTATAATCTTCGTTTCTATGCTGTAATCCTAATAAGTAGATTAGGAGGAGAGCTGAAAAGTAAAATATAGAGAAATGATGGTTTCAGTTAACGAAAAAGCCACCATTGTGTAGACAGAAGGAGTTCGTTTTCTCTCTTGGGCTCCAGTGGTAATTTTTCTTTAGGCACGCGCCACTGATTGGTCAACTATGCCGGTCTTGTGCTTGCGTTTTTCTGATTGGTCTATTTCGATCCACAACTGGGTATATATTTTTCATCGTTTTCTTGCGGAATTTTATTCTGAAGTTTTATACTCAGATGAGTGTCAGACGAAAAAGCTTTTAGCCAATATGTTATAGAATGTTTGCTTTAAAGACATTTTCAAGAATAAGAGACAGAGAAATGTCTACATGAACAAAATGGCTGTACCTATTTTCTGACAACTCTGGGTGACTAAAGCTCTAACTGATCTAAGTTCTGTTTAGAAAAATTCCACTGCCAGGGTCGTTACAATCTTTTACCTTAACCTTCATAAAAGACGAAGTCGTTTCCAGTACATGTAACCAGCAAATTCAAATAGAAAGACAACACCCAATGATTGGAGATTAGAGTATTCCAATCAATTATTTATGCAGTATATACTAAAGCGCAGTTTAAGGTTTCTGCTTTGCAGATGTTTCTCACCCAAGAAACGTTTCAAAGATCTATATAGAGGAAAGGTGAGGAGGCATTTTATCTTTGTATTTTGTTGTTCATCATTGTGCTTATGTTTTATTGAGTTTTATATTCTTGGTCAATGATTTCCGTGAATTTTGTCTTGTATCAGTCACTTCAGTACTACGATGGCTTACCTAGAATGTATGGCCGGCGAATACATTCAAAGTGTCAAAACCGAAAGTTCTTTTCCGCAAGATACTGCGGTTTGAAAATTTTAATCAGCCTTCTTCACCGGAAAGCTGTCATTGTTTTCAGTTATTGTTCAACATTGCGATTTTGAAAAATTGAAAATATTCCATTTGATAACTTGATTCCGTTTTGTTTATACTTGCTGAAAAGCGCTGTCAATCTTCGTCAAAATTATTAAAATAAAAATTCATAATTTAGAATAAACAAGATCAGCAAAGCTTTCTACCGGGTATAATGCACTAGCAAAGACTTTATGCATTGGATTGGTGATTGTATGGAGTTCATACATGTAGCTCAAAAGGTAATAAAGACAATAAAGTCAAGCCTGCTTTCATGTTCGTATATAAAGTTGCTGTAGAGAATTCAAAGAAGTAAAAGTGAGTAATAATAAAACCTTGGGACTTTTTTAAGAGTGGGACATTTTATGACATCAACAATGTCTTCTTGGAGCGATTTTGAAACAGCGTAGCATTGAATAGGTCTTCAGAAAAGGATTTTCTAAGAAAAATGCTATCTTCCAGCCTAAAATATTTTTACTATTAGCCAGGATAAGCTCAATATTGAAAAGTTTCCTCAACATTCTTTTCATTAGAAGAAACCTGCATGTAAGTAAAGGTTATTGTCCAGTTTACGCTGGGCTGGATCTTGTTAACAATTACGCTTCTTAGCTGCATTTTCAAGCTTTCTTTTGAGACATCATTTCAGAACTTAACGATGTGTCTTCTAATTTTCCTTATAAATTTTCTAGGAACAGTTAATCGCCTTCCATAAGCAAATGTGTGAATCGAGCCAGCTGCACTTATGTTACAGTTTGCTGGCTAAGTAAATCTAAATGCTGGTGTTGGCTACATAGCGACAACAAGAGCTTACAGTTATATATAACAGTACACAAGATTGACTTTGATTATTGTACTTATCAATACATGGCTTTTTGTTTTCACCTCCAATTGAAAACAGTCTTAAGCATCCATTTTTAGAATCGTCAAGGAAAACAACAACTTAGAGCAGATTTTTTATAGAAGATATTCATTAATAGATTATTCTGATTTCCAGTGACCGGCCAACGGACAGCAGGCATGGGATTTTTTTTTAAAATATTAGAGAATCGAGTTTTAAAAACGAGAAATACTTTAATAGGCTTTTCTTGAAACTTAAAGTGGTTTTTCGTTCAAAACATTTGCAGCTGCTTTCATTACACAGCCGTTGCTTCCTGCATCAACCATTCTTGGATATCTCTCCGTTCCGTGAGAAAGAGTTTATGCCGCAAGATTACAGTATTTAAAAAATACAAAAATTCTTAAAAGGGCTCAGTCTATTCAACCAGTGTTGCAAGATACTACAATTTCCCTGAATGTTAATAAAACTAGCAATACAGAAAGTTGCTTAACATCATGCCAAGATTTTATATCTAATGATTCTCAAGAATGCAATTAAATATACATGGTGCGTATGGTATTTTATCCTAGAAACGATAATATAGTTAGCAAATAAATTGAGCACCAGAATGAAATAAATTTGTTTTGATAGTTGAAAACACGGCGTTTCGAGCATGTACTCATTATCAAGCAGCTAGAAAAGAAACGTTCCGAGCAAAGAGAAGGCGAGATTCGACGAATAGGGAAGAATGCGAGATGCTACGTAACCGAAACCAGGATAGGGAATATGAAGAAGGAATATATGAATATACATAGTAGAAAATAGATAGGAAAGGAACCTATTGTAGGAAATTAAAATGTTTAAAAAGTTTAACTAGTCTTGTTTTGGTTACGTCGCTTCTCGTATTCTTTCCTATTTCTCGAATCTTGCCTTCTCTTTGCTTGGCTCTTTTCTTTTCTAGTCACTTGATAACAAGTACATCCTCGAAACGACATTTTTTTGTGTTTTTATCTATCGAAACTAACTGATTTCATTCTGGTACTCAATTCATTTGCTCACTATATTATTATTTACCAAAGTGGGTTGCTAAGGAAAAAATATGCAAAATTAGTTTTTAAACTCATGACATTGTGAGATTCCAAGCTATCAAATTTTCCGGAAAATTTTTTATTATATTGTCTAATGTTTTGAACTGAAGGAATTTACGTAGAGGAAACACCTACTTTAAAAGTAACATTTGCCTAAAATATCCAAATTTAGACTTTCGTGCTTTTTACCACTCAACAAAAAACATGGAAGGCAGTTGAGTGTCACTTGTAAGTTTCATTCTCCTAGGTTGATATAGCGAAACATCCCCAATGGCAGGCTTTCGTAAAGCAAAACTTTCAGTTGTGAATCGATAAAATGCTTTGATTGCTTGCACAATTATGAGCCTAAGTGTTAGATAGACAGCAAGTTACATTTACTGAGTTTGAAATGGCTTTAAAAAATCAAATATTTTAAAAGATACTTGAAGTTTTCGTATGGCACTACTCAGAGAATAAACGTCAGAATCAGGGTTGAAATATCAAGCATAAAAATATATATCTAGTTGTGGAGAAAATCGTTCTTTATTCCAATTACATCTCAACTGTTAAAAGCTATGACAAATCCTACTTCATTTTATCGAAAATCATTCTTTGAAACCCTTAATTTTTTGTTATTGTCGCAATTCTTACTTATATTAGGCCAAAGTCACATGTTGACAATGGAGGTAGTTCAGAACTTTTTTCTGTTTCGGCGAAGAAAGTACAACGAGACTAAACAAATCCGTGTAACGGTGTGGAAACTGAGTTATTCATTCCAAACGTAATAGAACTTTTTTTGATGCGGCAAACTATCTCTTGAATAAAAATACTCTCATCAGTCTTTTCACCGTTAATAGATTTATAGGTGTCTAAACTCAGCGTATTCGCTCGGTTGGTAAAGAAAAACCATTCAAAGAATTACAAAAAAAGTTAAGTATTGACGTAGAAAATTATTGCATTTTTGTTACTTGTCTATATTAAAACCTATTTTAGACTTAGCGGAAAGTTCATAAATGGCTTTCGGACGTCGAAGATTGAAAGCTTTGTAGATAACAACATTTTAAGAATACGATATTTCAAGTGTATGAATGGTTTTCTTGTTCAGAAAAATACTATTTTGGCGTGTCGCTTCTATTGTCGCTTTCGATGTCAGACAAAAGACATAATTTTCTGCTGAAGTTTATATCAATTGCTATCACATTGCCGATATCCCAACTATGCATTGTATGCCAAGATTTGTCGCTGGTTTAATGCAAAGAGGATGAACAGATGGAAAGATCATCAATTTGCTTGGCTGATGCAGGAATGCCATGTTGACACTTACTTTACTTTCGAGTTCAGCTTATTGGCATCTAGCTTTGAAACTTCAAATCAAATATTTCTTTTAAGAAAACAAACAATGTTGATTTTCCTCTGAATGGAATGAAATCTCAAATCAAACACAACAGGACATTTCAAAAGAATTATTGTTGATCTCATGCAAAAGTTCTGACGGTCTTTGCAGAAGGCGACAGATTTTACTAGATTCAGACAAGCTAAAGTGAATAACATTCATGCAAAAAGATATCCGAATACCAAAACAATCAACATTGAAATTTCAATTGATGGTGGCAAAGCTGAAATGATTACGCATTGTATGCAGTGACCGAATCTTTGTGAAAATAAATGATCTAGCTATTCAATGGATATTCAAGAAATTGATGGATGTTCATCCCATTAGTTGATTGATTTGATTAAGTATTTAGGTGAGATGCAAAGGTTAATGAATTCAAGAAAATTAGTAAGATCAACATTCAAAGTCTGCAACTAGTTCATGAAACACGATCACCGTGCAACTCGGTTCTTATGTTATTTGATATTCAAGACTAAAAGACAAGTGCTGGAAATTGCTTATGAATTCATTGGCTCATGACGTAAGTTGTTTTTCAAGACATAAATTTCAAGAATAGCTCCATTTTGAACTCAATGGTATAGCCGCAATCCAATTTATGAAGCCTGATAAGAACCTAACATAATCACCGGTAGAGCTTTCCGTTTTACGTCGATGATCTTTTTATTTGACACTTATGTCGACGATTAGTTGCAAAAAGTTTTAACATAGCAAATTTGAAATGTTACTGTTAGTTGAAATATTATAGATAAAAAGCCCTTCATGAATATCGTTTTGATTTTTATCACCAGTTTTAGAGCACTAAGCATTGTGAAAACTGATTTTGTATTCATCTTTTGTCATTCTACCTGTTCTAAAAAGGTCTTAAAACTGTAGGGCCTATCCGAGTAGAGCCATCAATGGGTTTATACAAATGTAAAAAGGACTTATCCTACATCTGCTTGATTTAAAATCAACAATTTTGTGTAGGACAAAGAAAATATGTATTTACTAGTGTTGGTTTGTTTTATTTTTTTCCCACTAGTTACATTCTTAAATTTTTTGTCAGGCCAGATTACAACATCAAATGAAGGATTGTCCGTCGTGCCTATTCTGGCAAAGGACCCCCTTGTAACTCGAGTGGAGCCTGAGTATAAGTATAATGCGGATGAATAAAGTATGATTAGAATTAAAAAATGACACTACGCTACATTGATGCGATGATGTCGCAAAATTTTGGTTACGACGAATTTACAACTAACGCAAATTGAGCCAAAGCTATATTTTTCAAAAAGTGAATTTGATATTTAATACATTACGGAGAAGTGGCTCGTTTTGGCTCATCAAAAGGAAACAATTTTGACATGCCCAAACAATTGTTTTGATTGTATGTTTTAAATCATTAACCGTTATGTGTCTCGAATCGTTGCCATAATCTCTGGAAAATACGCATTACAGTGCTCTGTTTACTTCTCTGGCCCACCCAACTATAAACACCGCACACCTCCCCCCAATCCCACTTGTTCTCTTAACACCTTTGAAATAGTTAAAAATGATAGTATATGCCATGGCGCTGCAGCTCATTTTGCCAAGACTTGTTCGATGAAAATGATAAATGTGGTGCAGCTCGCCAAGGTCCATGTTATTTTTGCTTTGTTTAGTTGACTGTGTTATAAAGAAATCAATGAGACTTTGCATAGAGTTAGGGAAACATTTTATAAACGTCGATTTCACTATAGTGAAAAACTAAATTGATTTAGGATTCCAAGGCAAGCCATCCAAATGTGTAACATGATCAGATTGCAAATTTAGTTGATTAGCTGCAAAAGGCAATAAAATCATTTTAATTATACTGAATAAGAATATTTACATTTTGGTGATGACTTGGCGAATTAACATTTACGTCAAGTAAAATTTTGTTGGCTGATTAAACAGCATGTTTAACGATTGAAAAAGCATCCAATCTTTTTGCAGTTGTATAGTTGTATTTACATATCGAGTTAAAAGCCTGCGTAATTTGGTCAATCATCAGTTGATTAATTTATAAATCTATTTTCCAGGAACGCCATACATATTTGGTCGATGCTCCATGGCTAAAAGAATATCACCGGCAGATTGCTTACAGTTCTGAAAAAGACAATGACCAATACATATAACATGACCAAAGAAGAAATGTCTCTTAATGGCAGCTATGTTGAACATACAATTGGAACACCGAAGCCGAATGAAACAATGAGTAGCGAGAGTGGATTAAGCCACGTTGAGGTTGTTCTTATCACAATGTATATTCCTTTCCTACTCGTGGCAGCATTTGGCAATTTGCTTGTCATTCTAGTTAGGGTAAGGAAGTTTAAAAGCCATGGCCTATCAGCATATAAACAACTGATATGTCATCTCTCAGTGGCAGATATAGTCTGCGCAATGGCAATACCTCTTGACATTTATTTGAAGATCAACAAGAAGGATTGGCTTCAACACAGTCATACATGTAAATTCATCCAAACATCACTGTCAGCGTCATTGACAGCATCAATATGCATCCTGACAGCCATGGCATTTGAAAGGTATCAAGGCATATCCAACCCTTTGGCACATCACTGGTCAACAAAGAAGGTAGTTGTTAACCTTTGATGTTTATTTTAAATTTTTAAACATTTAATATCTATTTTTAGCCCTTAAGAATTTTTTGATGATCGCATTAAGCACGAAGTAAGGAACTGCAATTTAGAACTTTCTTGTTCTTCGTAACAAAATCTGTCTACATAAAAATTGTTAAAGATGATCACATTTTACAATTTTGTCAAAGTAATGTTCTGTGTATTCACATATTTCAGTAGAAGCTGACCACCATCTTACTTCATATGGTATTAACAAGTGGGCTAACCATACATAGAAGTTCTGCCAAAGTATAATTGATAATTGTAGTATAACTCAAATTGATGACAAAATAATTGTACAACCCCATGAAGTTAATACTTAAAATTTGACCAAGAAGAGCTTGGGCTGACCAACAGTGGCGACATTAAAAATAAATTTTCCTCTTTGACACTTAGACTACACAATGTTGATTTAATAACGAGCCTGGAGTAGTGTCAGCTTATATTTACTTTAAAGTTGACGTATGAGATCATTTTTGTAGGTCACCGTCCTTGCCATAGTCATATGGATTTACAGCTATGCCAACTTCATCCCATATGCTAGAGCTCTGGATGTAGAAGAAGAAAGATGTTCGGATAATCATTATCCTAGTCCCCAGTTTGTCAAGTGGTACACCCTTTTTCAGTTTTTCTCTAATTGGTTGGTGCCACTTATCTTCATCATTGTATTCCATTTTGGAATGGTGATCAAAGTTATCAGTCATCGAAGAACAATCAAACGAAGCACATACCACACGCCTTCGACACAAAACCAATGCAATAAACAACCAAGCAGAGCTAACCAGAAGAAGAGGAAGATGGTAAAGATCCTTGTTGTCATTGTCACCCTCTTTGCCTTGCTCACGCTTCCCAATCACATTTGGTATTTATGGTATGAGTTCAGTGATAGATCGGAGAAACAAAACTACAACCTAGCGATCTTAGAGATCTTTGCCGCATTCGTTTATCTCCACACTGCCGTCAACCCTGTCATCTACAGCATCATGGACAGGAGTTTCAGAGACGATGTCAAGATGCTATTCAACTACAAGCCTACACAACCAGAGGCTGTTAGAATGCGAGCAATCAACGGAGCAACCCAGGAAAGCTTTTAGACTAACCAATGACTAAAATGGAAACACGTAGACCACCATGTCAATGGCATTAGACTGTAGATATTTAAGCACGCTTTAGTAAATATAACTGGGAAACATAGCAGTTTTTAAGTGGTTTAATCACATGGTTACGGCTTTGGAACTAAACGGTACTTGTAGAAAAACTAAAATGTTATAGCAAAGGCACGTACGGTGTGCTGTTGTTTCATTTCCTTGCAATGTTGATCTGTAAATTACTGTGCTAAAATTTCAGAACAAAAGAACAAGCCTTTAGATGAAAATATCAAATTTGTCTTGACGCTGCATGAAAGAACTTTAAAAAACTTGTGGGATGGGTGACGGTATTTAAAAAAAAATTGTATGCATTGATGATAGAGTACTTAATTACTTACTATATAGCAGCAATTATTCCAGTTAACAGTATAAGCTTCAACCTACAGAATCTGAAGATATTATACTTACAACTAGCATTTAAAGGCCACTGCTCACATATATTTCATAGCTTTCCATTTGCTTAAACAACAATAAAATCGCAAGAAGGATTTTGAAGTTCTAGGTAGTCTACCCCAGCCTATGTGTCTTTGATTTGTATTTCTGGGCTGGAGTCTCAAATTGGACAAGCCAACCACCCTTCCTCCCCTCTCAGCTCCCTATAGTCTCGAACACTGATGTCACAGTGTTTTTTAGATGGTACTGTTATCTTAATGGTGTATACATAAAGGTGTCGGTACAATTCCTTGTATATAGCATTCATTATATATATAGCATATAGCTTTTTGTAAATAGCATTGTGAAGCTTGTTAGCATCAGCAGATTAAAATAAAAGTAGCTAGATGGAGTAAGACTATTTCTTTGTAGATCTTCTTTGAGCCTAGAATTGGCTATATTTTGGGCCAAGTTTCTCAGGCAAAAAGATCATTTCATCATTTGAGAGTATGCGAAAGTATTTCAGCACCAGAGCTAACGACCCTCAACAAATTGTTCCAAAACCCTCTTAAACGTATGCTAATATTGAAATGTTTTAATCACAGCTGAATCCATTAATAAGGATCTTTACGTACATAAGGAATGTATGTAGCAGGAGGATTTGATCACTTTTTGTGCAAGGCTCGTTGCACTTGCCGTTCCTAGCCGTTCCACACAATCAGAAAGTAAAAGCAGTCGATGATGTCAATATTATGTAATACACAATAACACAATAAACCATATACTTAATATTATATACTATAAACTATGTACTATATACTCTATTCTATATACTATATATTCTTTACTATATACTATATACTATATACTTTATCTTATATACTATATACTATATACTAGATACTATATACTATATACTTTATACTATATAATATATACTATATACTATATGTTATAAACTATATACTATATCTTATATTCTATATACTATATACTATAAACTATATACTATATACTATATACTATATACTATATACTATATACTATATACTATATACTATATACTATATACTATATATACTATATACTAATATACTATAACTATTATACTATATACTATATACTATTACTATATACTATATACTATATACTATATACTATTATACTATATACTATATACTATATACTACTATACTACTATATACTATATACTATATACTATACTATATACTATACTATACTATATACTATATACTATATACTATATACTATATACTATATAACTATATACTATATACTATATACTATATACTATATACTATATACTATATACTATATACTTTATACTATATACTATATACTATATACTTTATACTATATACTATATACTATATTTTAAATACTATAAACTATATGCTATATGCTATGTACCATATGCTATGTATTACATACAACAAGGATGAAAAATGTTTTAAGCCAATCAAATTGTTTGTTTACATTTTCAAACAGTCAATGGTAATGCGTAAAAGACAATGGAAACCTGAAGAGAAAATAGCATCTGATCAGACGCAACAGTAACGCTCGAATCTTCTATATAAAGGTGTGGGGAAAAACCGCTGCCACAAAAAGTTAACGCTGAATGGAAACATTTTCATTTTCAAAGAGGTTGATGCAATTGCGCCTAGTCAATGAGTAGATCTAAAACTTTTTCGCCCCCGTTTTTGAAATTTGGTCATAAACAAAAGAAAAGCGATGAAAGGCTCAGCCCCGTTTTGCCCTGATTGAATCTGCACACCGTGGTATGTTGTACCTCACAAAAACATTATCATTGCATTTCATTGCAAAACAAGTCTTACATGGTTTATGCTAAAAACTATGTACTGTATATCATACACTATTTATGCTATATACTTTGTACTATATGCCACAAAATATATCATATGTTCACAATTGCTCAAAAATCCGGATTTACCAGATTAAATTATAGTGACGAGAATCATAAAATCATATTGCACAAGCAAGATCCTATTTGCATTTAGGCAATTTGGAATCCATCTACAGCAGAACAAAGGATCCTAACTTGTGTAGACTGAAAGAATTCGGATTCTTCAACTGGGTAAGAGGTTAGCTGATGGAACCAGCCAAACGCACCATTCCTCCGCAATATTTACTTTCGATACGTATCTGCTTTTTTTAGTATCTGAAGTTTATGTTCTTGGGCTTGTTGGACAAAAAGCTCCTAATTATGTTATGATTTCTCTTTTCGTGCTTTTGATATCTTAACGAAGTTATGATATCTGAATTTGCGCTCAATTTTTGTGGATAAAAATGTGGTTGAATTATTTTAGCGTTATAATAAATTTTATAAAAAACGTTTGAGCGATTTCCATGCAAATTTTTTTGAGATTACAGCCACGCAGTAATCTGGCAGAAGGTTCGAATTTTTCAGTCGAATTTCAGGACAATTGTTAGAATTCCCAGTTCGTTTCTTTCTTTTAAAATTGATGGAAGCTGGGCAGGTGAAACGCTTTCATAAACATCACAGGTTAAAAATGGAAAGCAAAAATTTTAGTATTACCGAATATGTCCCTGCAAAGAAGGCACCGAAAAAAGAAGAGAGCTGTGAGTATTTCTGTCAAAATTTTCTTTTCGATTTATTACTTTCTAAACAAACACAAGAAGTATAAAAGTATACAAGTATGCTTTTCTTACACAGCGCGTGTGTTTATTTTCCACAATATTTGGTAAAATACTATGAATTTTGATAAAAATATGATACAAAAATCAACTTGATACTCAACCACTCGGTTAAGTAAGAGTGCTTTCATCTTTAGGTGAGATTGACAGCATGCTGTGGATATGGGGAGAGGATTCAGACAGAATGACTGAAATAGAAGCAATCAACAAGCAGCTGCTTGCCGAATACCCTAACGAACACAAGGAGCTCAAAAATGAAGAACTGGTGGACATAAAAGCCCAATTGCAAGAAGCAGTTGAACAAGAAAAGCAAGTACTTATTAACAGGTTAAATGATTCGTTTGAGAGACAATTTGAAGATAATAAGAGAAAAATTGAATTGGATCTAGAACAAATTATGGAGGATGAAATAAAAAAGTCCATCAACAGGGAAATGAAATATGCTGAAAGGCGAAAGGATTTTGAGTGCAAAAAAGCATATGCAAAGATCAAATGTGAAATAATCAAAGCAAAATTAGAGGGAAGCAAGGTATGCAACGTTGATTCTAAAAATTCTTTCTTTGATGTTTCTAAGGTCTTGGAAAATTGAACTTAACATTTCACTGAACAATAGCCAACAAGAAAGTACAGTGAAAAATCCCATTCATCTGCCCAACTTGCTCAACCACTGAGCATTTCTTAGAAAATATTTGCTATGAGTCATTAGGCCAATCTACGAGCCAATCAACAACAAACGTAAAGCAGAAATAAGTCCGAGACTCTGCACAGATTGGTAACGAAAATGGCTTGTAAAGGATCTAGAACTTCTCAGGTAATTCATCCGAATGCTCAGCGAAATGTTCAGTAGAGATTTAAATCTTAGGACCACTTGACACTGAACACAATCCAAATGGTCCAGTGTCCAGGGCCGTTATCCCCGTAAAATTCTGCATCTTTTACCAAATTGCATCAATTTTGTGTTCGGCATGAAAATTAATGAGAAAAACCTAACGTTTGCAACCTGAAATTTATGCAAAAATAGATATGTTCAATGATGATGGTAAAAATTGACTGACAATGTTACATTTTTGTTCAATTAGGCGTGTTTCTCTCTTACGAAACCGCAAATCACATCTGCTTAGCACAGCTGTTGCATCTTGTGAAGAAAGTAAACTACAATTCTTTTCATCTACATAAGGATAAAATTGCAATAAATTGTTACAATTTTATTTATCGTGGAACCACAGCTGCAATGTGTATGCGTTTTTGATGAATTATAAATGCGCAAAGAAGAACGTCGGGTAAAACAGAAAGATATTTGCACAATTGAACAAACAATATTATGAATCTGATACCAATGACTTCAAAGCTATTTGAATCAAGAATACAACACATCTATACTTAAAGTAGATTAAATGTTTTGAAAATCCTTGATAATTTCTGGTACCAGCTTGCAAATCGAAGTTGAAGCATGTCTTATTGTGATTGCATGGAAGCTTAAAGCGTAATGTATTGATAGGTTTAAGTGCGATGCCGACGGGTAGAGTAGAGGACGGGCTGTTTAAGGTTGGCATTGTGAAGCATTTTACTAATCAATGCAAACGATTGTTGAAACAAATACAATAATTGAAATAAAACAATACTCTAAATTGCAATTAAAATTCTGCATTATCTTCAGTTGCATGCTCACTATCACTTTGAGAACTTTCTTTGCGTTGTTTAAATTTTGATATTCTCGCCAGGGATTTTGTTATGGGAAGCTTACGTTTTCTAATCCAACGGCTGTACTTTTAGGTTTTCGTGCATTGATGTTGTCAGTAACTCTCAAGTTGTAATATACCACTATCTTACATAAAGTAAGGATCTAAATGCATCCTTGTTTGTTAAATTTTAGTGCCTAGCAACTATAGATTTCTTTCATAATTTCAATAGTCATGGTTCTGTCTTGACAGTAAACACGCTAAAATTAATACCCTTCCTGTGACGCTCTTAACTTTTTCTTGGGGATATATGCTGAGGCTCTCGCAAAAGCATATATCTTCTGGCTTTCTTTTTAACAAACCATATTTGCTTGTTGCCTGAAGTTCAAGGTAACGCGGACTGCTAGACTTTTTATGGACGGCTAGATAAGTTAAAGATTGCCAGGTGGCTAGACTGGTTAAAGGCGGCGCGGACGGCTAAATTGGCTTAAGGCGGCGCGGACGGCTATATGGGTCAAAGATGGCGCGGGCGGCTTATGGGTTAAAATCGGTGCATACGGCTACAAGGGTTTAAAAGCCAGTTATTACACTTCCCTTGCAAAAGAATTGCACCACTATGTTCAAAATGGCGGAACTTCTTGTCAACTTTTCAACCATACCAAACAAATTTGAATGCATAAGTTCGGTGAAATAGGCGTACTTTGTAGCAAATTTTGGCGGGAAAATCTTAAAAACCTTGCTAATGCCATAGAAGACCAAATCTTAAAAATTACGCAGAAAAGATCTTGTTTGTAGAAGTATAGAACATGCCTAATGCCTAAAGGAGAAAAAATGTCAAATGAGAGGCGAGTCGCTATACGATATTTATGAAAAAGAGGACTTTAATTTTCGAAAAAATTGTCGAGCAACTTAGATATAGCCACGGAACAGCTTTGAGAATTTAAAAATGTTTTCTCGAGAGTGTTTTAAGTAGCAAAGATGCCAAGCAGTGGACGTGTAAAAAAATTGATGTTGGAGGGGAAAGAATTTGTCTGTTTCACTTCACAGCCTTTACACTTAGGGACATTAAAGGACACGAAACTTATGGCTGAGCAAGGTTTTATAGCTAAAAATCCTTCCAGACAAAAAAAAATGATTGTCTTACACAAATACAAAAAAGGGAACAATTTTTACAACAATTTATTTCCAAACAAGAAGAATTCAAGTTTTTCTATAACGTCCATCAAATTCAAATTTTCACATCGTTGAAAATATTTGGCTTATTATGAAAAACATTACGATCCATGATTTAAATGGTTCTTGAAGAACCAAAGAATCATTAATTAGAATAATTCTTCAAGTTGGACACGAATTTCCACAATAATACATTTTGTTGAAATTCAGTATGCCTGAATCTGTTGGAATGCTTCTGAGATTTATTTTCACCTTATATCTCCGCAGTTATCAAAAAACCGGCGCCTAGAATTATCTTTATCAAGATAAGCTTTTTTCTAATTTATCGAGCAGTTGTCAATCTGGAAACAAGCTGTACTCAAGTTTAAGACGTGTCATTTCGTCTGGTAATTAACTATGGAGTTTTCTGATATTACTCACCAATTGAATTCTCAGGAGTCACAGATGTTTTAAATATTATGATTTTTAGCAGCATTGTTTACTTCGGTATCTACAATGCATGAAGTGATGTATTGACGTAAATTCTCATGAACGCCAAAAATAAAAAACAAAAACAGCGTTTCATTAGCTCTTTTCAGAAGAATACCGTATGTTGTGTTTTTTAAGACATCTCCGCATTGAACATCTAACTGTTTGAGTTATACCTCGTCCTAGTGATATATACAATGTTCAGTAAATCATCTTTTAGTCCCATTTTGTTCTCTTTTGCACCCTCTTTATTAAATTTGGTATCTTCTCTGCTCATCTTTTGTGTCCAGTTGGCTACATGGCTTGCTCATTTGCAACTCACACTTTTCTGTGTGTTCTACAACGTCAAACTATTTGATTTTTGATCTTAAACTTTAATTTTTCTACTTGTTCAGGCATTTGATGTTAAACATGGCTTTTTCCATGCTTCTCTGTGCCACATCCAATCCGTACCAGTGTCCATGTTTTCACACCACATGTTTTTGCTAGTAGTATGACTCCATTCGTTACTCTCTTTTCTACAAATTCAAAGTATTGATTTTTTCTCATTAATCAACATATTACCCAAATCTTTGCCCTCCTGTATCTATTCTTCTGTCAATTTTCGTATTTGTTTAATTTTCAGGTATTAGTAAATGACCTAGGTAACCATAATCATTTACTTCTATGATCTTTCTTTCTATTTTGACCAATGAACAATATCCTTCCTACGGTACTGGCTACAATCACAAACAAACAGATCCTCGAACTTTACATGCCCAATTTACATAAGCAATGTCCAAAATGCAATTGCAATATATACATGTGACTTTAATCACTTTCATACTCATTCGAATCTTGGTTGAGACAAGCATTGAAAGCCTAAACAATTCATTTGTTCTATTTGTTGTATTTGTTTCTACCTAGCATCCGAAGGTAGTTTTTAGGACACTGAGATGCTTGTGCTTATCGAGCAATGCCCTGGTCCTTCCTCTCGAAATAACAACACCTCGTGATTCCTATGCCTGGAAATGCAAGGAGCTGGCGACTCTCCTCACTCTAGGTGAAAGTTTTGCCATGCCTTGGGTCTCGAACCACGGACCCTTGGGTCTGTAGTCAGCGCCTCTAACAATTCATTTGACATACCGTCTAATCAAAAAATTGGCTATTCGTACTGATATCTAGTATGATACTGATATTTAAGAAGCTTAAGGCTTGGGTAGGTAGTAAAACGCTGCAGCTCATACATTTTAGCGAGCGTAACGGCGTTATGCCGCTTTACCCCTCCACTACACCACTGAATGCATGTACATACGGTTGCATACGGTATGTTCTAGTTATTTTCAAAAAGCAGCCTTCAAACACGTTGTGTAATTCGATTAACCCATTAACTGTAACTTGAATTACTCTCTAATATGAAGTTACTCTCTAAACCAGCATAAGAGTACATCAGTAAAAAATGTGAAATCTAAGGCTAGTCTCATCTTTGAGCAGCGTGCTCCTTACTTAAACCAGCTACCCAAATGTGATTCAAGATGCAGCCGGTGGGCTGACAAAAGACACAAAATTTAACTCGACAGCATGCAATATATTGGTAAAACAAACGTAATAAGCTGCAGCCTCTTTCTTGACTATTAACCTCGATTGGCGTCCAAATTGAAAATAACATAGCATGTGTCGAAATATATGAAAATATGGTTTTGAGCAAGTTCGCAGTTCAATTCATATTCCATTTGGAAAGCATTAATGAATGTGACCACTTAGATGAAACATTTAATTAATATCTTGCAGTGTTAACGTTTTTACTGTTTAAATAAGACTGCTACAATGCTGGCTTAAAGAGATACACATGTACCTTTTCACATATCGAATTACTTTTCATATTGGATTGAGGTTGCATTTACACTTTTGCAGAATGAAGTTACTCAGCAGTAAAATTTGAGCGGAACCATATCGCATTGAGTCCTCGTCGTGTAAACAGAATGCCCATCTGTCATGAAACGAATCCGGTCTTGAGTGAAACCAGTATCGTGTAAACAGGGCTTAAACGGTATGAAAAGCAGTCCGGTATCCTGTAACCTTTGGTGAATTTAAACGGATGAGTAGTTTGTAGCTACTGGATTGCCTTGGAACAAAAAACTGGCCTTAAACAAAATCGAGTTAATGAGTTGATTTGAAAGTTAACAGATGGCTCTGTCCAGCAAGTTCATGTGCCTCTTACATGGAATAACTTATCAATGCTTTGCAAAACGAGATAACAATGAGTGGTTTGCTTCGAACATTAAGTTTAGATCCAGTTAATCGAAATTCCCCATAGCAATTTTCCGGCCGTGTGAAACTAACAAAGATTTGCATCAATATCAAAAGCAGTTCAAAGATCGTAACCTTTAAAAACATCATATAGCAAAAAAGAACCACAACCCTTGGGGTTTTATCATTAGTAAAATATGAGAAATAAACTGTGAACCGCTATATAGGCCTAAAATTAAATATGATGATGAAAGGTCTTCTTAAAAATAAGCCACGTGCAGGGAGGTTATTTCATTGTTCTATTCCATTGTTCTATTTCATTGTTCTATTTCTTGGGTTGCAGCTGGAAACCAATCACACCAGGTGATCAGAATTTCAACGCGGCTATGAATTCTCACGTTTTTTGTTGTAAAAAATGTTATTTATCCCAAAATCTAGGTCAGTTTTTAGTGGCTTTACATTTTTCCATCTGCAGTTGTCATCAAAGATCAATCTCCAAATAGTTTGTTGTTGAGTCGAGTTTAGTGTCAGGACTATGTGTCATAAGCTTAAAAGTGCCATTAACTCAAACATTCCTTTTTTCTTCGACAGAAGCCTGCCATCATTCCCGAAATACGGCAAAAGCATTCAATTTCTAATAGCGAACGATTTGAATCTTGGATCCTCTCTTTAAAAGAGCAGGGAAACTAAGTAGGAAAACTGAGGAATAGTATAGATACCATTCTCTCAATTTTCTACCTAAGATGTAAGAGACCATTGAAATCAGAAAGAGACCATTGAAATCAGAAAGAGACCATTGAAATCAGAAAGAGACCATTGAAGTCAGATAGAGACCAGACCACTTTCCTACCTGAGATCATAAACCATTCCCGGGTAACGTCCGCGATAAAGTCTGGATAGCAAACTGACCTTTGGACTCTATTACCGTCAACCGTAGCAATGGTGATTTCCGATACATCAAAGACGTAATTTCACAATCACGCTATTCTAACGTCATGTCATTCACTAATCGATACTTAATTTCACTGTCAATTACCCTTTGCTTTTGGCAACAATTTTTAAGAAACTATCTAGGCTTTTGGGGAAAAGTCGAATTATACTTATTCCTCACTGTAACTATGTTGAGTACGGTTGATAACCTAAGGTTATCAAGATCGGCTTGGTGAAAGTTCTATGCTTAGGCTTGCTCCGGACATTAAACCTTTCTCTTCTTGAGAAGGATCCTAGTTGTTGCTCAGTGTCGCCACAGAAACTCTCTCTACTGACATTAACGGTCATAAGAAGATTTTCTGTTTTTTTAAGGATATTACATTCAGCTGGGGATGATGCCAAAATACCTCTCGAGAGGGTAACTAAGCGTAGTTTTGGACAGGGACGTGCCATTCTTGACCAAAATTGGGGCCCATAATTCCACACATGTCTGAAAAAATGTGACTCATAATAACGCCAACATGATGAAGTCTATACCCAAATTTCCGCAAAGCAAATAACATTTCTTAAAACACAACGAAATCATCCATCAAATTATGTATGTCCTTGGCCCAAAATTCAATTTTTCGCTTATTTCATACTTTCATTTCTAACTAAACATTCATTTTGTTCATGCCAAATTTCCCTCCTTAAAATTTTGCAATATTTCCCTAAATGACACTGATAAATCTCGTGTTTCTACAAATTACACCCATAACTCTGCACATATTTTAAAAATTGACATCGATAATTCCCCACTTCTCAGAGAAAAGGTACCCCTAAATAATGGAACGTCCTCTACCTCCAACCTATTAAGGTTCCCTCTCCCCTCTGAAAACTTCCTTCAAATCCATACGCACTTGAGAATATTGCATATTTTTCAACGTAAAAGTAACTGTTGACATACCAACTAGAGCATTTGACTGGGAAAGATACTCCGAATAAATGGGCAATTTTTGAAGAAAAGTTGAGACAGAGCTAAATTTACATACAGCCAGACTTCATTAAATTGTCATCATGTTGTTTCCAATTTTTTACTTTAGATCACTACTGAAGCTATATTAATTGTGGTTTTTCATTTCCATCGCAGATCTGCTTGCAATGTGGCAATCTTGAAGCTAGTTTTGCATGTGAATGCTTGAATGCCTTCTATTGTCGCAAAGCCTGCTACGAAAAACACAAATGGATTCACAAAACATACTGTGGCAAATTCAAGCAGAAATAACTAGAGTTTTTCAAAAAACTTTCCTGAAACTAATATATGATTAGCAAACTTGACTCATTTTATTGACTTCTCTTTCTTTAACGTTTTGTAGAACCTCATGTAATGCTGGGCTGTGTCTACGCAACAGTTTTCTAATTAAGAACACAATGACAGAAACTTTTTTACTCTGACTGTTTAAATGTTAGAAGTTACATCATAAATAATGCGCGATAAATGGGCATCCACTTTGATAGGGCATCCATTATGCATGATGTAGTTTTCCTCGAATGGTGGTGGCCAAGTAAGGGAAAAACTACTGTTTGTTTCAGCGATGTTTGCTCAATATTGCAGTTGGCTTAGCAATCTTGAATTTTTATTAAGTTTCAGTCTAAACAAACTCCTTTTAGGAAGAACCATATATCTTGAGCGATGCTCCATGTTCTTGTTTCTTGAATATTTTGAGGCTCAGGTTTTCTTAATTGATTTTTCTACAACAACACATTATAAAATGTTTCTCAAACCCTGAAAACCAGTTTTGCATGAAAGTTTTTGTAGCACGGTTTATTGACTGATAAAATTTTCTATTCTATTCTTATCTATTCTAATTATTCATCGGAGACTGGGCACATTCTTATGTTGCAAATCGAGCCTCGATATTCTTCGAAAGTGTGTTCCTACAAAAAGAATGTATCCAAGCTAAAATTGGAGGGGTACGAATGAAGTTTCATTTTTTACCTACCCTCTACCTTCAACCAGCCTATCCTATGCTAATGTCTAAGGCACACCCCATGTAAAGTATCGCTTTGGGAGAGAAGAAGGGAGTATGGGGGAATCCCTTTGCAAGGACTATCAATTAAATGTATCTATATATGTTATACAATTTGACTCCCAATCAATTGTGTGTAATTGTATATGTTTTCATAGATCCAGAAACTTAGAAAAAATATTTGTTTATATTTAAGTAATTATTCCTTTTACACTATTATTCTTTATTATTCCTTCGTAAACGCTAAATAATGAAAAAACGGGATCCAGGTTATGAGCCTTAGAAGGTAAAATTTCGTCAAAAAGATCATGGAAAGCTTTTCAAAATTTCATGACAGAGTTACGTCGGCAATTGAAACATAGCAAAGATAAGAGCGACCAATATTCACAAAGACAGAGCAATAATTTTTTCTAAATAATCAATCCTAAAGGTATCTACTTTGTGGGCGCTTACGGGTGTTTTTTGCTACAGATCAGCATTTCCAAAGATTAAAGTAAAGGCAGTTCAATTTCTCAGTTTATGTGTAGGCAAATGAAAAGAATTTTTTTAGTACTATATTACCCATAATACTGAAAGACAATTAGAAATGCTTTATTTGCGATACAAGATAGTTCTGTAAAACACCAAATTCCTTTTTGGTCGCTATTCCTTATGTTGAATTCCATATTAAAGATTTCTGTTATTGATCTTTAACTAGTATTTGTCACTGCCTAAGTCTGCATTGTCACTGATTGTACGATCGCCTTTGAATAGAATAATGATAAGCGTTGATTGATACTAATAGTATTATCAGTACTAATACTTCATCTGTGACTAGTACTATATACTAATACTAATACTAGTGACTAGTATTATCAGTACTAATACTTCACTCGAGGTATGCAGTGGTGAATCTAGCCTTAAAAATCCAAGGGGATAACCGGGGGCCACGTTTCTCCATTAGAGGGGCCTTTCTCTAAGCGAAGAGGTTTTTCGAATAAAATGCAGAGAAGCTTGGTTTGGGCGTACCATGCACATCCCACCCAAATCAAAGTGTTATCTTGTGATATCTTGTGTATCAAGAATGGTTGTCAAGAATGAAATTTTTCTAATAACTTCAGAAAAGAATCAAAATTTTTTAATTTTCTCTTTGATTACAAACCAAAATACATGTCAGGGCTCCTAGCTTGTTAAATAAATGCAATAAAGATGTATTGAGCAAAATGAAAGAAAGCTATTGTAAAAAATATGGCGGAGCGCTGGAAGTGTGTTTAGGCTATTGTTCTAGCTATTGTTCTCGTTAACCAATCCACAACGAGACAGATTTCCTTTAAGAATTTATTTCAAGCGCATTGCATCTGTTGTGTGAAGAGTTGGAAAGTAAATAATTCAAATCATAGTAATTCCATTATCTTCCAGGCATACTAACTAGTCGGTGACAAAAACTTCATCATGATAATTGCGGAGAGAATTACGAGTTCCGTCACAGCGAGAAAGAAGGAATCTTTACACTATCAAAAGACTGTTCAGCACTGCCAAAAGCGACATCAGAAATATCAGTGTTAACAAAAAGAAATCAGTGTATTTATCTACGAAAATGTTCGAGCAGAGAAAATCTCTGAAATAAATTGGTTCTTAAAATGTCCATAGAAATAAGAGACTTACGTGTCCTTTGCTGTCAGACCCGCCATCTTTCGCAAAATGCAAATTAGCTCTAACGAGGGATGTCGTTTTTGCTTACAAAATTCTTTGAGAAATGTCTTTGAGTACTACCCTTGTGCTATTTCTCTGCCATGAAAACCATTGTACCCCTCCCCAAGCAGCATGCTTTGCCCTTGTTTTCAATTCCAAACTCCCAAATTCCCAAATTGCTTCAACATGGAAAGCAAAGCCTTTTCAATTTTGTTTAGGACACTGAGATTAAATAAAAGAGGTGGGTTTTCAGTGGCCTGTTTTGTTCTTTACAAGCCAATGGTTGATTTGCTAGCCTTTTAAGGCACTTGCTCATAAAAATGATACATATTACACAATTTGATTCAAATTTTCTTATCATTATGTGTCTATATTTCGTTCACCAGAGACTTCATGAAGCTAACATGCTTACATGCAACTGTGTATCAACAAAGACTTTAGATAACAGAGACAAAGATGAAATAGAAAAAACTTAATTCCCAAACATACATAGTGATGTACAAATGCCATTTGTTTACAAATTTATAATTTTCTTCTTTGACTACAAACTTGTTCGTGCTCATCGCTATCAACAACTTGACATCTCTTGCTACAATAAAATACATTTCGACATTGACTGCAACAAGAAAGCTGACCAACTTTTCCACAAATGCATTTCTGTTGATAAAGACATGAAAACACTGGTTACTGTTTCCTGTGACATAGATTCCTTACAGAGTTCGCATCAAAGGTTTTCTTGGTACTTCAAAGGATTAAAACACAGATTAAGTATTTTAAAATTCAAAATACTTTTCACACAAATTTTCTTTTAAGCTCATTTAAAGACAAAGACAAAAATGTAAGATAAGGTGTCGGAATTAAGCAGACTGTGAATTGACTATAAAGAGGTAACTATCATGGAGGTTACATAACTGATCATGACCTTTTTCTCAACCAGGAATCTTCCCCTTTCTCGGTTATGGTAGAGAGGAACAACTTTAAAATTGGCTTTAATTCAAATATTGTTAAAATTCTAATGGGACTAGATACTCAACAAAATAAAATTCAGTTTGAGCTATTTGCTGTAAAAATGAAGAGCGTGAAATTACAAAAAGGAACTTATGTTCATGTCTTTATAACTGTCATTGCAGCTATAGAAAGGTTTGTTTCACTAAAACGCTTCTTCAAGAATCAACATACCTGAATTCTCAACCACAATTCTTGTCTAAAACTTTCACTCATTAAACTAATCTCGAAAGAAAATTTGAGATCAATTTCTGTCTTTTTCTCCTTTACTATCGCACCGATTTTTTTTTCAATTTCCTCCAACTTTTTCTCTCTGAAAACTTGTAGCCGCTCTTTATTCGCGTTTCCTTTTGACTTCCTTTCTTTCTCGATCAAGTCGCATAAACGTCTTCTATATATCTTGGCTTCTTCAATCTGATAGAATTCTCTCACAACAGGTCGAAAAGACTCAATAGTGTTTCCTTCGTTGCTGCTTGAAGGCAAGCATTCGCTGAGGCTCAATAATGCATCCGCCACTAGTTCCATGTCTTGTGAACAATCTTCCTGTGGCTTGTCTGATAAAACGGAAAATGCAGTCAGAGTTCATTGCAAAGATACATGTTTTAATAAAGTTCTCCAGTTATAAATATATATTTTTCAGAATGTTTAAATTTGGACCTGAAGGAGAATTAGGGCAGATATATGCCACACGATTACAAGGTTATACCCTTACAAACACCGTGATTTGTTGAAAACTTTATAAAGCAAGCCTGGACTTTTCATTGGTCATATTTTCATGAACAATTTATAATATATGTATCTGTATATGTATATTATATAATATATGTAGCTGATCTTGCACTTGCAGAGATAGTTCACGTTGTTCTTTCAAGTAATAGGATTGAAAACAATGAACTCTGAAAAAATTATCTTTAACCTTACACTTGAAGGATTTTAAAGATACAGTGTGAAAAGATGGTGTCGTTAGATTTAAGGACGCCATAAACACCATGTGAACCCAAAAATAATGCATGTTGCCTGAAATAAACTAAGTAATTGCTGCTTGAGTTTGCTGTGTGAACATTGGAATATTACTTGAGACTGAATTCGGTAATTGTCTCCCCCCGGGGGGAGGGGGGGTACTCCCATTAAGGCCTGACAGGGGTTCCAGTCCGTTTGAGGGTCCTACCAAATGGCTACCAAATGGCCCGTTTTCGATAATGACTGAACTGCTCAGTTTAGCTTGCGATTTGTTACAGATAATGAACAAAATTTATCTTTCCCGAAACAACAACTATCAATTATGAAGAAATTTGTCAAAAAAGGGCCAGGAGAGCACAAAGAAATGGATGCTACTAAGGAAATAATTTCAGTTTTTATGCTACCGTTTGAGGGTTTTTTTCAAAAAGTAATACCATTTGAGGGTAATTTTCTAAAATTTTAGCGTTGGCCCTATTTGACACTGAACGGACCCCCTTTTCAGGCCATAATGGGAGTACCCCCCCCCTGGGAAATGTTCATACCTGTTTCGAAAGCCTTCTCTTCACCTAGACTGTCTTCGCATCTACAATTCCCAATTAATTTACTGCATTCTTCAACAGCTCTAGTTGTCCCATTTCTGCCATCAACGATCCCATCTGAGCTGCTAATTTCAAGTGGTCTTTTACCGTTTTCTGACAAAATTGAGACGTTTTGATTGCATTGTACATGACTATGACCGGTTAAAGACTCGACCTGAGTGTCAAAAGAAGAATTCAAACTAGACCTATCGGCATAATGAATTTTTCGATTCTTGCCATGCGTTTCATCATTATTATTCTTCGCCTTTTCCCCAATAAAACAGCTGCTACATGTAATTGATTCCGTACATTCTCTGTCTGTCACTTCAAATTCATTTCTATTAACTCCATTAAAGTCTATACCACGCCCATCCACAGTTAAAGAATCCACGCGTGTCTTTCCTTCTGCTACATAATCAAATCTGAATTTACGGATGAATGCATTTGCTGCTAAAATCCCAGTTCCATTCGAGCTACTAGGGCGATTGTTCTCTTCACACAGACAAGGCTTCCTTTCACGACAGCTGGCAGACACCGCTTCTCTCGCACCAGTCATTTCGCTAAACACCTGAGACGTAGTGCTGAGGATATAATCGTGATCACTTTCAGGTTTTTCGTTGAACGTTGCGACATAAGCCCGTGCAACCTCGATCAACTTCTCGACGCCCTTGTCGGCTAATCGCTTGTCATCCTCTAAAGAAATTCTGTTCAAGATATCTTGTAACTGCTGAAAACAATTCTCTCTCGCACTGATTCTTATTTCAGCTTTCTGCTGCTGTAACTTCGTCAGCAACATATGGAGACGTTCTTGAGGAATGTCGCAGAGATTCTTATACGAAAAATCACCTTCCGACGTTCCCAAATATTCTAACACTCCATTCGCTGTCATACCTGGCTTTTGCGTCGAATTTTCTACTTCTGATTCCATAGTAACATCCCCCCTTTCATCTTCTTTTATATCTACCTCAGCAGAAATTGAACTTCGGTAGCTTCTACACGTGGTATCAGTTGAGCTAATTCCAAATGTATAATCCGAATAAGAATGTTCATAATTTTCTTTATTGGCGTCAACTTCATCAATATTTAATCTATTTGTTTTAAACTTATCTGAACATTCAACAGCTGGATCCAACTCCATTCCGGTTATGAAATTCATAGGACCAAAACAAGGTATTTTTTCTTTTTCTTCCGCTTCTCCAACATCCATTCTATAATCGGCGAATCTTTGATTGAGCTGGGCGTTATTATCTATGTTATCCATTTCTGACCGTTTTTCACTCGGAGACTGACCAAGATTATAATATTTCTGAGTCTGATCGATGACTGGAAACATTTTACCACAAGAAGTTTGAAACGAAATATCACTTCTCAAAGGAGTATACTTAATATGCGAGCCTTTTTTGACGTCGACAGTTGCCAATTGCTTTTCGGAGGAGAAGTAATACGGCTCTTTCCAAACCTGATCATTATAAACGTTATAACTTATAACCGGGCAACCTCGAAACATTTTTCCAAAACTCTGATATTTCGACGATTCATCTTTAACTAAATTGTTCGTGGAACATTGTCCATCTTTAAACCTATTCTTTCTGCCATTCCCTCCTGCGACCTTCGGTGTAAAATAAACATTCTGTTCGCTTTTGCTGTCAAGTTCCATTCCGAAAACAGTATTAATATTATCATCGCCTCTTCCTTCATTCGAAACATCAACTAATTCATTCTCCGTAACCCCAGTTGAATCATAATGCATCTTTTCAAGAGGCTTAGGCCATAGCAGGTGAGTCGCTACACAAACTCCGTCACCTTTAATGGATGTATTCCTTGGCATTTTCTTCTCTATATACGAAACCTCAGTGTCACTACAGCAATGTTCACAGTGCAATAAAGTTCTTTTCGCTGAATCTGCAGCTCTCAATGCATTATAGTAAGAAACCGGTATTGTTACTGTAGCATTTGCGCTAATAGATCCCTTGTTTTGCGCTGAATCTTCGAGGTGATATACGCTCGTGTTTGTATGACAATTGGAACAGCAAGTTCTCTCAATATTGCCGTTAAACGCTGCTACACTAGTTGTCACAGTAATACCGTTGCTAAAATCATTCGAGGGATTTTCAACATTCGATCCAGCGTTGATATTTTCTGGTGTCTCTGAGAATTCCTTGTGTTCTTTTTCCCTGCAAAAAGCGCCTAATGAACGGTCAATTCGGTCTGCTTCGTTATTTGCTTCTTTGCAGCTTTCTGTTAACATTTCTTGTTGATTCATTATTCCTAGAAAACTGCAGTTTTCGAGACTGGCAAAGGTAAGTAGTTCACAACGTGGACAACTTGAATATCGATCTGCAGCCAGATTACAACTTTCTTCTTTTTCCGTCAAGCCTTTACTTGGTGGCACCGCCAAAACATTTTTGCAAAGACCAACCATTTTCTACAGTCTTATTTGCGTATCGTCCTCTATAAGAATGAAAACTCAACTTGGAAAACATCTTGAAGCTCTTCTATTGACTGCAAATCGAAACTTTTAGCTCTATTAATGAGTGCATTCTTTTAATAGCAAAGCCTTCCACTAATTTGACGTAAGATGCAGCTACTCACGTCAAATAACATTAAAATTTTTGCGAGAAATAATTCTTTTCTTTATCTCACGCAATAAGCGTTGCGACAAGACAAGTTCATTGGTGCGTTCATCGGTGAATTGCGTTTATAAGAACCAAAATAACGATAATATAGTTAGCAAGCACGCAACGTACATATGTTATAAGAACCAGTCTGGCATCTTTTCCAATTTGGTATAAAAAGGGCCGTCTCGCGTCTCGCGTGGTAGTTTAAACGACCAGAAACAACCAGGCTCAACTTGAAAGAGCAGTGCGTGCAAGGAAGACTAGAGGGTGAAAAGCCAGATTCACAAGATTGACGGTACCTGTCATAAAAATTAAGCAAGTAGGCACCATAGAGATGGTAGGCGCCCAGAAAGAGAATAAGTAGTCAAGTAGTTTCTGTAAGCAGAGCAGGAGTTGTTCAAGTTACAAAAAAAATAAAAACTTAAGTTACCAAGTTATCATTTAACTAAGACTCAGATTAAAAATTATTTACTCAGAAAAATAAGACCTAGAGTAGCATTCCCATTTAAGTTACCTCGATGCGAAGTTCGTATCAAAGATCATTTATAGAATTATCATACGGAGATAAGTTTGAGTTGAGCGATTCATCGTGCTAAGGTAACGTTGGAAATAAAATGATTTAAAAAAAATCCGTCTTTCCTTGGGTATATTATATTATATAATTGCATTAACATTAAAGATTTTTATGTCAAATTAGAAGGTTTCAATTTTAGAAATGCCCTTCTCTATTATCGGCCTTATTTTCGAAAAAAAAATTCGACAATTAAAACAAATAAAGATGAAATCAAAGAGTACTAAAAGCAAAAAAACAATCGTCCATTAATTAAGACACATAAAATTTCAAAGGCAAATGCACAAAGAAAAATGCACCAAATGCGAATACTTGTCGAATACCAGTAACAAATAATTTTAAATGCCAAAAGCTACTCTTACACACTAAACGAATCATACACGATAGTTTTAATGACGACTGAATATTTAAATTTATCGAGGGATTATACAGATAAAAACTAGTTACCAAGTTATATTCAAGAAGAAATTTATTTACATTTCGATGTTCAGAACTTTGTTCGCATTTCTATTTTTCTTTTCCCTTCACCTTTTTGTTTTCTTTAGCATCTAGCATTGTTTCTAAAAAAATTGAAAATAAATATCTAAATCTCTAAATCAAGTAACGAGATAAGATAAGAAAAATTATTAAACATCTGCAAAAGGAATGGGAACAGAACATTTGACGTTATACTGATGAAAATCACTTTGAAACCTTAGGGTTGATGCAAAAGGATTTCACATCAAGGCACCAACATTTATGTTGCCTGAAATTGGTGGAATATACATATTATCTTCATGCTTGTAAACCCAGCAACTTCTTCTTTTCATGACATTGAAAAGAGACATCAATTCTGAGTGTTCTTAGATTTTTCATTATAATACACAAAGAGACAAACATTTGGCTCAGAATGGAAAGCTTTAACTTTTTATAAGCGGAAAATCTTGCTTATTCCTACCAACTCTGTTAATTTGTGAAGCCACCCCTTCTTTTATATCTGGTATGCTGAAAGGAAAAATTAGCCTCAGTTGATGCTTAAAAAGTTTGTAAAACAAAAAAAAGCAGCTTTTGCTTTTGAAATAAAATCAACCTTGTTATCTATCAAAGCATAAATTCATAACCTGATGTGGTTTCAACAAAAATTCACTATTTGCTAACTTTTATTAGCAAAAATACTGGCACTGGCAGGTCTTTAAGCTAGCAATAGATCAGAAAATACAATTTGAAAAAAGGTGGTAAACTTAAGAGCCCAAAATCACTGGCATAATGTGCATCAAAACTGTTTGATCTGAGCTACTGTAATATAATATCCTTAATAATTTTATAAGACTAGACTTACAAAATTTCACTTTTGAAACAGATATAAGAAAACAAAAAGCATTCTACAAAAGGGATGTTTAAAAAGATTTCACTCTTTAGAATTATTCTGCTTGAATTTTACACTTATATATATTCCTTGAAAAGGCTAAAACCTGAAAATGCAAAGACTTAGCAATAGGTACCTGTCTTGAGAATCAAAATCTACAGTAACTCTTGAATCTTTCTCTTCTGTCTTAAGTTTCTTCTGTTCTTTCTGCAAAAGATATAAACAGGCTACAAATTAAAAAAAGAAACTTTCATCTAAAAAGAACATCCTCATCTTTATAAAATTGAAAAAAACCGCTATTGTGTAGACAAAAAGGCTGTTGTGATTCTAGGACTCGATTGGTAATATTTCAGTTGGTCGGGCAACTTTTACGTGTCAATGGTTATTATTGCTCTTTATTGATTTACAATTGGTTTAATTTCCTAGCATAATGTTTTCAGTCCATCTTCTGATGTTTTATACTTTGCAAAGTGTGAGACACAGAGACGGAATTACCAAGACACAAAATCAATCACCCCAAACAAAATCAATTAATAGCTACCTCTAATGTTGCATTTTCCATGTCATCAAGCAATTTATGTCTCTTTAGCTCATTGACTACATTTGTCATTGAAGCTATCTTTTTGGGTCTCTTCCCTACAGAGAATCATTTTGTTACTGGCAAAATATTCATTAGAATTACTTCCACAATTTCCAGATTCTCTAAATCATTGCCACTTTGCCATATCTAAACAGCCTTGTTAAACATTGCAAAAAAGGTTAACTGCAATGCATTTTAAAAGATGAAGAGAATAAAGGTAACTTAATTTGCAATGACCAAACAAACGTCCCAACTTTAGAATTAACAAAGCTTACAAAGTGACTCAACCAGGAAAGGTTTTCAAGACAAACTGTTAACTTTGCATACAAACTGTCCCTTTTCATTAGAGAGTAGTATTCAGCTAAACTCTAACCTTATCAGGGCTTCCACTTGGAAGAAAAGGTCTTGAAAAAGGAAATTTGAGTTTTTCGGAGAAAAAAGAAGGAAACAAACTTTATGTAGGATTCTAGCAGACGACTTTATGTAGGCTGGTCTATGCAACTGTTTAAACACCACTGCCTATTCATTAGTTATATCATTGTATCACTGATATATCAATGTTTTAGACACAATGTATCATTTAAAGGAAACATAGCTTCAAGGTACAAAATTTTTAATTACAAAGAATTATTATAATCATACCAGAAACAGGTGTCTTTTTAGCAGAGGAGCTTTTTGCTACATATGGTCGTTCTTCATCTTCTTTGTAATCAAATGCTTGATACTCAGGCCTAAGAGTCAAGATAACTACGAATTTTAAATCTGACATTTAAGACTACTTATTATAAGATACATTATAAAAGCAAATTTTTGTCATACTTATTAGGTTACTAACCCAACTGTATAACAGCTCTTCTCTAAATGCATGAGCAAGCAAGCAAAAACTTGAATACTTTAACAGGCAATCAATGTGAATTCAGCCTAAGGCAAAATTATTTTACTTACCTACTTTTAGATTTTGATGGTGACTGTCCAATTGGTAAGTGATAGCTATCTAATTTTGTTACAACAGAGTTGGTTGATGACTGTGAAGTTTGTGGTTGAGATTCCTTCTTAGTTTGACCTCTTCGTGGACATTTACAAGTCAACTCTATCCACCCATTTTTTTCTATGTCTTTGTACAAGAGTGCAATATGCTTTGAAATAGGCTGCTGGCCCTCAAGATTGTATAACTTTTTCTTTTTTCTTTTCAGTTCTGGAATATAGAATGTGTGCAAAACTGAGAAAAAAATTTGACAAATGAAACTTTATTGATTAAAGGCTTTAAAAAGGTTTTATACTGTTTGAGAAGGGGAAGAAAGATTTGCTTAAAAAATTATAAATTTGTCAATGGATGGGGACCAATGGGCATCAGTGGTAATTTAGAGGCAATGTGTTCTTATAATCAGCATTATTTGAGGAGTTGTAGCTAGGAATAATTCAGTCAAATTGTAGAAGTGCTGAATTTATGTCAGCAATTCATCTTTATCTAACAATCATGCATACAAAGGCAATCTATCCAGGAATCAGAGCAGTCGTGCTCTGATTCCTGGGAAAAACAGAGCAGTTGTGCTAAGCACCGCACACCTGAAAATATCCAGGCGTGTGATGGCGAGTGACATTTTTTCGCAAAAATCTATTGTTAATCATAACATGTCTATACAGAAATTGCCAAGACAACAATGATTGCAGCAATAAACTTGCTGTAAAATTTTGAGCAATAGAAAATTGATAAACAAACAAATTTAATGAAAAAATGTAAATTTTAACAAAAACATGTTTTTTCTGAAGACTTGAGCAAGCTTCTACAGAAGTATAAACTGGGTACATACATATTTTTCATCATGTTCTTTTGGACCCTTATTCTAACGTTTTATGATTTGAGGAGTGTCAAAAGAAAAAGCTTTTAGTCAATATGTTATAAAATGTTTGCTTTTGTCAAAGCAATTTTCATGAACTTATTTAATACATCAGCGAAAAACGGCACTTCAAATGTTTAAATATCATGAGAAATTTTCATCAGCTTCAAAAATGAATCCTTAGTAGAATCATTGAAGGCTTGGCGCACATCTGGTTGTAATGACTGTTTTTGCATGTAAATCCGTGCCCCAAGGACCCTCGGTTATCAAGCATGACAGCTATTTCATTTACCTCACTGGTGGGCCATTTTTCATTAAATTAAATGTTGCCAAAAGTTAGATTAAAAGCATAGCAAAATCTAAGAAGGGGGCTGTAGGGGAATAGCGAAATCTGCAAATCTGCTACTTTTATCAAATAATTTGCAAATCTGCTACTTTCACTAAGTCAGCGATCGCGCAGAAAAATACTTTACAGTCTGGCCTCTAGTGTCAAGGAAAGTCAAGGAATTCATAGATTATACTATAGTTAAGTATAGAGGGGCATCATTGCTCGCAGCCCAAATGCTTCTGTTATCAGGTCACAGCTGATAATGTGCCATTGGTCGCAGTGACGCATCGGCAAAATTATACATGTATATCAGCCAGGCTTAGCTGAGAAAGATAGAGCCTAAATTGGAGGGGAAGTAAAAATCCATCATACACACTGTCAATGTCATATTCCGTCAACAAGAAAAGACAAACTTTGCAGCCTATTCCCTATGTGTGACATGAGTGTATTCCACCCTTCTATCATGGCCCCAACATCATGTGCAAAGAAAAATATTGGCACAGACTGAGGGGAGAGTCCTTTAATGTCGAAATTAGTTGTCTCCTTTAGAATTGAGCCTAGGCAGCTGGCCTGCATGTTTTAAAACATTACAAGTTACCTTGATCAACTTTAGTACTATTTCTTGCAGATGTGAAAGCTTCTTCTTCGTCTTCACTGGCTGATATATTCCAGCTATCGTCGGACGTGACTTTGTTCTGCTGCATTTTCCAATTTTACGACTCTTCTGCAGCCATAAGTGCGGGACAGTCAGCGCATTTGACAAAATTTGCGTTCTTTTGCGGTAAAGTGAGTTACATGAAACTCAAGGTTTATTTCGCGAATTTTTTGCGAAACAGGCCTCGCTCTGGCAAAGCCTCGGTTTATTTTTCAAAGTTTGTGTTTTGCTTTCTGCTTGCTGCAGTTGCTGCAGTATGTTGTGTGATTCGCGCCGTTACAACAAGAGGCATATACATTTTCAAGAGAGAAGTCTGAAGAAAACTTCTGAGATACGTTTTGTTGCAGTTTAAGAAATCAATGCCAACCATGCATCGAAAGCTCGAAAATTAATCGAAAAGAAATTACCTTCAACATTACCTATATTCAGAAAATGCGGGTAATCTTGTTGGCAAAGATTCTTGGTACTTTCAATGCGATTTGTTTTTGTCTAGGAGGTAATTATGCTAAGTTAAATTAAGATAATTGTAAATGTTTTAGTATTTTGTTTTAAATTGCGACAACCTTCATTTTCGATTGTGCCATAAACAGTTGTGAAAGGTTGTGTTTTTGGCTAAAAACATACCAGAGGTGCTGATCTTTAGGGTAAGTTTGCAATGCGAGATTTTTCGAAATTTGATAGTGCACTCTTTAAAATGGGGCATGGACATTATAAGGAATAGGTGTCAGCTTTGGCATTATTTTAGTAAAAACATGTTTTTCTTACAGGAAAAGTTGATGTGACTCTGGATCTGATGACTTTACCTGAAAATCAACTCAATGGATCTTTGCAAGTTCAACTTTCAGTTTTAGCTCAAGCTAACAGGGTATGTTTCATGCATTATCTACACTGTGGTTGGCTGACAGGAGTTATTACTGATTGAAATTTTGTATGATTTCCAGGGTGAAATCCATGTAGACCTGAAACCAAAAGTTCTACATCTTAATGCTTGCCCCAAAATTGCCTGTATGTTTTTCAGAAAATGTTCATGTTTATTAATGTCAAATTTGGCTGCATTATCTGTTGTAAAAATTTGAGAGACATACCATTGTGCAACCTTTTCAGTTTCCTTCATAGCCTTAAGTAGTTTTGTTGTAAACTTTTGATTAATTTCAAAACCCTGTCCATTTTAAACCCTTGTGCTAGAACTTTAACAGGCTGGGTAATTCCCAATATTGATTAACCATAGGGGACATGATGAGCTCTGATGAATTTCAGCATGATCTCTCTTCCTAGATTTTAACACTCTGTAATTTTGACGTAATCTGTCATACAATTGCCTGATGACATCAAGAATGAAACTCTGAGTAGCAACTTAGAATCTTCCTGTTCTTAACACTGAATTGTGTATACTTGTCTCTTGTTCTAAAAAAATGGGAAATGTGACATCATCTTATTGAAACAATAGGCTTGCCCCCCCCAATATTTGATCAAGTGTCCACCTCTGAGCTCTGCCTATAAGGCATCAAACATTTTATGACAGACCAGTTAGATGTAATTTTTCATTTATCTTTAATGCATATATCGAGGCACATTATAACATTGCAAAATATTACTTAATGCCTTTTCATCCTTAATCTCTTTTCACCTTGCTGTTTTTTCTAGTATTTTATCCTTCCTTTGTTTTTGCCAAAGCTTCAAACAACAAACAACTGAAGCTATCATTTTTGTTTGCAATCAGTTCTGAGCTCTGTGTTGAAAGCTTAATTTCTATCTTTATCACACATGGTATCCCAAACAAACTCTAATTCATGAGTGACTTTTGTTTCTAGGCTAGATTCAAATTCCAGAATAGAGTTTATTTGAACAGGCCTGGTAAAAGCTTTAGATGCACTAATACAGAACTCACCATAAGAATTTTGGAAGGCAGGCAGTAAATGCTGCGAAGGAAGGCTGCTTTGATAAAACTAGTGAACATATCATGTCTATATGTCTTTTTATTGTAACTATCTCATAGAAAGAACAACAGATAATGTAATTCAAATCACACAATGAGGTCTTGAAAAGCCACAAAGAAGATGAATTTCAGGCCAAGCCTTGTAATGATTTTCCTCATCTTTTGGCCCATTCCAAATAATTACCCAATGCACAAAGAAAAAAAACTTTCCTTTAATGTAGTATATGATATAAACAGCTATTTTTAGATTAGGTTTTATTTGTTATTACTGCTCAGTGTTCTTGTTCTTGGTAATTGATTTATCTATGCTGTGCATTGATTTTCTATTCCATTTCTAGGTACATGTCAGCTGTATTCAGTTGCAGTTTGGTGTTAGAGCAACAAAATTGAATTTTAGTTCTGTTACAATTCCTGTTGGGAGCAGAATTGGGAATGTTTTTTTCAGGTAAGTTTGGTTTAAAAGAAGCTTGGACAAAATATTATGACACAGTACAATTATTGCAAAAGGTTTATAAGTTATACCAGACCATATTGTATGTTATTAGGTTCTTTCTACAAATGCAATATATTACAAACAATGAATCAGTCTTTGTTTAGATGAAAATAGGCTACAGACTGCATTTTGCATGCCTTGATTATTTTGCATGTGGGATGGTGTGTGATGAAATCTGGCATTTTTCATTTCTGTTATCAGGAAGTATAGTGTTCATTCTGCTTCATAAACTGAACAGAAGCAAAGGAAATTGAAGGAGAAACTATCCTTGTTTTTTTTAAAATGTTAAATTGAATTAACTAATAAATTTCCAGGACGTAATTATGCAATATTTTTGCAATCACTTGAAAATATCTGAATTGAAAAATGTTCACTGTTTGTCAAAAAATATTTTACCATTTGATCAGGCAACCTTTCCAAGCCCTTTTGTTTGACATGAGTGATCACTTGTGATCACAACAGCACTCAGGTAAACTCAGCCACACAAGCAATTCATCATGCCCACAAAATGATAAATTGTGAGGAATATTTCATCAATTAACACATTTCCAGTCATCTTTTGTGTAACCCAAGCAAGTGAAACACGATACAAAGTTAGAGTATCAAAATACAGGAAACATAAGTAAACTGAATAAACACATCTCAACAGAAAAATCAATTCCACCGCATATGTTTATGAATACTATAGGCACTTCCAGGTTATTGAATTTTAAGAAATTTTCCTCAGAATTTTTTCATTTGGGTGTGTTTGGAGGCATAAACATGCTATAGCACACCTCATATTACAAAGACTCTAGGATTCTTGAGGGAAAGCTGTAGGATAATTTAGAGCAAATGCCATGACACAGCTGTATGAGTGAAAAAACCCTCGTGTTATCGCAAAGGGCATACAAAACCATACAAAACACGAAAGTTGGCAAAGGAAAAGTGGCTGGAAACCGAACTAATACATGTCAGAAATATAAGAGCAACGTCTCATTCGCCTCGGCAACGCCCATTCCACCGAAATTTTGGCTACGTGAAATTTGTTCTGATACACATCTTTGAGCCATACAAATACTGTATTCAAATATTTTCATAGTCTAAGAACTACTGTACCGAAAAAAGAAAAATATTTTGTGATAAGCTGCTATGATACTCTGTATATAGCCTTATGGAAAACTGTTTTTTAAATCATTCTCCTGTTCCGTTTATAGAATTTTGTCCCATGGTGATGCAGTTGATGTTGCCTGTTCTGGTTTTAGTGCTAATAATGGTAGCCAATACTTTGCCAATAATTCAACAGGAAAGCTAGGGTAATTGACAGATTTTGTTGAATTCATTATGTATATCAGTGCCATGATTTATCTTACCTATTTTTATATTTTGTAAACATCAATAACCCATAACTGATTTTGGCAGACATATTTTATATAATTATCTTTAAATTTATCTTTAATATTCAATAAGTGCTGCAGGAATTGCATCAGAGAAGTTTTTTTGCACTTCAGAAATGTAGGATGCTTATCGCAAGCCTTGTTTATGACATTGCTATATGATATCTGACTAAGTACCGCAAAGTTTAGAATTATTCTATCTTTAATCCTCAATTAAAGTCAGGATTTTCCTGCAGTTGAGCATGAAGTGTAGCATGAAATTCCAATGATTTATACATTTTCCTTCAAATCTTTTTGCTTCTCAGCCAATATTTATTTTCTGAAATACATACCATCTTTACAATTTTTATTCCCTTTTTTAAAAATCTTTTACAATGTTAACAGATTTAAACCACATTCTACTGCAACTTAATTCATCATCAGTCATTCATTTGCATGTTGATATCCTGCACCAATTTATTTTTTATATGTAACAACCTTTCATTTACAGGAGAGTACTGGTCACCAAGGCTCCAGTTGTCAGTATTTGCGACGGTACAATTTTTGTCAAGGGTTATGTGAAAACATTTCAATCATTTGTTGTCCATCTAAGGTATATATGGGTCATATCAACTTGTTTTCTCATTTATCTAATTTGTCACAAGGCCAGCAGTTATCAGTCTACTGTAAATAAACGATTGTGATATTTTGTATTTATATGAACAAAGACATTATATTTTGTTTTAAAAGAATCAATTTGAGGAACTATGATCCAGGCTGAAATTGTTGAGATACTGACTTAAATCCAACCTAGCTACATCATCTACAATCTCCCATCCAAATCAATGTTGCAATAGGAATTGCCAATTCTGTAATGGATGAAAACGCCATCTGTGCATATGGTATGAAATAAATCTCTGGATTTCATTTTTATCTAAAGTCTTCAAAGTGAATGGGTCAGCTTAAATAATATATCCAAGTTCTGTGTCTTGTTGCTTTATTATCAAAAACTCACCCACAGAGAATTTCCCGTTGGTTTTTTTTCTCCAAGGTTGCTTCAGAGTTAAAACATAGCTTTATTTCAAGCAAAAAACATAGTCGCCCTGTTTTTAGTCATTTTTTGTTTAGACAATCCCAAACTGTGTCAAGGATTGTTCTGTCTCCCTGCTATCCTTTTCTAATTTCATAGATACACTTCTTCCCTAGTGAATCAGCCTTGAGCACAGTTGTTGTCCAATGCTCTGTTACTAATGAATCATTGTATGATTCTACAAAGATGAAGCTAGAATTTATAGAAGCAAGGATTCTACGACAACAGACCCAAGGGGCGGTAAGTGTTGCATTCATTCTTTGTAAGTGCAATATTTCATCCTTGGGGGTGGGGGGGGGGGGCTTGTTTAACTTGGAGAAAAATTATATGGATCTACCTGCCAGAAAGTATTTTATAAACCTATCCAGGGATAGAATTCTGTAAAAAATTTATACCTGTCCGGGAATAAATTCTTAAAAAACATTAAACCTGTCCTTGAATAAGATACATATAATTCACTGATGATTGACTGATAACTCTTTTTGTGAAAAGTTGATTCCAAATTTGAGATTCAAGTGAATAACTCTATAAGCGGACATCACTTTCATTTTCATGAAAAATCTGACCTTTTCTTGTAAACGTATCTACAATAGGCATACTTGCGCTGGAAGAAAGAGACAAAGTTTCTAACCCTTTTCGGGAATTTTCGGAATTTTCAGCCGAAAATTAGAGCCTGTTTGCAAGCATATCCCCAGGTAGTCAGATTGTTAAGTAAACCCTCCGAGATTTTATCAAGATTCTCAGAGAGACGCTATTCAGCGTTTGAGAGAAGTGCTAAAAGGGACTTGTTTTTTCTAGAACATTCCATTCTCGTTTTAATTTATTACAGTATTTACTTTTTTGTTGATTACTCGTTAAGTTTCATTTAGAGATCGACGACTCTGACACTTTGCCTTTGTATGTGTGATATGCCAAATAACCTGAAATACTCGTGCTGCATTATCTTACATCTACGAAACATATTTCAGTGAAGATCTCTTCCTTTTGAAGGTCCAGTTTCGTGTTCTAAATGTCGGGGGATCTGTACGTGTCATGTGCCGTGCACAATCCGAATCTTGTGTGCCTGCATCTCCAGTCACCAATATTTCAGCTGTTTCATCGCCTTCCTCAGTTTCAAACTCAAGTTATGTGACCTTCGTTGTGACATCTGCCACAGGAAAAACCTCTGTATCGGCAGTATCTTATAGTCTAAGTATGGCCTCATCGCCAGTTCCAGACACAAATGTGTTGAATGCTGCCAGTGTGTCAGCCTCTGAAAACATGACAACAGCAGCTTCTATATCTACTAGTGCAGAGTACGCAAATGCATCTTCCATTGCTGCTAACAAGACCAATTCGTCCGTCACTTTGACAAACCTGTCTGTATCAGAGATTCGCAGTTCGGCCCTTAAAAATCTGATTTCAAATATGTCTTTGATTTCGTTTGCTGTGACAAGTAGCCTGAACGGGACGAGTCGCCTCTCAAGACATCTAGTGACGTCTTCAGCTGCACCCACCCCAGTGCCAACTCATACTCCAACTTCAGTCAATGCAACTTGCCAGTTCTTATTCAGCACGTCAGGAGGTATGTTGTAGGCAATAGATAGATACTAAAATGGCTTGAGCCATCTTTCAATCAACAATTGGCCAATCAATAATACCATTCAGCGTGATATCAATCAGGCGCTTAATGATTGGCCAATAGTTTGATAACAGATGGCTTGAGCCTCGGGGTAGTTTTTGGTATTTTTTCGCTCATCGTTTCTGTGCGACCTTACCGCTATTTAAAGTAGGTGCCTAGGTTCAAGGGGGTGGGTCTTCACCATCTGGCTGTTGACTTGAAGCATGTATAGCATTTTTTCCAGCACTCTTTCAGCATTTTTTCCAGCACTATGCTTACTTTCGATTTCATTAAAACACCTTTGTATTACGATACACCATGGTTTATTTTCCTAGTTCATTCGCCACTGGACCACAATTTTTCAAAGTTGGCCTCTTGATTTTACTGCATCAGCCTCTACTCTTAGCGCCCATAAGCAAGAAACCATATTTTATAAAAACCTTGTTCAGCAAGGAGCTTTAAGCAATTTGTTACGTAACGGATAATCTCCAAAGAACCGCACACTTCAGCTTGACATTTGCCTATTCAACGAAAACTTGATGTTTTGTGATTGTTGACAAAAAAAATATAAAATTGGGGGGAAAATTGGGAAGAATTTTGACACTCACATTTTGTGGTATTCACCAAATTTAGCTCACTTAGTCCGTACTGAAAGAGTGGGAAAAATGCCAACTTTCAGGTCCCAACTCCAATTTTCCAAACGCCAACTCCAAAGTTATGGCCTTTAAAAAATTCCCCAAATTTTCTCGGTAGCATCATTTTGGATTTCACCTCTCCAAATAAAAAAAGCTATATATCCCAAATTTCACGGTCACTTGTCGCGAAAATTGGTACCTTGCCATTTTTTGAGAAGCGGCAAACAAAAATGAAAAGATGAAAGACAATTATCTATGTAAGTATTTTAAAATCTGAAATGGTGGGTGTCATGCCTGTCCTTCTTTTTATGGAATCACTCTGTGATTTACATGTTTATTTATTTAGTTCAGTTCAGTTTTTTATATTTCAAAATTCCTCTACTTACAATATCTTACTTCAACTACATTACAACTAATTACATACAATAATTACAAATCACATAAACATACTTTACTCATAGTTTACTCTAATGTTTGCTTTTTTCAAAGCCATTTTCAAGTTTTGTGCCACCAAAAAATTATTTTCATAAACTTACTTATAACACCTGACAACAAGCAACAATTATTTATTTGCAGGCGCTGCTGTAGAGTTTCTTCTTGAGGAAATATCGATCGCTTCCTATCCTTCATTCAGTGATCTGAAAAATCTTAGACAGCACATTTCTTATATTGCCCTGGATAAGCCTCTCGAAGGAACACTGAATTTGGACTTACAATGCAGAATTAGGGCAATAGACCTTGATCAGATAGAACAAACTGTGTGTTCAGCAGATGGAACACCAATCGGAGGTGCATCTGACGTCGTTGTAAGTGAGATCAGCATGCGGCTGCTGGCATCCAGAATAACATACAAGGTATGTGCTAGAACGTTTTTGGGGTTACAAAGTGTAATTTAGAAGTTGTGTTGGGATGCGAAATAATTGATATGTACTTTAGGAGTAAAATTGTATTTATTCAAATCTGAAAATTATGATAATAATTAATATCATATCAAATAGCCTTTGTTTTATTTTTAAAGGAGATGTGGAAGAATGGTTTTAAGTTTCAATGTAAGATATCCTGAGGACTGTCGATCAAAAAATATGCTTTTCCTAGCTGCGAAATGTTTATGCTTCTTTGTGCAATAGTATTGGGTGGCAAAATACGAGGGTGGCAAATATGTAATCAAGCATTTGGAAGTTCATTCTCTTTCATAAGTTTACCTTGAAACATTTTCTTGATAGCCAAACGAACTGTTTAAAAATCTGACTGTCGAAATAGTAAGCACAGGGAACGGGACTGCTGCACAGCTTTTTCATGCTTACTGCTGCGCACCATCGTCGAACCAGAAATACATTGGAAAGTCTGTTTCAATACTATTATGGATAGATGGAAAAGGGACGTTTCCGTTCAATTGGCAAGACATGGCAGGTTTGTTTTCAACGGTCTTTTTAACATGCTCTAAGTAAACAACAGCCTCTCCAAAACAGAAACGCTCTTTTTCTGAACTAGCAATGTGCTAAAGTGGCTGTCTTGTTTCATTCTAGCTACATTTTGCTATAATCGTTAAATTCACATATGGGCGTTTCAAGCAGGCCTCCATTAATTCTCTTTTTGCTGTGATAAATCCTGCTGTTTGAAAGACTGTTCTATCTCTTGGATTTGCAAATGAGCAAGCCTTCTGCGTTCCATTTAATCGGTTTATAGATTTCCTTCTTCCATTTTCTAATTAAAAATACGCCTCAACCCTACAAAGCTGAGATCGAGGAATGTTTATAGAAGTTGTAAAATATACTGCCTCGATGTTTCAACTGGGTTTTGTTTTGAGACAATAAGGAGACGTAGGTACCGTTCGTCTTTTTCATCGGATCCTTTAAAAAGCATGCTTTTTCCAATGAACTTCCTGCTGCTTGCCAAATTGGCAGACGTTTTCTTAAGTATGATTTCTCATTTTCAAAACTTGTTTGCATTTGATTTGATGTAACGCTTGAATCTTTGAAAAGCACCTCAAGCGGTAGGGTCCAGAACGACATCTACCATTCTTCGACAATCAGTCACAATCGCGGAAGAATTCAAAGACGTTAAGAACGCCTGCATACTGAAAGTTGTTTTTTTCAAAACTATGATTTCCTTTTTCCCACACAGTTTTTTTTAACTGGCCTCGAAATTATACGAACCATTGATATAAATCCATTAGATTTTCATTGAAGCTCATTTAAAAGAGACTTGTTTTTCATATTTTTACAGAGACGATGCAGAGAAAAATGACTGCCGTTGAAAACCTGGATTCATCGTGTCCCTGTAATCTGGATGAAGGTCTTTGTGATTTAAACTGCTGTTGTGACAAGGTAGTTCAATGGTTCTTACATTTATCCGGTGCTAACTGAAAAATATTTTGTTGCAACATTTTGGCTTATATATTAACGACGTAACATGTTAGTGGTTGTATTAACAAAACTAGCCCTTGCCAAGGAAGCACATTTTATCATACCTTTCTAAGGTATTAGTACACCTGGCATTTAGTAAGCCCGCGTTCGTTCGGAGCACTTTTCTTTCATTGCAGGCAAGGAAAGCTACTTACGATAATTCATCGTGATTTTCCTCCTATAGTTTTTAGTATTTTTTACAAGCATTGATAGCGAAGTTGATAGCACGTAAGGAAACAGCATTTTTCCCACTGATTGCATAGAGTACAGAACACAAGTTTGACGGCAAGTATGCGAAATGTAAATCTAGCTACAGTGTGCATTTGCTGAGATAGGAAGGCAAAAGAGCAAACCGTTGTTCAGACGTTGATACATATTAACATTGTATGTTCTACAGTAGCCGAAGTTTTTCAGTTAAAATCGATTACTTTTCATGATCATGACCAGTTTTTTCACACCACATAGTAAAATAGTTCTGAAATGTGACGTCCTAAAAGTCAACGCTAAACTTTTTTCTTTTGACCACATAATCTTAATGAACACCATGAAATACCTCTAAATATCGAAAATCAGTTCAATATTTCAATGATTGTTTGAGATGCGGTCAATGAAAAATTTTGCTGTTATTTTGGCTGGTTCATATGGTTATGAAAAGAGATCAAATTTCAGGCGTTTGGGGGGGGGGGGAGCTTGTGCTCATGTCTCATCCATATCTCAGCCAGTGTCAAACAGATTTAGCTGTTTCACTGATTTAGAAGTATGCTTTTCACGTTATGTGATCCAATTTAAAAAAAAGTCTAAAAATAGATTGTTGATGTCACCTTTTCGGACCTTTATCTTCTTTCTATCCTTAATGAAAGGATTGTGCTTCCGTGGAGTTACAGCGATTTGTCTGCATGGAAGGAGCTTTTGGTGGACGCGAGAAAACCTTTTTTGAGTTTGACTGCGATGCAATGTGGCCTGATAGGAAGGATTGGACTCCGTTGTTGTGTGTAGTTACAAACAACAGTCCGTTCCTTGGATTTTTCTCAAAATACACGATGCCAGCTATGGCCACAACCACAGCAAATTTTCAAACTTTCCTTTCTGGCAAGACTGAATTCACATATGAAGAAACTGAGATAAGAAATAGCTTCGCAACTTCAAGTGTTACCGGTAAGAAAGTTTATTTTTTTAAAAGTATTTCATTCAGTTAAATTTGTGTCTTCATTGAACGAAAACATTTCTAAAACGACTATTTTATCTGCTGTGCTAATGGAACCATCACGTTTTCTCTGCCTTCTTCAAGTGGTACCTTCATTAAAGCGACTTTCTCTTACTAATCTTCCACCATTCTCTTACTAAGCGTGAGGTTTTAGCTAAGAGGTAGTTGTTACTCCTTTCATTCCTTTCTTTTTATGTCATTTGCATTTTCCCAAAAATAAATTCTTGTCATTCAGGTTTTACCTTCAACAAGTTCAAACCTGTTTTTATAACTAAACTATCTCTAAGAAATGTTGAGAAACATAATTTGTTAAAGAGCATGGTTGTTATGAAACCAAGGATGTATCTGAGGAAGACCCATTTTCATTTCTTCTTAACATCAACTGAATTCGGTCGATTTTCAAATCACAGCATTCGACGATCTTCGGTAATAATAAAACCTCATTCAAAGTTACGATGACGTACTGTCTGACAAAACAAGGGGCTAGGCTTTCTCAATATTGTTATAGCCAGGATGTTTGTAATTATAGCATATCATAACTAATGGCTTGATTTTATTTGTAGATTACGATTTTGATGTGCCGATTCGAACAAACATTGGATACCTAGCAGTGCCTGTGTGGACTGAGGGTGGCTTTTGCTCCTTCACATCCGTGCACTTCCAAGCAGATCGTGAATCTTCTTGTGAACACGAAGCTTCTGCTCAATCATGTTCTCAGCCGTCGTTCAACGCCATGAATTTTCTTCTTCCAACTGGGTCAAATCTCCCTGCTTGCAATGTGCCAGAAGTGCTGAGTGGTGTGACGAGCAACTCACTAGCCTTTAAGACTGTGGAGTACTACTGCCTTTCAACTGCCTCTGACTACCTGCGTTTTCTTACAAACAGTACTGCCACTGATAATAACAGTGAATCACTTTTTCAATCTTCTGGCAGCGCAAGAGCTATTTCTCGGTGTGCTTTTGACGATTCTAAAACTAGGCCGAATTTGCCCTCCATAGACAATGCTACTGGTACCTGTCAAAATGCTGTACTCGATGTCAACTATGAGCTGTTATGGAACGGCAGACAGTTGAATCAGATTACCGCCAAAGTCACCATTGGAAATTTTCCAGTCAACCCTGTAACCAAAACAACTGTGACATACACGTATTTTACTCAAAAAGTGGTAAATGCAACACAGATCATGGCTTCGTCTATCGTCACAAGGTCGCCATCATCAACAACCAGGCCGGCGGTTTCAAACACTCTACATTCGTCCTTTCAGCCGGCAGGCAATTCCAGTATTAAAAGAGGTAAGATATTGGCATCAGGCTGGCAGTTACCCTCTTTACATCTCGCTCTTTCATTTGATTTCCTCTGCTGTTCGACTCGACTCCATAGAAGCTGTGGTACCCAGGGTAGCTTACAGTATAAACGAAGCCCAAAGAATAGTTCATCTTTCTTACGGCCATCAAACCAACATTTGTAAAATCTTCCTCTGAAGAAACTATGAAAACGAGAACGACTAGAAGTATGAACGAGGTTACTCAAATTCTAATGTTTTGTCCCTTGCCCCCGTCTTCGGCTGACCTATCTCAACGTCTATCAGTGTGAAGTGTGTGACTCCGGTGGCTGTTGCCTCCGATGTGAAAAAAGCCTGAGCTAAGCTTTAAATGTCACAAAATCCACCTCATTCTCAGTTGCGGCTTGCAAGTGAAGGTATTAGGCTGTTTACGTCATCCGGGCAGTCAACTGTGCTTTTATTCTTCGCAACCTTTGTGGATAGAAGATCGATTGTAACATGCGTTCGATCGTTAGGCTTCATCCAGATTGATTTAGGTACCGCTCTTATCCTAAATTTGAATGTTAGAAGCACTTTTAGCAGACAATGAATTATCCCCTATAGCGGCACAATCGAAATAAAACAGAAAATAAACAATTTATTTGCATTCAATGATTTCAACTGAAAATAAAAAAACTAGAATAAATGAGATATTGACGAATAAATGATGATCATTTTAGATACCTTGTCTCAGGCAGGAAGGGAGAATGAAAAAGCTACTGGGAACCCTGATCATCCTAATCATTTCATTACCTTTTAAATTGCCTTTTCTTCAAATCCAGTGGAATACGTGGTATCGTCTATTGTCATTGTTAATTGATTCGTGTTGTTATTGACTTGACTTCGACAGGAGCCAGTTTTCTAGCAACGTCATTGAGTCTACCAAGTGCTGTTACGCAAGACTCCAGCTTGTTGACTATGATGATGGCGACTCAGAAGATACTGGCTTCAAGTGGTATTCTTTCACCATCCCCTAGCTTGATCACCATTACAGTTAAAACTTCGACCGTCGTTATTAGGAATGCTAGCATCGTACCGTATGTTAAGCAGAAATTCACAGTTTCCTTCCGCTACCAGCCAACCACTTCAATCAATGCTTCCATGTCCCCAGCAGTAAATGTGACAAGTAAGAAGGTGTTTTACCGCTCTGGAAATCCAGGGTATGTTCTTGGAAAACCCTTGCTGTCAAAGACCAGCTCTACGGTTAGTCGCTTTATTATTTTATACAATGCTTAGGCAAACGTCTTAAACTTGAACAGTGAGTCTGATTTCAAAAACGGAGAGGAAGTTACAGTTTATATAATGTTTTATTTTATAAATCAGATTTCCAACCTTCTACTAATCTTACATCACATTTTGTTGTATTATGTTATATTAAATTACTTTATATCATGTTTTATTTTATTATATTATAATAAACGTTATGTTTTAATAATATTTCATGTTGTTTTATGGTATGTTATGTTCTGCGATGTTATATTTTATCATATTTATCATATTTTATCAATAATATTTTGTTATGTTTTATTGCATTATATTCACTTCAATTTTTTTGGCTATATTTTTAGCATATACATATTTATTTTGCTTTCCTATTTTGCCTCAAATACACAGCTGGACAATTTCACAACAAGAGGCTTTCTAATATGGAAATCAAAAAACGATGGTTTGTGCGCTGACGCAAGCACTGTACCACTGCAGTTCGGTAAGAACAGTGTCTCTGGGTGCATTGTCCGCGTTGGATTGGATCGGTTTGAAAACTGCACGAGTCTCAGACTGTTGGTGGAGCGTCATCAAGATCTCCTTGTCCGTGGACTTAAAGTAGCAAAACGAGGTAACCCTGTTGCGAATAACAGTGATGACTGGTTAGATATATTAAGGTAATTATATTCTACTTATGCTTATCATTTCTCAGATTTATATATCTGAGTTGAATATTTATCTGAATGTTCTGATAAATATGCTGAAGCTGGAGATTCGATCATGAAGGAAAATGCTTGAACAGCTTTAACCAAAGACATTTCACATCAATTTACTGAAGGCCCTCCACTGTTCCGTGCACTCTTTCACTGTGGCTCTGGTACCCAAGGTACTATTGCACGTACCTGTCAACTTCAATTGATCAATGTAAATTAGCTTATAATTTAATGTTAAAAAATTGAACTTATATTGTTGAAAATGCCTAATTTATCAATTTTTGTCTTAGAATCGAGCCGCTGATATCTCAATCTCCGAATAAATCCAGAACAGGCATCTGCAGTGATATACCATCTCATCTTGTAATCCAGATTCTCTTTTCAGAGGCTGGAATGTCGTATGGCGAGCCTCAATTTGAAATAAGCGGTTTCAAAATCAGGTGAATTTTATAAGCAGCGCCAAAATTGTATGTTTTGTGTCTCTGTAAGTTTTAATAAAAATTGCAAGGAATGGAAGTTTGCAAAGAGTTACGCGTGATATTCCATGATATGCCGGTAATATGACATTCTAGTCCGTCATTGATAAAGCATTATAGCTAGCTATCTGTCTTTGGTAGCGGGTAAGGTACTACCAGTGGAGCCCATGCAAGAATTTGTCACTGTGAAAAAAATTATTGGCTTTTGGAACAAAGAAGTTGCATTATAAACTTGAAGTTAAACAAAGTTACTCCAGAACTAAAAGGCTTCTTTGTCAGCTGATGCCGAATTCTCACCGCTTTAGTTAGTTTATTAACTAAATAGGTTAGCTAAAGCGAAAATGCTTGGTTGACGGCCGCTGTGATTTGCTTGTCAAAACAAAACACAGATCTAAATCCTGGGTATTTTTTGCAACTTTGTTGGCCTGAATTCTATCCATATAAATTTACACGCTTCATCCTTCAATAATTTGTCGCTTCAAAACTTCAAAATTAAGTTTTATCAGATTGTTTAGTTGAGAAAATCTTTCCATAGTATTAAATATGGTTTTGTCTGTATGTGCTGGTTGATAACTTAAATATTCAACTATTTCCCCCTTAGGTATGTTACCGAAACCTGGTCCATTGCTTGTGCATCGGGTGCCCAATCACGATGTTTCAACAGCACTGATGCAGCATCAAGATCAACTTATCCTAGACTCAAGTCCTTTTTTGTGTCAAGTTCTGTCACATTTATTCAGATCCCGTCTGCTGAGCCACCTAGAGTGAAGAGGTTGGTGGTCAATTTCATTTAACAAGGTTTTGTACCAAGTCACACAGGCTTACGAGTATAGTATTTTAGGGTTATCTGATGTTTCCCTTGCAATATTTAATTAACTAGATTCTACCACAGAACGTAAAGTCGACCCTCTGAGGATGTTTTTAAAAGATTAGTTGCTTAGTGCCTTTTACACTGGTCACTCGTTTAATCAGCACGCTGTTTTTCAATTGTTGAGGTAGCATTCGGATAAAACTGGATTTATTACCACATTTCTTGTCTTGCACTTTGCTTTCCAATTTTCTGTTCATATTGACTACTTCTGTCCAATCGCGTGTGGGATACTTACTATAGATATCCCCATGATGTTCCGCTCCTTCAGCTTAACAATTCTATCTTAAAAGTTACCCCTCTTAGCCTAAGATCTGGACATAATAATTTTGTTTCGTGTTTTGAAATAACAGGAGACTGGGAATCCATCCAATGAACAAAACTACAGAACTGAAAATTGACCCAAAAGAGTTATCGCGTTCGATCATTTTCCCAAATCAAAATGAAATCTTATTTGGAGTTTTGTTCTGCTTGAGCTTTGCAGTAATTTTTTTCATGTCAATTTTTGAAAAAAAATTCGAAATACAATTTTCAAGGATTGTCATTTATCCATTCTACTTCCATTTTATAGTCTAAGCTCTGGAATTGTTGCTTGTCAACATGGTTTCAGGAGGGAAATGGATTGCTTAACGATATGCAAAATTGTTCTGTATTGCACCAAGACATTTTGATAACATTATATATATATGCTTGCTTTGATGGACCATTCATTCAAGCTTTTGACATTTTGATGTTTTTCCCTTCCAGCACTATTATATTCTCGATGTCTCTTTTAGATCAGTAGATGTTTCCGGCAACTGTAAATATGACTCATGCCTGGCGGAGATGTTCTATCCACTAAGAAACTCTTACCAAGCAAATGTTGCATCGAATGATCTTGTTGGAATATACGACGCCACAGGAATGGCCCTGGCACTTGTTCTTGTTGTCGTTAGTGCTCTCTATGTATCGAGGTCATGGCGCAAGTAATCTTATATCGATATAATGTTCCCATAAATATGCGAGAATAAGAGACCCCCTTCAATGCAATACGGTTTTCACTTCTTGGAGTCGTTGCGAAGCTTCCATCAGCCACACCTTCTCGCAGGACTGAGCGGTTGCGAAGTTTCAGTCAGCCACACCTTCTCGCGGGAGCGAGCCGTTGCGAAGTTTCAGTCCGCCACACCTTCTCGGGGGACCGAGCCGTTGCAAAGTTTCAGTCAGCCACACCTTCTCGGGGGACCGAGCCGTTGCAAAGTTTCAGTGAGCCACACCTTCTCGCGGCACCAAGCCATTGCGAAGTTTCAGTTAGCCACGCCCTCTCTTGGAACAGAGCCGTTGCGAAATTTCAATCAGCCACACCTTCTCGCGGCACCAAGCCATTGCGAAGTTTCAGTTAGCCACGCCTTCTCGTGGGACAGAGCCGTTGCGAAGTTTCAATCAGCCACACCTCCTCGCGACACCAAGCCATTGCGAAGTTTCAGTTAGCCACGCCCTCTTGTGGGACAGAGCCGTTGCGAAGTTTCAATCAGCCACACCTTCTCGCGGCACCAAGCCATTGCGAAGTTTCAGTTAGCCACGCCTTCTCGTGGGTCAGAGCCGTTGCGAAGTTTCAATCAGCCACACCTCCTCGTGAGACCAATTCGTTGCGAATTTTCAGTTAGCCATGCCTTCTCGTGGGACAGAGCCGTTGCGAAGTTTCAATCAGCCACACCTCCTCGTGAGACCAATTCGTTGCGAAGTTTCAGTCAGCCACACCCTGTTGCGGGACCGCGCCGTTGCGAAGTTTAAATTCCTGTCATTTGCGTTCGGTTGTGTTTCATTATATCTTCGATGACAAGGTGATGGACTATCGCTACGTTACGGACCAAGTCTATAATACGTATTTTGGATGACTTTTATTTTTTTGGGGGAAGGATCTCAGGTGATCACTAGAAATTATTAAGGAATGGAGCGGAAACTGTCAGTTTTAGTGTCTGCAATTAACAACTGAAACACGTATTTTATATACCTTGTCAATGAATATGTATGTACTTAAATATTCGATTTAAGTTGATTTCTTTTGTAGGCTAGAATTGAATTAAAATAGAGTGACAAAACAAAGTAAAACTAAAACAAACAAGACAAAACTGTGAAAAGAAGGCCAAGTATTACTATTAAAGCAAATAATTCTCCAGAAAAAAGAACAATACGCATTCAAATTTCAAATTAGAATTACAATACGCAAAGAACTGCAGCAAAACAAAACATTTGCGTTTTTCTTGTGCAGCAAAGTCCAGAAACAGTCCAGAAGATTCTTCCGTTTGGTTATCACATGTGCTTGATAGCTCCAAGTATTTCATAAATTGTTTGAGTATACTCTCTAGTGGCTGGTTCGAAAGTTGATTTGGTTGTCTCAAGTTCTTTTATCGCATTTTCCAATTTTTCCCTCTCTATTGCCCCAAAAATGGCAGAAAGGATGGCGTCCACTCCAAGTCCTATGGCAACAACAACAACACCAGCAATACTGCATGATGCAATCATGCCTATTTCTGCAACCATTGCTCCAAGAATGGCCCCAGAAGTTATGCGGCAAATAATTATCACAGCCGCTACCGAAGCCCCTGTCATTGTTATTACCGATGACCACTGGGATAACTGCCTGATTGTTTCCACAAAGCCTAATCCTGTATCCTTAAGGGCTCTGTACGCAGAAGGCTCTAACTCCCTGGCCAAATTTTCGTTAAGCTGTGAAAGATATAAACTTGTATTAAAACTTTGATCATTTCATAAATTAATAATTTGTAAGTTCTGCAGAGCTTTCTGGAGACCGGCTTGCTAGATGATATTGCAACAAAGGAATTAAGTCGTACCCCTGTGGCTATCGATTTCCTTTGAATTTTATTTCGTTTCAAGCTCTTTTCCAGAGTGCAGCTTCACCAAAATTAAATTTTTGGAATCTATCGTTTGAGAAAATGGCGCTCAACGTGCTTGTTTTGTTTCTGAAGTGAAATAGTAGGAACATTCTTCTTTTCAATTCAAGAGGAATTGTTTTGCTATGTATATTGGTACTGGTACAGTAATGAGTGTGATAATTTAAACTCCATTGTGATAGATTGCAGTAGTTATTGGTAGAAATACTTTCGGATCTGGAGTCATGTGGGCCCTATTCTTTTTAATTAGACTTTCTTTTCATTCCTTGCTTTTCGCGCGAAAATTTGGTCTCCCGAAGCAAAGAGAGCTAGCAGGAGCTTAATTCTCGTGAGTTTACCTCTCTAGTACCTTGGGTACCAGACTCTCTATATATAAAACAAAATAGAGATTATATATAAAATAAATACCAGACTCTCTATTTTATTTTATATATAGTGAGTCTGGTACCCAGGGTACCTCTCTAGCAACGACTACGATGGCTGGGATAAATTTACAGGGAGATATTTTCATAAGTTTTTGCAAGTTTTATGAAACCTATTAGATTCAATTGAAAATGAATGTTCCCTTGTTCAGTAAAACAAGATATAATGTTCCCAGTGGAAAATTCAAGTTGTTCCCGTGTTTCCGTACCCCCATTTGCCATGTTCCCGTGTTTCCGAACCCTGGGTTCCAAGGTCTCTATTGTTTACAATACTTTATCCCCGGATTTATGAGGCTCTGGTACCCAGGATATTGTTCCCGAAGACCCCTGAGAGGCCCTCGACATTGTAAACAACACGAGGATCGAAAATTTAAACCACTTTTGCTCCAGGGAATGGGGGATAACTTCAATAGGCAGACGACAGGGATGTGCCGTTTCGAAAAAATGAAAACGTGCCCAAATTTTTTTAAATTTTCCAAGAAACCCTACCCCAAAAGTTGGATACAATATGAAATGCATACCCTTTAAATCTAATTCAAATCTGCAAAAACCCAGCAACTCAATCAAGTGAATGAAAATATGTGAATTTACTTTTAAAAATGATACCCTAAAACTTAAGGACATGCAATTCTGTAGAAAAGCGATTAAGCGCACTTCAGTAGAAAGATTATGGTTTTCGAAGATTGTGACTACCCGTTTTCCTTGACTGAGGACCTATATTTGTAAAGGGAAATCGTCTTTTTTGACAATAGTAACCGTGCTAAAAGAAAGAACCAAATATCGAACGTAAACATAAGCATGGGCATATGATATAATGACAATCTCCCGGCGGGCTCAGTCAGTTGGGCAAACGTATTACATGCGAGTTCCGAAAATCTCTGAGTAAGGGTGGTCTGAAAACTAGAATTCTGGGACATAGAACCTTGAAAATAGGATTGCATTTTTAATCAGTCAGAGGAAACACAAAAGGGCAGGTATTATGTACATTTTCAAGATTTAGCTTTTCCTATACATTTCAATGGAATTTGTTGCTATAGTGAAATTTTTCACTGCAGCAGCAAATTCCGGTCAAATCTAAAGAAATAACTAAGACCCCGTTTACACTGTCCCGGGACAATTTTGTACCGTTACGGTTCGCAAGTGTTTACACTGTCGCGGTTCCAAATTGTTCCGTTTAGCCGTTCCGTTTACACTGTACCGGTACGACCTTAATTGAATGGTAGAACAATGTTTAGAAGAAGCTGTATTTAGTCAACCGAGGCTTTTATTTTGCTGCCGAAGTCAACAATCTAAATTTTATTGAGAGCTAAAATGGAGCGAAAGGCCGATAAAAACTTTACTTGGACCGACGACAAGGTGGCTTTAATTTTCAGTGTTATTTTAGACTACAAAACTGCAAAGTCCAATGAAGGCTTGGACTGGGAAACAATACAAGCTTTTTCTGTCGTCGTCTTGTCTTCAGAATGTCCTTTTCTTCAGAATTTGACAACGTAGTTACGCCACAATCAAAGCCTCGATAACCTGAAACAGCCATACAAAAGAGACAATATCGTCTCGGATAGGTGTTTACACTGTCCCGTTCAAAAACGGAACCGTGACGGTACGAAATTCGTTCGCTTTCAAAGCAGGGTCAAAAACTGTTCCAGATAGCAGAGCAAAATCGTCTCGGTTCCACAGTGCTAGTGTAAACGGAAGGGCGAACCGCGACAGTTTTGTCACGGTTCCAAACTTGCACGGGACAGTGTAAACGGGGTCTAAATTACAAAACAAATTACCTTGGGTCTTGAATAACGGTGAGACGATTTACGACGCGGTAAGTTTACCAAACCCAGTTCTATCAATTACGTTATCAAGATTTGAGGGACGTTGCGTGCCTAACAAAAAGGGGAATTTTAATAAGACAGTTCTACAAAACCTGGCAACCTGCAAATAATTTTCGCTTACATTGCAAAACTTACAAAAACCTACATGATATAAATTCCCCAACTGTTTTCACCCATGTATATATTGTTCCTTCAGAATTCGGATATGTTGTCAAAATTGTGAAATCCTGAACATATGGTGGGCACTAAACAGTCTCTTAGTTCTAATGGCAAAATTTTGATGTTTTTAATCTTACCAAGCGAACAGCGTCTTGAAGTTTTGTTGTTGCTGCTAAGAATATGTCACAGTTTTCCTTTATCGTTTTTCTCTCTCTGATTTCCAACTTGTCGATCCCATGGACAATTTTGCCAACGCCGCTTGACACCGAAAAATTTTGCTTTAGGTAGCCGACAAGCTTGTTGGTCGCGTAAAAGTTGTCCTTCATGCAGTCAATTATCTCTTGGTACAGACGCTCTACTCTGCGTCGTCGTTCAGGATTGCCAGGGTAAAAAATGTCTTTAAACAGCGCCATTTTCTACGACGATGAGCTCCAGGATTTGGCAAATGGAAATGCGACTGTAATTCGTCAATTCCCAGCAATGATATAGATATATAATTGATTCCCAGGTTTATATAAAGAATTATTAGAAGGGACATTCCCTCCGCAAACTTGACAATGGTTTGACGATAGTCAAAGGACTCCCCCTCCATAAAGGAAAGGTATTTCCTTCAAATGTCCCCAATTCTTGATCAAATTAAAGTATCATTTAATATCTTCAATAAAGAAAATAACTCATTTTGCTTGTTTAAATGCGTGAACATGTCTGTATAGCATATAGCATGTGTACGAACGGCTTAGATACATGGGGAAGACGCCGTAGCAAAACGGAACTATCAGGAACTGTGATTCTAAGAAATAACATCGCATACTAAGCTATGACCACAGAATAGGGTATGACCATGGAGACCATGGAAACAAAGTTCTAAATCTGGCAGTAACCATAACACAGAAAAAGAATTATTCTGTGTTATTCTTATTCTGTAACTATAATATACATAACAGGACCAACAATTTATACCTTTGTTTCTTAAGCCTGTTCTCCACTGGGAGAATTTATTTGCGCGAAGTGGATTTTTCGCCACGAATTTTTTGCCTGAGAATTTATTGGCAGGTGTAAAACGCAGGTTTCTCGAATTCAAAGTTTAACTACCATTAATTAGAAGTTTGAGTTTTAATAAATGTGAATTCGTTGTTTGAAAAGTGCTGTTATCAGACCATTTACGACCCTTTCAGAAGAACGAACATTACGCAAATGTGCTGGGAAATATATCAATGCGGTGTTTTGGTGAAATGGGGCCCGGGTACACTAACACCTGAAACATGACAAAATCCCTAATGTGTTTTAACAATGGATTTGCCAACTTTGCCTAATTCTTGAAAGGTTCCGTCGTCCTTCCTCGTAGACGTGGGCACAGAAGGCACAGGGGGCACGTGCCCCCCACTTTTCAAAACTTCAGGTGAAATTCCCCTTTGCAGCTTACCAAATAGCCCCTTTTTGCCAACTAAATAACCAAAAAATGCCTTTTAAATACCAACTTGCTATAGGAAATGAGCACAGAGAATTGGGCTGACCTTTAAGGACCATAATCTAAAATGTTTCTATGCGATCTGCTTTTAGAAACACAAAAACTACAAACTCGCAACTAGGGCCACCAAAAGGTGGGGGTGATGGCAAACTGCTCTAGGGCCTTTAGGATCAGGAGGCCCCTAGAGGTTTCCAGTTTAAGAAAGCAATAAGTAAGAGATAACAAAATTATACCCAAATGTTGCACAACGTTTTAAACCTATTGATTCCTAAACAGGGCCTCTGACGAAGGGGGGCCGGGAGCCAAAATCTTTCTTTCTCAGCTTTCTCCGAAATCTTTTGTTTTTGGTGTTAAATTTTTCCCTCCCCCCCCCCCCTTTTCAATCTGTGACGGAGCCCAGGTAAACTTGATATCCCTGGAAACATGGAAGAAAAGTTTTACCCGATTATATTTACGCAACGTAGGGTGAGAGCTTGAAACAGATTTTTTTCAATGATTAACCTAGGTCGTGTGGGGGAGTACAACTTAGGGAAATCCCCTTGGCCTGCTGAACCATTCGTCGGAAACTCCCTTTCCTCTGGCCATGGGAATTTCCCTTTAACCATAGACTATGCTTTAACACTCATAATGCAAAACAAAACATATCGAATGTACTCATTCTGTAATATACACTTTTTTATAAGAACAATTTTAATAGAACATGAGCCTCAAAACTGGTCAAAAGTTAAGAACAAATTAAGAACAAGCTGCGGCTGAGCTACTGTAAAATGAAATTTTGAACAACGTTTTATCTCAAAAACGAGGATTTTAAACCATATGTGGGTGCTTTTTTGGTGAATATTTAAACCTGTCAGCCAATGAAGGTTGTCTCACTCACTTTTTTGGCAAATAAGAACTGAACACTTCCCTAGAGCGAAAAAGGTAGCAATCACATTGCTAACACCCTAATAATTTAAAAACAATCCAGCCTCAGATTTTTGCAAAAGTTAAGAACAGTCAGCCTGAACCTAAATTTACTAGTTCGTCTAAAAAGAAGCGTGAATACAACATGCACAAGGCAGCATACCCTTCCCTCTACAATGCGTATAAATGTGTGATGGATGACACTTAGCTGCACGGGTGCACCCAAGTTTTTTGTGAAAAATTACGGAAAACTCTATATGAGATTTTAAACCCTGTTTACACAAGAGGAAATGTATGGATTCAAGTTGGTCCGAATTTACGAATTAAAAACGATATACTGCTGCTATTTAGCACATTGTTTTTCATCAATTTTTATTGAATTAACCGTATTTTAAGGCTACATTTTTAGTGGGTGTGGCTCAATTTTTCGCAACGCCCTAAACCGGGCCCTTTGAGTTTGCTAAACACCCTGTGATTTTGATGCCAGACCGCCCTTGCCTAAAATACCATATATTTTTTATTTTCTTGCCGCCAACCATGGTGGCAGCCTTTCTTAAACCCTTATGAGACATGATATTTTGACCCCTCCACTTTCAAATACATTTCGCCGGCCCTGCATATTATATCTTTATATTATTAAAAAATACTGTTGCAATCAAAATTCATTGCTGAAATTATATTCTTAATTAGCATATATCCAGCTACCTTCATTGGTATTATATTGTAAGTAATTGGGCGAAGGTGAAGGATCCGGTTCGGATAATCCGATTAACCTCGTGTCATACACGTCAAGGAGTTTTTTTGACTACATCAACGAATCACAGGTCGCCTAGGGTCAGGGAACGCTCTCCTAGAAATTTGACATCAAACAAAACATGGTAGCTCTCCGGAATGTTCATGTCCGCCAGTAATTGTTGTTGTTAAATGAAATTGATTGATTGTAGTGGTATGATTGATAGGTTTGGTATGATTGCTTGACTCATATTCAAAAATTTTAAAAACATGGCAGAATCAATGAATCAATAACTTGTTGTTGCTGTTGTTGTTGTTGTTGTTGTTGTTGTCTGCTATGTTTTTAAAATTTGATACCACAACAGAAGAGGATAGTGATATTTATCCAGAATGAACCAATTTACTGGAAAAGGAACAACAATAGTTTGCGAGGAAAGTGATGTGGGTGCAAGGCAAAGTAGCTCCCTGGGATTTGCTTGGAGAATGTTGCTGGGCACTATCAGAAAGACGTTCCCTCAGGCTGAACAACTGAGAACTAGTTCTTTAGCGGCCTGGTTAGAGGATGAAAACAGGAAGAAAACGGTGCTTCTTCTTGTGAGTAGAATTTTTTTTGTTTTTTGCTTTGAAATCTGTGAAATCCACCGACTGCTTCCTGTGCAAAAAGTTGGTAGTGATCGCTGCTTTCTCTTTGGAGCTCGTGCCAACTTGTCTATGATCATGGGCCGGTTTCAAAATGTTCTTAGAATAATAATACAAGACAAGTAACAGAATCTATACCTGATACATTAGGTTCTTTGAGAGTTCATCTTTATTCTAGAAAAGAGTTTTGTTGTCTAAAACTTTATAGAAAAATTTTGAACATCATAAACAAAAAAAATTGTTAACTTGTGTGTGTGAGCAAAATATTGGCTGTTTCATTTCAGCCTAAAAAATACAACATAACAACTTTGTATTCTCTGCAGCAGGTGTGATTTGCAGCTGTAAAATGCTAGCTCAAATATGTGGACAATGCCTTTAGGAAGTGGAGCAAATCACATATTATGAGCACTTGCAGTTCATAAGCTATAGTCCATCAATAAGTTTTTACCACATACCTATAAATTAACAATTTAGCCACATCATTCTTTGATAATAGAGAAAATTTGTTCAATTATACCAGAAACAATGACTTCTGATATTTTGCTTAGTATGTTTTTGTATAAAGCAGAGAACTATTTGGTGAACTGTTTCAATTAAGTGAACCAACCTCAAACAATCGCTGTTTCTTTTGTAATAACAAAATCTGTCTTTCAAAAAGATCAAGAAAAGAAGACCAAGATTTACAAAATGAATAAATATTGTTTGGCTAAGATTTTATGGGCTTATGCCTCTAAAAGAACCTTAGCATAAATTTTCTAGTGCAACAGTGTTCATCTGAAACTCATTCAGATGTTGATGTACTCTTTGTATTGAGAAATTTTTCATGTTTGGCAAGAAAAGAACAAAACATGTGGCAAAGCCACCATGGTAAGGCCATTAAGACCACATTTGTGCAGTTGGGTACAAAAAGGAAGCAATTATAATATTGGGTGTCATTGCTAAGAACTTGTCTGCAATAATGCTATTTCTTTAGACAACACTCTGAAATGTAGAAAAATTACTGTAGAATAAGTTTAGTGGCGTAATGGAGGCATCTTGGGCTCTAAGGGAAAACTGAGATGGGGCCCCTATTAACAGACTGCAGTAGAGCATGTCAAACACTGATAATGCAATAATACCTAACACCAATCCAAGTTAACTAGTAGAAGCTTCAATTGAAGTAATCTAAAAGCTTTTGAAAATGAGGTGAACTTTAGCAAAGTCATCAGAATTTTTAATTAGATAAGTTGCCATACCAAAAAAGAATGTAGCACCAAAAAGAAGGTAACAAGGATGGAAACTGTTTGTTTAATCATGATTTCAATTGAATGGCATAAAGAATGCCTGCCAGAGCTACACAAGTTATTGCAATTGTACAATTTATTTGCACTTTCATTCGTGAAAATGTGGGCCCATAATTATGCACATGTCTGAAAAAATGTGACCCATAATTCCGCAATTATGATGAAAACTTTACACATAACTCTGCAAAGCCAATAACATTTTTAAAGCACAGCAAAATCATCACACAATTTTTGCATGTCCTTTGCCAAAAATCTCAATATTACACATATTTCATACTTTCAATTCTAACTGAACATTCATTTTGCTAATGCTTAATCTCCCTCCTAATTATTTTGCAACATGTTCCAAAAATGGTATTCATAGTTCCGCACATATTTCAAAAACTGACACTGATAATTCCGCACTTTTCAGAAAAGAGTTACCTCTAAAAATGGCACATCCAGGTTCCTTCAAACATGTTGAGGTACCCCTCCCCCAGCAACAGCCTAAACAACAATTTGCACAAACACTGTATAAATGACATTTGTACAGAGAAAGTTGTTGAGATGTTGATGGACCAGTGAATTCGTTGAAAGGTCTGAGAGACAAAAAAATTACTTTGGGAAATTTTAGACCTTGGAAGGATGAAAATTCCAACTTTACCTGAGGAATTTTCCATTGACCCATTAAGGCCTTATTCCAGTTTTCTAGTTTCTGTATAATTACAAACTTTTTACTCATAATAACTAATAACTAGTCTTAAGCTTAAAAGCACTAAAGAAGATAAAGGAAATCTCTTAATTTTGATTAATGTAACACAAACATTTAATCTTTTCATAAAAAGTAAAGCAACATCAAAGCCATACAAGTATTAGATCTTAGATATATTTAATGATAAATAGAAATATTCTTTCAAGTCAATAAACAGCGATTTTGTTCTTTTTCTGCTTTGTCCATCTTAAAGCTATTTGCTGCAGATCAGTTTTAGATAGAATATATTTTTCACAATATAGTAGCATCAAGGAATTGGGCATTTCATCCTTTGTTCTTGATCGAAGGAAATTTTTTTAAAATTTTCAGAGGGCTAAATGTCCTTTGTTTTTTTGCAACTGAACAGGGTGATCTGAGGGCAAGTGCATAATGTGTCCAATTTGTAAGATAAAACACTCTTCTTTGATCAAATACTTCTGCTGGGGCTTCTTTGATCAATGCTTTGTGGCTTCTCATCAGCTTTTATCATCGCAATTTATGATAAGATTTAAGGAGGTCTACAAAGTACAGGTGAGCACTGCCAAACAATTATACTCTATGGGACTGAAAATGACCCTTAACCCACTTGGGTTTGCTTCCAACTTTTTAAAAGTATTTCAACCAACTTTACACTGCAAGTTTCAATATTATGCATGATTATTTTTCTAAGGATCTTTTTATGTTTACATTTTGACACAGTTCGGTATTGTCACAATAGTGTAAATTTCTGTTTTTTATGATCATTGGGATCAGCACAATAAGATGATGAGCCTTCCATACAATAAGATAATGAGACTTTCACAAGCACTTGAGTATCCATATGTAAACAGTTTTTGAGCATGTATTTTTTGAAGATCTTTATTCTTCTTCTCTTCTACTAAAGAGCTATCTTTTATAATTTTGATCTCTGAGAGTGTCATAGATCTCATCATTTTCAGGATGTGAGAGGATTTGATGAGTATGATATAAGCACCCTGGAAGGAGCTATTTGCATAAATCCAGATGGTACTGATGTTCAGAAAGTTCTAGAAAAGGTGTCTGAAATGAAAGGGAGTAAGTACTAAATAAAAATACTACTGTTTTAGTTTTAGAAGACCCTTCTTTCAAAAACCTCTCTCATCTGTCATTTCATAAGGCTAAAATGTAAAATATTCACTGGCTGTGGAATTGGCGATGAAATCAAATCATGGCTTTACTCATGAAGCAGTTTCATCTTGAGTGGGATCATGCACTTTTGGACTTGCTGTTAATGAATGCCCAGAACATGGACAAACCCTTCAGAAACTAATGCTCCTGTCACAAAACAAGGAAATTGAATAAAACCTTTTCAACAACTCTGTTAGAGAATTAGCAGAAGCTGTTCCAGCCTTTAACATTATCTAGGTAGAAGATGATGTTGAAATTTGATGACTTCTTATTTTTTAGCCTGTTATTTGCTGTTTATCTTCTATCTTGTTAAGACATTATCAACCGAAATCAATTGTAGTTTCTTTTATCCTCCATTTGTTTTTTCCTTAACTAATAACAGATAAGTTCTGTGAAATGTATTTCTGGCACAAAACTAGCGTAAAGAGATGTAGACGACCTGGTGCATTGTGCTTCGCAGTTTCAGAGACAGGGCAACAAAACTGAGCCCAGGGGGCTAAGAATAAAGTTTAGTGACATAGGAGGACCCACCATGCTTGGGTCAGACGCGAAAGAAATTTTTTGAAATTAAGCCTTCTAGGATGGCTAGAAATGCATCTCCCAGACTGAAATTGTCTCTGTTTTCGTCAAATATCTTGGGATTGATCTTCTTCTGTGATGTTCCTGAAAATTCTCTTCTGGATCAACAGAAAAACTGAACTGCAGAACTTTTTAATATCTTTGAATGCTTTTAAAAATTACATGAAGTACAATTTTCTGCAAAAAAAGTTGATCTACCCGTCAAAATCCAAATTTTACCGACTAAAAACCAAATTTTATTGACTAAAACACAAATGCCTATTCTTGGGGGGGGGGTGTTACATACACCCCACCACCCCCCCCCCCCATGGAACCGGCCCTGGGTACTTGATTGGAACTGACTCATTTTTTTATAATATGACCTTAATAAGAAGGTATAAACAAAATAAAAAACAAAGACATTATAGATTTAAACTAAAAAAACAAAACATAAAAAAACACCCATCCCAGACAAAATGCAATTTTTGTAATTTTCTACTTTATCTTGCCCCTGTAAATTTAAATCCCCCTCTCCCCCTGAATCAATGTTGAATTTGTAGTTCTATCATTTCTCCTTCAAAATCATGCATTCAACATTGAATTGTGGGAGGGGGGGAGCTATTTTTCAAAAGAAAGAGAAAACATAGAGTTTTCTTGAAAAGTCTCAACTATTTTTGTCCCGGATTGTGGGTTAAACCAACATTTGTAACAACGGTCGTTTTTAGCTATCGTGTTCAGAAGGTTGCTCAGAAGGCCCTATTTGCGAACCATCCTTTATTTGCCGGAACCTCTGAAAATTTGCCGACGAAGCACCCCTACATGGCAAAAGACTCCTCTTTTTCGCAACGGAATTTTTTCCAAGGGGGAGTATCACACACACCTCACACCCTCCAACGTAGCGACGGCTCTGTTTGTACATACATGCCAATCACCTCACAAGCTGACTTGATTGTTTGAAACAATCATGTTTCTGAAAGGTAACCTGAGTCCTCTTGCCCTCTTTAAAAAAAAGTAATAAGTCTATCTGTTGTCCGTCACCGTGTTTTACTAATATTTTTGGATATACATTTTATTTAATTGTCGTCTTCGTTTATAGTTATTAAAAGGAACTGTATTTCCCAAGAATCATGTCTATGTTTGTCTTGTTAGAATTGTAGCACTTGTTGTATTAATAGGCAATGCTATCGTCAGGGCCTCCGACAAAGAGAGGGGCCAGGGGCCATGCCCCCCCACTTTTCTGGAAAATAATACAATCTTTTTTCAAAATTTTTCGTTATGGGTGTTAAATTATCGCTTGGCCCCCCATATCCCCAACCTGTGTCGGAGCCCATTATCGTGTTACCCATTGCGTAATTTATTACTGTTTTTTTCAAATATTTAGAACAAGTTCTATTTGGTTAGCTGAATCTGTTAAAATTTGTTTTTAGCTTCCCCTTATGGATCAGTTGACATTGTGTGTTTCTGCTCCCTTGGTTATCGCTCAGCGAAAATGGCAGAACTGATACAAGTTAATTTGGCAAAGGAGTTGGAGGATCCAAGCAGTGTTACAGTATACAATCTTGAGGGGAGTATATTCAAGTGGGCTAATGAAAAGAGGCCAATGGTAGACAATCAGGGGAAAAGAACTGTATTTTGTCACCCTTACAGTACTGTATGGGGCAGGTTTCTGAATAGTGATTATAGAAAGTGGACTCCCTAGAGTCACTTCTAAGTGTAGAAACTGGTTATAGTGAAATCTAGTTTATTCCAACATACTTTTACCAGAAACTAAGTTTCTTAAATGGCTAGAAATTTCTATACCGCTACTAAAATAAAAAATACGGGCCAATTTTTTCTCAGAAACCTCTTCTGGTATGCATTGTAAATAGGTTCGTGAAGGTTAAATATGTTACGGTTATTCTTTTCCTTTGCATTTCCTCGAAGGGTACCTCAAAAGCTATTAGGAGAAGTTAGTCGATTACACAGGTTTTTGTAAATAAGAGGTGTTTTCCCTCATCAATTTGCAATTAGAATGTGGTGTTACAACCAAAAAGGCATTAAGTACAAACAGTCTTAAAATATATTTTTCTAAATAACCGTAACAATCAAACTGTGTAAGAAAAGCTAATTTTGAATCGTGTCTTCTTGTGTAAATTATTTTGTTCTCTAGTTATGTATCTTGTTAATGTAACGTTGAATTCATTACTCATATTCGCTGATAAGTTGTCAGTCTCGTTTATATTTATGTTGATACAAATTATCCATTGCAAGACGATCGACAATTATTATTTAACTGAGCCACTGAATATACTTATGAATTTATTTTTTGATTCTGGTCATTATCTCAAATTTAAAAAATATGCCAAAGTTCTGCCGATTTTCAAAGTATACTGCACATAAAAGGTAACAATCTACCGTCCAATATCCTTATTGCCCATCTTTGATAATACATTTGAAAAACTGGTATACTCGCGCTTTCTTGCATTCTTCACAAATGAAATATCCTATATCCCAATATCAATCTTCCTTTATTTTGGGAAGCCATTCAAACACGGTCAATTACCAGATTATCGATAGTAAACTAGAACTTTACGATATTAGAAGAAGGACTCTACTGAAATGGTTTCGTTCAAGTTTGAGTGACAGAACTTTTAGGGAGAGAAAACCAAAAAGTGTGTCCAAAAGGTTTACCGTAACCTTAACATCTGTTACAGTAGTTAAATTCAATAATGCTGAGAATATATACGAAGGAGCATGAAATGCCAGAAAACGTAAAAAGTAACCAGAATTGTTGGATTTCGATTTATATTAGAATCTAAAATTGTTTCTTTTGATGTAAATCAAGTGCGTAGAAAGTTGTAAGCTAGGTGGTAAGAGCACTTAACCTAGGCTAGGACTCACCCACTCACATGAAACTCGACAGAAAAGTTGGTGGAGGGGACAAAAAAGACAAAAGAGGAGAGGATAATCTCCTGGCAGTCAATTGTTGCTGTTGTTGCTGATTGGCAAAGACCACGGTGGCAAAGACTGGCTTTTCAACATGGCTCCAACGAAAATCAAGTTGTTTGAATATTTACGTAGAACATGCAACACGAGATCGGTGAAGATAAAATGGTGAATTTTCTATGTTTTACTTTTTGTTTTAGGGAATTCCATTAGGTACAGTGGATTTTTTGTCTATACAGGACAAGGTCACCAAGACCGTATTAAGGCACTGTGAGTCTGAGAGGTCCTAGGCCAAGAAATATTTTGTGGGCCCTGTACAGGGCACAGCTGTGAGAGTATCAATGTGATGATGTCATAAAAATCAATCTTGGGATTTGAAAAAACGACATCAAGTGCATCATAAAAACATTCAAAATTTACAAAGTTAGCCAGATCTGTTGTTACAGGTTGGAAATGTTTTGACCCCAAATGACACTAAAGGTTTCCCCTATCAAAGGACTGTTCTTCAGTCCTGGTTCTCAAATGTATGTAGTTCAGATTTGAATTTTATTGATTGCACAACATTAATTACAAAAATATACAAGAAATACTAGAAGAAGACATTTAAATATTCTTTGCAACTTAAGTTGTGCCATTATTAAATTGTGCAAATTTGAAATTGTGCCGTTTTCCATTGTTCACAGCTTCACACATCTATTTCATGCTGACTTCTTCCCAAGCCTAGATCTTTCTTCTCCATTGCATTATCATTACATAACACATCCTTACTCAGTACATTTATTGGTATGAGGGGCGGCTGGCACCAAAAATAAACTGTTATTAGTCAGCCAAGCAGTGGCATAAATTATGGGGGGGGGGGCATGGAGGGCTCCCCCCATTTTCGTTTGGGAATTTGGGCTTTCAAACCCCTAATATGTTTAGTCGGTTTTCTTGTTAAGAAAGGAAAACAATGTAGACTTGTGGCATTTAATTCGAAACTCCAATCCCCAATTTATTTGTAGCCGACCTCAAAGACAGCATCTCGATTACACGGGAACGGGCTGCTACAGCAATGCGTTCTAAGGGCACAGCTGACTTTTGATGCCTCGTGCGTTTTAACAATGGGGCCCCAGCAACATTCCGGCTACTGCGTTATTAGAAATGGCTTTCTAATAACGGGGCCATTGCAAACTATGGAGAAACAGACCATCCTGGATATGGAAAAAAGACTTGATGATTTTTCCTTCTGAAAATCTCCCAGCACAAGACCCGGGCAACAAAAATAAGTATTTTTTTATTTCTTCCCCGCAAATCCATGGGATGCCTCGTTAAAATCTTTATTAGAAAAGAGAAGTCTTTGGGTAGGCCATCGTTATAAGCGAAAGAGTTGTTCATGCATTAGACTTTTACCAGTTGAAAATGCGGAAAAAACTTGAGAAACAACCCAGTGTACAGAGCCTGTTTGAATTATGGTAGTTATTTTGTTTGTGATTTTGTTTCATGAAGTAAGCAGCCGATATCCCGGAATGCGTTATTCAAACGAGGAGGCTAGTAACATGTGATTAAAACACAATGTCTTCATGTCCTGTTTTCTATGACGATACGTCACATTCAGAGAGTAAAAACAAAGGAAATGGTGATTCGCGTTATTAGAAACACAATCCTAATAACGGAGATGTTAGCAAGGGCTATTGTTGACATTTTCAAAGGGAGCTTGAAGGCGGAAAAATTTCAATAGAAGTCTATTGACATGCGGAGCCTTGAGCACAAATCATTGCGTATGAAAATAGACAATGATGGCAACAACAAGCCTATAGCTTTGGAAAAAAACTGTTATTAGACTAATAACACTAATAATGCTGTAAGCCACCCCTGATTGGTATATAGCTATCTTAATTTGTAAGTAATTTTAGTCAGTCAGTTCAGTTCAGATCAGAGCTATACAGGCAAAATTCTGTCTCTCTCACTGGCTCTGTGTTCTCAGCATAGTAAATAAGACTCAAAGTAGCATGAACGATGGAAATTTAGCGGAAACAGGATAGGAATCACATCAGTTCTTGCTTCATAACATCGTTCATATACTATCATTATGGCTCAAAAGCTTTACTTTGTCAGCCTGGGCCCCTGAAAACCACAGGCCATGGCCTAGTTTGCCTTTTGGTTTATCCGGCCATGAAGGCCAAATTGCATTTAATCCATGTATGTCTTTGCAATGTAGTGTGGGGCTTTAGAGTTGTAGCCCCCAATGTTTTAAAACTATGTTTTCTTTATGATAGTGTACTAATTAGGAGGCAATACAATGGTCGGCCCCTCCACCCCCATTTGAATTTTGTTCCGATGGCACTGCTAGGTGAGATATGTCATATTTCAAAAAATTATAATGGCATTTCATCTGGCCTCTCTGGCAAGATCTTACAAATTTGTAGACTTGAGCAAGAAAGAATGTTTTTAAAAATTGTCTTTGATGAAGATATATCAAACAGTCATTAAAAAATTTTCCTTGAAAATTGTCACAAACCTGAAAATAATACATCATTTTGCTTTCTGAAGTTCAGAACAAAGATCTGAAGCAAACAAAAAATTTGACTTTCATGCAAAAAGTTTTGAGAGCACTTTTCAATTTTTTATTGTGCTAGTAAGTTCAATTTTCTACAACGTTTTTGTGATGAACAAAGACAGTAGCAAAGATTTGAACTTTGCTCTTAAGAATGATAAAGATTTCTGAGAATGCATGATGAAAACGGTAGACGAAGTAGAAATTGGATACTTTTTAGCTAGACAAGGGAGCTTGACCCCCTGAGCACCCCAGCACTACACCAGTGCATTGTAACTACTAGCACATTGTAACCCCAAAGGCTGGTTAACCAGCAAATGATGTGATAAACACTTGATGCACTAGAGACATAGGAAAATATAACTTTCCAAATAAAATTTTCCAACTCTAATACTGTTTCCCTTGAACCAGTGTATGATTCTCCTACCTAATAAACGACAGTGTCTCTCTATTATCTAAAAGGCAAGAGTGACAATTGAAGGAAAGAAAAAACTTAGTGTGAACAAGAGAACAATTGACATGGCAATCAAGGGGTCTTTGGGGCATATAGAAGGAAATGAAACCATAGATGATCATCACACTAACATTGTAATGTCAACAAAATCATTGATAGATCAAGGAAATTTGTTGGAGAAGAGCAGAAGGACAAGTGAACCAGTGGAAAAATGTAAACGGCATGTTATTTTCACTGATTTTGTTGCATTTAATTTTCATGGAAATATAAAGTTTCGTATTTTATATAATTAGAACATGTCCTAACTGTAGAGAGCAATTCATCATGTTCATTGGGTCCAAGATATTTATGTCCATCTGGGAAAAACTTTTTGTACTTCAAAGTAAATGTGAACCCTTCAGAAATATTTTCATATTAATATGTATTTGAACTCCTAATAAAAAGGACAGTGAGAAAAACATGATAATGAAAACTTTTTAATTTTGAAGCAAAGTGAAAGGAACAGCTCTTTAGAACATGTCTCTGTTTGTCGGTTTCATATGATTGTCATATGCTTCGATTTGCTTTTCACAATGAGTTTATTTGTATTGATTTTTAGTTGCTTCATATTAGTTTTGTTTTGTTTAATTTTCAGTTATTTAATTGGCTAATGTATGTTTTTTTTTCAATCAGACTCTTGCATACATTGGCAGCTAGAAGCTCCAGAAGAAGCACTGAATACAAACATTTGATGCTAGCCATGAAAAAGGTAAAATAATCAGCTTAGCGGGATCTCGTTTCTTTTAACCTATAATGTCCACTGGTCTAACAAAGAAGGTATGAATAACAGGTACCAAATTTTCCTCTTGTGATTTTTAATTGATAGTAGCCTAAAAACAAGTTAAGAGAATTGAGACTGCTTGATGAAGCCAAAATTTCAACAAAGGAATATTCTGGAATGAGTTTTGTTCTCCGGGATAATCCTTGCTCGCACTAATTTATTTTGTAGAAAAATTTAGCCATAACATATTGAATACTTTCAAGTTGAGAAAAATTTGCATTTACCTCTTTTATTAAGGTCGCCTTTCCCAGAAAAAACCATTCTGAGTGCTTGAAAAAAATGGCAATATAATAGGTTTTTCTTCATATTGATTTTCTTTAGTACATGCCATTCACTTATTTCAGGCCAGGGCAAAATATCACCCACCCTGCTTATCTATTTTGAGAAATAAATCCACCCATCCCGTTTTTTATACCTACCACAAACTCTGCTTATTCTAACAATCATCTATAGATGTGGATCGAACTAACATACCATAAATATAAATAGCCTCACCTTAAATATAGATAGCGAATATACAGAGGTATTTTCAATTCTTGTCCATGAGTTGTTCCACGCACTACTCTAGCAAATCTAGCAAAATTTCAAGTGTACCAAGGCTGAAAAATCAAATTTCAATTATCTAACTAGTAAAACATATTTCGTTATCAATTTAAAGTGTTTGATGTTGTCTGATTTTAGCTACTCTAAGCTAATGTCCCAAAGTGCGCGAGGATGTTGATTTTCATATGAAGTCTGGGGTTGTCTTCCTGTACTGATAAAAACCTACATTTTTGCCATTTGTTGTATCTATTTTTCGTGAAAGTAAACAGGATTTTCTCTTCCCAAATATAGAAAGTTGGAATTTTTACATGTTTTTTCCTGGAGCTGGAATGTGCTTGCAAGCTTTGCTAAGAGTTCTATGTTGATGATCTCTTTGAAAGGAACCAATCCCATATTGAGAGAAAGTTTTGTTTGTTCGAGAAAGAATAAAGCCCCTACTTGGTGGTTCCTTCCACCTGATGATAAGAATTATCAACGAGAAAAATTATAAGAATGGTTATCTCCTTCAATTTCTTAAAGAAAGTAATCTCTTTTGATTATTCCAATGCATAATGGCTTCTGGGCCCTATCGCATTTATGGGGACTGATAGCGCACTTATATTGTTACGTGTGTTTAGAGCGTGAACGATTTTTTTTTCTAGACAGAAGATTCAAGCTCTTTATACCAAAATCTGCCAGTGTCGTGTTATCATTGCAGACTTCAGCGATTGCAATCGCTGTTCGTTTGGAATCAAATACATGACCTTTTTAATCCTAAAGCCGTTTCCAAGGACATTGGAAGGTATCCCGCTAAGGTAGTTTCTGCACCAGAACAAAACTCATTGCTAATAACATCCAGAAGTATTTCTCGAAGAAACAGCTGCTTTGTACAAGAAAGTTTAAAAGAATCGTACCATAAGAAAACTGAGAAAGATACGAGTAACCCTACACGTGTAAGCACTAAGAATTGTGGGTTAGCTGTATCAGGTAGAAAGCAGTTTGATGATTCCCCTGCCAACGATGTCCGTCGCTCTGCAGCCAGTTTTGCAATCGAAGCTGAAAAGGTGATTGGATTCGATTTGTCAGAACGCTGTGTTCGTAAGACTTCTACAGATATATCAAGAGTTGCACATTCAAAAACAATTTATAGAGGGAAGGACAGCAATGTTAGAAAATGTTCCCAATGGAAAACGCCGCAGGCAAAAGGCGCAATTGAAACTCCTGCCAGGAAAAAGGATTCGACGAAAATGGAAAGTCACGGCTCACCAACTTCTTTTTCATGTACGGATGAGCTTCGCGAAAGACATGCCAGCAGCAATCAAAGAAGTATTTTGAAAATGGATGGCTCTTCAATGTCTTCAAACGACGTTTATACCAGTCACCCAGGAACTAAGAAAGTTAATAGACAGCATGATGATGCGAATGATGGCGTTATGGTGTTAGAAGAATTACCCAGTATACCAAGAGGAACAAAAGAAAGCATAACCAATGAAAGAACCCACGAAACCAAATCATGTCTTCCTGCGACTTCAAATTCACGCTGCAAAACAAAAAATAGTTCTTCTTCTCGCTTAACAAACATCAGAAGCAATAACAACAGCAACAACGGAAGCAGTATTTTGAATCACTGTTCGATATGCTTGATGGAGTTTCCTTTAAAGTAAGTCTTCTCTCTACTTCCTTCCACCCACCATGATTTCTTTTACAGGCTCAATCTGTGATGACACTTAAGCAAAACCAAAGATTAAAGAAATAAAGGTCGAAATTGAGTTCTCCAGGCTCTTAACGCCATAAAAATTTCCAGCATTTACTGGTTCTTAAGGATTTCTTGATTTCAGTGCCATTCATTTTACGATTCGGCGTACTATGTGTAGCTTTAAATGCTAGGGAAAGGTAAATTTTAGTATTTTGATTGATTACGGAAGATAATAGCCTTTTAAACCTGGCTGTGAAGAATTTGTGAGACTAAATAATGGAATTTCACTCAATTTTAGTGTTTTTCTTTTTTCAAAATTCTTAGTTTTTGCTTTTGTGTACAGAAATTACTCAATTTTTTTGGAAAACCCATGCTCTTTTCTTGCAGCAATTTTCTTTTATAAAAAAGAGTGTATATTAAAACCAGGGACCCTTCCTGTAATTTGGCTGTCTTAGTCGATCATGGTCAAACTATACTCAAGAAAAATGTTTTACATCGAGTTGTAACGAATTTATTTATCAAATCTAAAAAACATTGAAGATGATAAACATTTGAATTTACCCTTTGCATCTCCTCAAAATAATCACCTCAAAATATTTGGATCACCTCATAATGGTTGCATTACTTCACAATGATTGCATCACATCACAATGATTGCGTCACTTGAGAACGATAATCCCAACATGATCGCATCACCTCAAAATATTTGGATCATCTCATAATGGTTGCATTACTTCACAATGATTGCATCACATCACAATGATTGCATCACTTGAGAACGATAATCCCAACATGATCGCATCACCTCAAAATAATTGGATCACCTCATAATGGTTGCATTACTTCACAATGATTGCATCACATCACAATGATTGCGTCACTTGAGAACGATAATCCCAACATGATCGCATCACCTCAAAATATTTGGATCACCTCATAATGGTTGCATTACTTCACAATGATTGCATCACATCACAATGATTGCATCACTTGAGAACGATAATCCCAACATGATCGCATCACCTCAAAATATTTGGATCACCTCATAATGGTTGCATTGCTTCACAACGATTGCATCACATCACAATGATTGCATCACTTGAGAACGATAATCCCAACATTATTGCATCACCTCAAAATAATTGGATCACCTCATAATGTTTGCATCACCTCAAAATGGTTGCTATGCCATAAAATTGTTGCTTTTTCTGGTAGCGTTTCGCAAAATCCGAAACTCTTATTGCGAGGTACCGAAATACCCAAGTGTGTTTTTCAAAGCAAAGATTTACTAGAACCAAGCAAACATGGCGGTAGCCGATCAAGGTCAAAGGGAAAAGGAAAGCTTTTCCATAACCAAAACCCAATTGTTTTCTTTGTTTTTCTGAGTAAGGTTTTCATAATTTGTGGGTTTAGAGTGGTAAGGTGTGACTTCTTAGAAATTATTTTTTAGAATTTTTAACTTGGCATCCTAAATCTTTAAAAGTGACACCATGAAAAATCTCTGAATATGCCAAGTATGTAAAATGTGTTAAAAATTGGGTAAAATATGTCTAATTAGAGATTTGAAATTTGCTGACGGAGCACTGTGATTTTATCTTGATTCATAAAGCTTCAAATAAAGACTAAAATTCTGTGATTTGAAAGCAAAAGAGCCTGTAATCGTGTAGCTGTAACTGATTCTGCACATTTAGAAATATTTCAAGATTCTCGTTCAGGATTTATAGAATTCAATTTCAGCAACTGTAAAAACTGATTTTTGTGACGCCATTTTTTTATAGACACTTTTCTTTATGTATATAAAATTGTGCTCAGCAACTTTGAACACTAATTACGAGTCAACTTGCTTATGGAAGAGAATGGCATTTTTTGTTATTTCAACGATTGGGGGTTATTTCATTTTTGTACAGTTTTGGTTTGAATGAATATGCTGTTTGAAAATTGTTGAGCTATAGCTCTGGTTCAAAACCAAGCTTTTGTTTTCTTGTTATCCCTTTCTATCTTTTCTCATTTCAGCTGCCTGTTTTGCAAGCTCATTTCTCTGAATTTTCTTTGTAGCTGGTCACAAAAGGCAAGGAACGTGCACGTATCTTCTTGCATTCCAATGGAGTTATTCATGGAAGACGATGCAGATGATGAAATTATCCAACTTGAAATTTCTTAAATATTGTCTTTGATGTGATTCCATGCTTTGTTGAGTATTGAATTGTTCTTATAAAGTACCGACGTGTGACGTCATCAAAAATCTATTTTTAGAATTTCTTAAATTTGGCCATATAATCTGAAAGAACGACATAAAATACTTCTCAATGTGCAAAATTAGCTAGAAATGTCCCAAATTGGGCGAGATATGGCCAATGAAAGATTTCAAGTTTGCTAACGGATTACTGTTATTCTGGCCTGGTTGATAAAGTTATGAACCAAGACCAAATTACGGAGGTTTGATGGGACAAGAGCCTGTGCTAATGTGGCAATATCTCAGCCAAGAGCAAAAACTAGGGTGACTGAAACCATTCCTTGTAAGTTACCAAAAACGTGCTAGATATGCACCTGAATTCAAGGTTAACAACGAAAAAATATGTGAAGAAACAGAAGAGTTGGAGTATATATTTTTTGGATATTTGTCAAGTGACGAAAGCGATAATGATGATTCTGACAGATCTGATTGGCTACCATGATTTAGTTAAAAAGATACCTTGTGATCAAGTATTAGTTAACATTAAGAAAATATTGTAATCAATAGCATTCGCTTACCCTCTATTCGTGCTATGCTTTACTGTGTTGCCAAATGATGACGTCATCAATTTTTTTGCTGACATCTCCAAAACTCTGAGAAATATACACCATTCAAATCATAACATTAGTCAGGGCTGTTAGCCTCAGATTTTGAGAGAGTTATGCAAAATCGCATACCAGCATGAAACTTCGTCCACAAGGGTAGTTTTGGGCGCTGAACAAGATAAGATGCAGACCCCAGCTGAGAAATGCCCCAAAATGCTATTTTTAGACTGTTGTACTTGGTCCCAGGCTCCAAAAGCGTTAATTGTAAAAATACTGCCGCTAGTTGTGATAACAACATGAAAGTTAGAAGAAAAAGGCAGTTTGATATGCTCGAAAAGATAGGATGCAAACCCCAGCTGAGAAATGCCCCCAAATGCTATTTTTAGACTGTTGTACTTGGTCCCAGGCCCCAAAAGCGTTAATTGTAAAAATACTGCCGCTAGTTGTGATAACAACATGAAAGTTGGAAGAAAAAGGCAGTTTGATATGCTCGAAAAGATAGGATGCAGACCCCAGCTGAGAAATGCCCCCAATTGCTATTTTTAGACTGTTGTACTTGGTCCCAGGCTCCAAAAGCGTTAATTGTAAAAATACTGCCGCTAGTTGTGATAACGACATGAAAGTTAGAAGAAAAAGGCAGTTTGATATGCTCGAAAAGATAGGATGCAGACCCCAGCTGAGAAATGCCCCCAATTGCTATTTTTAGACTGTTGTACTTGGTCCCAGGCCCCAAAAGCGTTAATTGTAAAAATACTGCCGCTAGTTGTGATAACAACATGAAAGTTAGAAGAAAAAGGCAGTTTGATATGCTCGAAAAGATAGGATGCAGACCCCAGCTGAGAAATGCCCCCAATTGCTATTTTTAGACTGTTGTACTTGGTCCCAGGCCCCAAAAGCGTTAATTGTAAAAATACTGCCGCTAGTTGTGATAACGACATGAAAGTTAGAGGAAAAAGGCAGTTTGATATGCTCGAAAAGATAGGATGCAGACCCCAGCTGAGAAATGCCCCCAATTGCTATTTTTAGACTGTTGTACTTGGTCCCAGGCCCCAAAAGCGTTAATTGTAAAAATACTGCCGCTAGTTGTGATAACGACATGAAAGTTAGAGGAAAAAGGCAGTTTGATATGCTCGAAAAGATAGGATGCAAACCCCAGCTGAGAACTGCCCCTGTGTGCTATTTTTAGACCGCTGTCCTAGGTCCAAGTCCGCGGAAGTGGTTATCCTTATTACTTTGATAAACTCTTTTATTTTGGTTTTCGAAGGAAATTTACATAGGGAATTAAGAATCTTTTTTCATTCTCCTGCAGAATATTGATAAAGGTTTTGTGCAGTCTAGCTTAAATAATTTAAAAAAGTAATCGAACAGAATTTTAGTGGAAGAAATCTGATACCTTCCTTTTCAAACCCAGTAAATGAACCGGATGTTGTAATGGTTTCATTCCATTTCCTTCAAAAGTTTACCTTAGTGATAGGATCTATTGTCTTGTTTAACAATAGCGATGGGGCCATCGAAATTGCAAACAATTCATATACGTTTTTTTGAGAAATAAGACAATGATACGTGGAAATGTCTAAGAAAATATTTCAACTGGTTAACCCCCATAGCGAGTTGACCAGACCTAGTTCAATGAGCAAAGAAATACTGGAGACAAATTGGGAAAGTTGTTTTTTTTGCCAAGAAACGACATCAGAGGTACTAGAATGTCCAGCAAGGAAAGGCACTCACTCCGATAAAGGTTTAGGATACAAAAGCATTGCAGAACAGCTTGAAAGGTTTCAGGGCATTGGTGAGCTTCCTTCTTTCCTTGATACAAGGACAGGCTTAACAAGCAACGAGGTATTAGCTGGCAATCTTTTGCAAAATGAGGCAAAATTTCATAAGCGTTGCAAAAATAAATATGACGACTACCATTACCAAAGGGTATGTAGGAAAAAAAGAAAGAAACAGCTGATGTTGAAATCGCTCAGGCCCCACCTAGCACACGCCCAAGGTACAGCGCAGATAATTTCAAAGTTAGGTGTTTTTTTTGTGAAAAGGATGATTTGGAAGTGAATTTGACAAACGCTCAAACACTCGTGACGCGGTAAAAGAGCTCTTTGATGAAAAACTCTTAGCCAAGTTAAGCGAAGGTGACATGGTAGCAGTTGAGGCCCGATATCACAAGCAATGCCTTGCCGCTCTTTACAACCGTCTGAAAAGCTCTCATCGAACAAAATCTGTTCACGAAACAGAGGACGCTATTAGAAAAAGGGCAGTGTTGGCTGAGATTATTGATTATCTTAGGGACATGGTAGAATCTTCCAAGAATATTTCCGTATTCAAGTTAAGCTGTATCAAAAAGCTCTTTTGCGATCGTCTTGTGGCGCATGGTGCTACTGCAGAAAGTGTAAAGAATGTGCACAGTACTCGTTTGAAGAATGACATCTTACATCACATCCCAGAGCTCGAGGAAGAAAAGCAAGGAAACAATGTTCTCCTAACACCCAAGGAAGAAACCTGTACCGCGATTTATCAGGCATGTCTAGAGAATGACCAGGATGATGGAATTTGCCTTTCTAAAGCTGCCAATATCATTAGGAAACATCTATTTTCGCATAAGATTGAGGACCCTTCCCAATTTCTTGCATCTCAAAAAGCTTCAGTACCCCCATCTCTTGTCACTTTCATCAGTATGCTCATTAGTGGAACACGCATAACTGATTCATTACCTACATCAGCACATAAGGCTTCACTCATGCTGGTATCACAACTAGCAGCAGTATTATTAGGATAAACGCTCTTGGGGCCTGGGACCAAGTATCACAGTCTAAAAATAGCATTTGGGTGCTTTTTTCAGCTGGAATCTGCATCCTATCTTTTCGAGCATATCAAACTGTCAATTTCTTCTAATTTTCATGCTGGTATCACAACTAGCAACAGTATTATTAAGAGAAACGCTTTTGAGGCCTGGGACCAAGTATCACAGTCTAAAAATAGCATTTGGGGGCATTTCTTAGCTGGGGTATGCATCCTATCTTTTTAAGCATACCAAACTGCCCCATTTCTTCTAATTTTCATGCTGGTATCACAACTAGCAGCAGTATTTTTTACAAAAAACACTTTTGGGGCCTGGGAACAAGTACAACAATCTAAAAATAGCATTTTGGGGCATTTCTCAGCTGGGGTCTGCATCCTATCTTGTTCAGCGCCCAAAACTACCCTTGTGGACGAAGTTTCATGCTGGTATGCGATTTTGCACAACATTTTGGCTAACAGCCCTGACTACATCGAGAACTATCGATTGAGACCGTTTTCACTCAATTTACGCGTATTTTTGCCCCGCTACGAGTGTTTTACTGGCAAAAAATGTCCCTCTGTGACGTCATCAAAAACCACACTTCCGGTCGAAATTTCAAAGAGCTCATCTCGGATTTGGAATCAGCATGGTCGAATTGCTATTGTTGTGAAATAAAATTCAGAGTTAGGTTGAAGTTCAGATTGTGGAGGAAAATTCTCTGCCTATTATAATTCCCCTTTTTTCAATGAATAACTATTTTATACCAAAAGCCTCTATTGAACTGGACTTGCTACAAGTCTCTCTCTTTAAAGAAAGGGAAAAAGGAAAAAATTGCGTTTTACCTTTCTTTTTTTCCTTTTTCCCTTTCTTTAAAGAGAGAGACTTGTAGCAAGTCCACTATTGAACAAGTGAACACAGGTAAAACGCCCAGATTGGAAATTTTGTCATGCACGGCCGATTTCCCGACCGCGAACTTAGCCGCACAATATTGGCATACACTATATCTTTATATTATATCTTTATATTTATTATATGTAAATTTTAGTCACGCAAATCGCACTTCGGTCCCAGGGGAATCACTTGAAATTTTTATTTAGGGGGATGGGGTCCTTCCGATAATTTTGGGTAATATTTTAAATATGCCCATCTTGATTTTAACTACGCAAGCTCAGATTTGGGCGCTTCGCCCGCGCGCACAAAAAATGTCAAATGGAAATCGGCCCTAAATCTGAACTAAACCTGAAGGTCGTCAAGCACAACAACAGAAACAACAACAGCAACACCTAGACATAAAGACATGATTGAGACGAGAAGGCGCGAAAATAAACAGCCTAATAGCAGAAGGGCTTTCGTGTTTTATAAGTTTATCTTCAGAGAAAATAAGGAGGTAAGAATTGATACTTCAATTGATACTTATTAACCTTCAATAAGTTCTTCAAACCTGTTATTTGATATCTCTAGGAAAGCAACGAAGTCCAGGTTGGTAGCCTACATATACTTTCGTCTTGGTCTTGAAATTAAGTTCAATATGCAACAATAATTAGTACAAGCTACATCAAGTTTGTTGGATGAAAATAAACATGTTGTCTGGAACACATAGATAAACCATGACACAATTCGCGAACCCGATCCCTTAGCTGCCGTCTAGATCTAGAGTAAATCGTTAACCACCGATATCTGTGAAGCTTGTTAGTTACTAGGTAAGTTCATGGAATTTTTTACAAAAGTTCAATGATTATTATACGAGACGCAAGTACAGATATCCTAATAAATAAATAAATTCAAAAGTGAAGGGAGAAAAAAGAAGGAAGAAAACAAGAGGGGAAGCACACACCTTTGCGTCTTCATGATCTTCTTAGGCATAAAGGGTTTGAAAATAAACTTACTTTACCATCTCATAACTTTACGACAGTTATTTCTAGAAATTTTTTAAAAAAGTCAGGTTCAATATTGTATTATTCATTAATCTAACTTTGATAAAGATCAGTAGTGAGAGCAAACTTTTCTAACCATTAATCAGCCCACTAAAGTTTCTTGTTTCCAGCAATATTTTACACTTCGCAAGTTATACAGAAGTACTTTGTCAATATTATGAAATTTATAAATTTGTGTGTAAGTATCTGACATATATTTTCAAACTAAGTATTGATACATGATATGGAAATATACTTTAAATGAATGCAAATCTCTCCTTCTAACTTGTGTCTTAATGTATGATTTCTGGATCACAGGGGTATATAAATACTGCTATGCCTGAATCATTTGTTAAAGAGCATGTGTTCCCTGCTGCCAAATACACAAATCAGTTGCAATTCAATTTACAAAAAACTTCAAAAGTGGAAAATTTGCAAACAACATTTGAAAAGCCAAAGCCCCTTATTATAGAAAAATTGCCAAAATCTGAAGATGTTACAGCTTGTCATACATTGTCATCAGATGTCAAATCAAGCACTTCCTCTTTAACAAATCATCGCCTGGATCTGGCCATGAAACTAGCAAAAAGAGATGTAAAAAAGCTAAGATCAATGCTTGATGGTCAGCATGTAGATTTGTCAAAGTACATTTCTAGCCAAGAGCAGCAAAATGATATTAGGGATTTTCACAAAGGACAACTTGAAGATAAAGCCATTGACAATAGGCAACAACAAAAGCAGCTGAAATTTGCAGGCAATGAAGTCAGTAAAGCAAAGAAACCAAGCATTGGGAAAGTTGTTTCAGGTAATTGTGAATCTATGAGTAACAAAACAAAAAAAACGCATTTAAGATTCTTTGATTCTGAAGGGGATGAGGTAGACAAGAAAAAGATAGGGGAACATAGCAAGGAAGAGACAGCACAACTAAAATTAGTTCAGTCAAAAGATAAGGACTCAACAGACATAAAGAGATTGCAAAAAGAGCTACAAAAGTACATGATGCGACTGGATGCAATTTTAGAGCAGAAGGATAGTAAGAGAGTTGGTTGGACAGGTAATGGAAAAGGAAGCACAAATGAGCAAGAAATTGAGCTAGCTAAGAAAAAGAACAGAGCTGCAGAACAAGCTGCTAGGTCAGCTAGGATCTTATACATGCTACAGAGAAAGGTTTGAATCATTTGATGTATGTTACCAGTAAGAATGTAAAACATTCATGAATGCAGGCCTGGCGGTTTGAGGCAAGCTATAGCTCCCGCTTGCCTCCACGCTCCCCTCGCAACCTGAGGCGAGCTATGAATTGCTCTCCTAAACAGAACATGAAGGGAGAATCGCTCTCCTAAAATTTCCATTCATTTGCCCTGAAAAAGTACAAGGGTTAATTGGTTTATTTTTGTAACAGCGATTTCTTCCGTCATTGTATTTTTTGCAAATAACTTTTTGCTTGTTGGGCAGTTTTTGCTATGATAGGCATGAACTTCGATCTATTTGGAAAAGGATGGTTAAGCGAAAGGTACATTGTAGCGATTAGAACCTTTCAATCTTAATAAAACAGGCATATTTTTGGAAGGAAAGTCGAAGAAATTGGTAGGAACTGTAGATTGGGGGATATAATAAAACACCAGGTCCCTTCCAGCAATAGAAACAAAACTACCCCTCAAAGAGAACAGGGTACTCTGTCTTGCAGATCAAAAACAACAACCAAAACATGGAAATCCATTATCCAGCGGCATTTACTGAAAAAACCCAGATTGGGTGAAAAACTATAACGGCGACATGTTTCGCATTATTGTCAAAGCATGATCATCGTTCCATCTAGCAGTTTGTGAATCTATCTACTATATAAACATGACAGACCGCTTTTGTGTAGACAGAAGGAGTTCGTTTTCACCTTAGGACTCTGTTGGTAACATTTTCAATAGGAAAGCGGCACTGATTGGACAACCTAAATGTGCTCACGTTTTCTGATTGGCCTATTTTGATCCAAAACTGGGTATTTTAGCGTAGAGTTTTCCATCTATGTTCTGACGTTTTATACTCTGAAGAGTAAAAGTTTGTTTCGAAATTTGTTTTTGAAAGCCATTTTCAAATTCTGTACAACAAAAAGACTGTTTGGCAAGAGAAATGTTGTTTTTGTGTTAAGCCAGCTTGACATGAAACTGAAAGAGTCTGTTCTTTTAAATACTTTAAGTAAAGGGGGTGCTTAAGTCACGGTTAAAGCAAATACAAATTGAAAGAAGTAAAACAGCATACTCCTGACTGAGGATATTAAAGGCAACCGACTGATACTGAAGGGGCTTAAGTCACCTGTCAATTGTCTTTAAAGTACATTCTATGTGTTACTGATTTAGCTTGCCTCAGCAAATGAGGGGAGCGATTCATAGCTCACCTATAAAAATACAAACGGCCAGGTCTGATGAATGCTCTTATTCAAATAATTGTTCAGTATGATTTCCTTTTGAAAAGACTCTATTCAATTTCATTATTTGTTATGTTTTGATTTACATTTTGTGGTTCAGTTGTTACCAATATTGTAGGGAATGTGTGGAAGAAATTGTCTTTTTTTGAGTTGGATGAAAATATGCTTCTACATGTAATTTCTACAATAATGAATGGTATTTGACAATTTGATAGAAACACTCAGGGGTGGTGCCAGCCCCAAAAATATTGGGGTGGACAGTGAAGGGGCAGAGCTGATAAAGGGGTCAGGGTGAGAAATCAGTGCCACACCAGACGAGAGACTGTGCTCTTATTGATAACCAAGTTTGACATATTTTGTAATCCTCAATAGAAGAATTCAATTTCATTGAGTAGAAGTGTTAAATTTCATAGGCAAAGGTTTACACAAATAAAAACTAAAAAAATGCCATCAGAGTGATATATTTAGCTAGCAGTAGTTTTAAACTTTTTAATGAGGCTTTCCATCTCTATTTTATCTGCCATATCTTGCTTTATGCTAATTTTAACAAGGTTTTCCAACCTTTCGTCTGACATTAAGGCTCAAAGCTAATTGTGATGCGGCTGTGGCAACTGGTGCTGCAACTATAATCTCCTTAAAGCTTAAAAAGTGTTTGGGTACAAGTTTCAAAGTTAATATTTGCCAAAAACCTTTAACTTGGAAGGAAGGCAAAGGCCACATTTTAAGAACCAACTGTTTAGCACTATAGAGCTGTGTTTTATAGATCATCCTCATTATAGTTTCTCACTATTTACAGAACTCATCCAACATACTGTACTCTGTGTCAGCTAAGATCTGAAGAATAACCGTAACTGACAATTGAAATGAAAAAAGTTCCAATCTCTGAGAAGAAAACTTATACCCCACCTTATTTTTGAAATCCAATTTTGGAAAAAGTAGAATATTGATCTTAAAAAAAGTGGGGTGTAAGTCCACGCCATGGTGCTGCCCCTGGAACCACTGAAAGACTTTTATAGCTAATTATTTAGTTATGCCAGTTTAATAATGTCATTTTGATAATGCCTGTCTGTCGTCCAATTTTATGTCGTTTTGCTTCTAAAATAAACAGGTGCAAGAAATTCAGGATGAACTACAATCGAAAGAAAATTCAATGAGGCACACAAAAAAGGTTTTGATTTTTGTATCTATTTCTGCGAAATGCTTGATTTGATCTTTTTCCGTGATATGATTTCTCAGCCATCATTTTCATTAGATGATAGTGAATTTTAAAGAAACATGTTGATCAGAAATCTACATGTGCTTCCGAAATCCCAGTTTTTTAGAAATTTTGTCTTATCCATAAAAGGGTAACATGACAGTTTAACGAGAAGAATCTTTTATTTCATTTGCTATGTAACCTTTGGTTTTGCTTTCCAAACAGATACTGCCTTGTGGGGGTCACATTTTTTCAGAAAATAAATAAAATTTATTCAATTTTCAGAGCCATTCCCTTTCACGGTTGGCAGCAGCTCATCGTTCAGCAGTTCGTGCCTTGCAGATGTTTGTTAATCATGCTCCTGCATATCATGAGCTTAACAATGGTTTACCTTCCATGTATAAGGAGCTAGGGCTTCTCATACAACAGCTGTCATTTCTATCATCTCATTATGAGAGCGGGAAAGACATGCCTCGCTTTGATTTGGACTTGCTCCCAAAGACTAAGGTACTCTATTTCTTTCTTTGAAAAATCGTCTATCTCTTAACTTTCATGTGAAGAAAACTTAATGTCATATGGTCACTGACATTTTTAAATGTCTTTAAATGCAAAACAGAAATCAACTCTGTCGTGCCAGCAACACACCTGTTACAGAGATAAAGACTGGAGAGAGAGAGGTCTCTCTCTCCCTGCCTTAATTTCTCCTGTGCATCTCTCTTCCTTTATTGCTTCTCTGCATTTTCTAATCAACAAAAGCTAACCAAGTTCAGTTAGAAAGAGTTTACAGGCTACTGTCCTTGAAGTTGATTTTTTATAATATTCTTTATCGTGCCTTGGATACATGCATTTTATATTCAGAAATATAGAGAGCTTCATCAAAAGCAGCTTTTCCTCTAGAAGAAAGATGAAAACTATTTATTTTGAACCAAGTTTTTCCAAACGGCGCAATTTTTGTTTCTATATTTAGTAAGCTACATGTTAATTTGAAGTCTTTAAGATTTTGAATTTATAGAAATTGTCTGATTAAACTGTTATTATGCATTTTGTAGAAACTCATTTCATCCTGGGACCCTCAAGACAAAAATGCCATTGACGGAAAACAATTGCAGCCTACCCAGAAGGCAAAAGACAGTACCGCCAGGATTTTTGATCAGCACAGCAAAGATCTCTTTCTTGAAAAGAACAAGGGCTGGATGATAAAAAAGGCAAAGGGGATTGGGTTCCAAACTGCTGATGGTATTTTTGCATGAAATATTGAAATGAAATTTAAAACATTTTGTTGCAATGTCCTTTTCCCTTTTTTTGGACATTCCTTAAATTCTTCTTCTGGTAGTTCTAAGAGGTAGCTGCTAAATGAGCCCTTGGTATACGATGAAAAACTTTGTGACCGTTTTGAAGGGCGTTTGATGTCTTTGTGAATCTTTTGTTTGACGATTTTACATGTGTTTCACTCACCCAAAAGATGATTCAGTGTTTTATGAAAATTCTTTATCTCTTATATTTTTATGTTCACTAGCCTCTTTTATGATTTTTCATGTTGATGTTAATATGGTACCAGAATCAGTTTTTTAATCTGCAGCAGAATGTTTTTTTCTTTTGAATGTGTCTCACATGTTTCTCTAAAATGTTTTTGTTCGCTTCAGAACCAACACCAGAAAGACAGGCAATTTTGCAAGCAAGCGAAGATGCACTTGAACGAGCGAGAGACTCAGTGTCTTTCCTGACAACCGTATGTTTTTCTATCTTGTTATTGCTTTGATTTAACTTTATTTCCAGACCATTACAAATTTGTGAAATTTTTCAACCACTATCCTTAGGTACTTTCGTTAACAAGTGATTTGTGTAATATTTGATTCCACAATATCTATTCTTCATGTAATTTTGTATCGATCATGTCTTTATTCAGAGAATATATCAATCAAGCTTTTATTATGTGCTGCAAGAAGAAAGAAACTTGAAATCATTACGAAATATCTTAACACACTTCGATGTTGATATGTTACTGATTATAAAAAGAATCCTTTGAAGTTGTTGGACCCACGTCTTATGCGATTAAGATATATTGTGTGCAATTTTAAGTTTCATAGCTGTTATCTACTATAATGATTTGATTGTTAAATGCATACTATATTTACTTGTGAACCTGCGATTATGAAGACTTGCGATTATGAAGACCTACGATTATGAATACCTGTGATTATGAAGACCTGCGATTATGAAGACGTGCGATAATGAAGACCTGCTGTGCATACGAGGGTTTCTTTGATTATAGCCATTGTGTCCAGATAGATTGCAGTATCATGTACGATTGTTAAAACCGCTGACAAAATACTGGCATACATTCAGCCATTTTGTTTGCTTGATTGACAAGCTATCCGTTCCTTCGTTGGTTTGTACCAAGCTACTGCTTCATAGAAGCATTCTTATTGTACGGACTGCCTGTAAGAGCATTTAAAGATAACACAGATAAGCCTCAACATAGCATACTTAGTGATTTTTGCCCGATACATTTCAGAGTATGAACGTCGGATAATAACTATACAGTACCTTGAAAGCGGAGCGAGAGTACTGTGAATGAAACTCATCTCTGAACCAGCTCAAGAGTCTAAGGGAGAAAATTATCTTTCTTTCTACACAAGTCGGAATATTTTTCTTTTGATGTAGACAGATTCAGAACACATAAATGAAAAGATGACCTTGCTCTCTCTCTCTCTCTCTCTTAAATTTTTATACAAAAATTTTTGTAAACCCGGAGTCATTGATGGTTTATCCTGGATGGTTTCTTTAAGAAAACAGTGACTCTAGCTTAAAAAGTAAAACGACAAACAATTTTTTTTCAATTTCAATTTTCGGAATTGCCTGTTAGTGATTAAGGAATTATTGAATAAACAATTCAAGAAATATGATATTGATTTTTACTTTTTGAAGTTGCGGTTTTTGTTTTAGAACGTGGAAAACGAGGATGTAAAGGTTACCAAAAGTCACAGAAGAGCCATCAAGGATAAGAAATCTGTGTTGTTTCCCCACCGGATAAAGGTTCTATTTAACTGCTTTTAAGATCAATTTTCTATACATTATTGCTCTATGAATAAATTGTTAATCGTGTGATTTTATCATGAGATCATGTAATTTGCTTTTTGAACTTAAGAAACTGAGATGTTTTGACAGAATAGAAAGGTTTAGGATATCTTACAAAAGCAAATCATACAAATACTTGTGAGTGACCGTGTCTATGCCATGAGCAAGCTGATCAAAAAATCGTTTTGTTGTGATCTATGTATGTATTTCCTGCTCTTTCTGTGAAATTCAGAATGAAAACATTCTTCATAATGTCTTTTGAAAATAACTGAAGATAAATATTTTTGAAGATGAGGAAGTGGAGTTTTTGATGCAAACTGGCACGTTGAAAACCAAAGAATCTGTGCTTAGTAATTGAGTCTTTTTTTCATCGTAATCCTATTTCTAAAGTTTATCACTTATATTACTGAAATTAAAAGACCTTTGCACATATTCCTCTTTTTCTCGTTTGTTTCAAACATTTTTACGTTTGTTTCTAAATATTTTCACGTTTGTTTCAAAAACTACAATAATCTTAGTCATAACAATCAATTAGCTGCAATCATTTAATCGCAAACAGTATCAGGTTTAAACATTGATTTCTATACATTCAGCGTCATTATTAGATAACTATTGTCGCTTATAATAAATAAAGGCGTTGATAACAGCAATGTAATCTTATAGAATTTCAAAGCTATATATAGCAAAGAAACATTAAAATCACTGTTATCTTTTTAGAAGCAACGACAGCGCAGAACTTTGGCTTCTGATCTGAATAAAGATCACCATTTAACTTCAAATCGTAAAGCTGCCCATGGAATGCATTTTGCGAAACAGACAGTGTCATCTGTGTTGAAGTCACATCCTGAAGTAAATTACGAACAAAGAAAGACAAGACCTAGGTCACCAACAAGAAGCCACGTACCAGATGACGTTTATGTCACCCACCAGTCACCTAGACAAAGAGATGCAGATATTGTAAGTAGTCAACTTGTTTTTCATTCAGATCACTTGCTCCAAACTGAATCTTCATGTCTTCTCCTTCTTATCATTTCCACTTTTTGCCAATATTTTAAATAATATTTCAATTGTAACCAATACCTACATTATATCTTTAAATGTTAATGTATCTTTTAATGTATCTTTTAATCATTCCTATCCATTTCAAATATGTTCACTTTTTCCTTGTGTCGTTTTATTTTTAAAGACTTTGCTGGCTCTGTGAAAAACATGTTTATGATGTGCGCTTGGCTAACTAAAATATCTTGTTGTTTTCGTGAATGTAGTTGAGGAAGGCAACTACATCGCCACGTAGGCTACATCAAAATTCTGGCATTCAACAAAATGATGTCTCTCGTCCTTCTGATTTCGTTGACCATGATTATCGTGAAAAATTAAGAGCTCTGACTGAGAAAGAAGCAGCCAGACAAGTTTGGCTCGATGTGGAAGGAACACGAGAGGTAATCAACTCTTCATCCAATTAATATTCTTATATTTGTACCAAATACACTTAAGTCATTACCACCATTGTCTGCACGACTACAGTTTGATTCATTTAACTACAATAGACATTGTAGTTAGATGACAATAGAGATGTCATTTATGACTCAATTTTCACCAGTGCATCAAAAATCATTTGTCAGATAATTTCATTCATATCGCTTCAAGATCATTTAGTATTGCTTGAGCTTTTTAACTTCTACAGATGCAAAGGCTGCAGAGTTTAAGGAAAACAGAGGAGGAAAGAATCGGCGAATTAAGGTACTAAATAACTGAAAGGGCATCTGTGTATTGTGAAAACACAAGATATCATAGAATAAGCCCATAGGATAACGTTGGCTTTCCGTCTCATAGAAAGTTGTTTCATCGTGTCCCAAAAGTACTGCTATGCTTGAGAATGCCTGCAAAGAGGTCGAACCACAGCAATCTCAGGGGTAATCAATTTCGTAAGGGTAGCAGTGGTAATTGCCAAGGAACATCCCCGTCCATTCAATCTAGCCCTTTCGTTAGTTTTTACACTACTGTGATTCAGGATCAAGCAACTTTACCTCTCTTTTACATTTAAAGAAACATTCTATTCTTGCCTGCTGCTTGAATTTTGGGTTATACTTGCTTTTGTGTTTCGTTGTGTCATTCTTCGCGAACACAAGTTGATCTTCAACTAAAAACGAGTGCCTAAGTCTTCGATTAAGCGCCACCCTATAATCCCCTCTCAAGTAGAACAGAAGTGTAAAGTGTATGAAAATTATATGAAAAAGGATAAAGACAGTTATTTACATCATGTTTTGTTTTCTAAATCTCATGAATGTTTATGATGTTTACAAAGTATTTTTTTACAAGGGATTTTTGCAATTGTTAAATGGAGATAGATTTCCAACCTTCTTGTGACATCCGTATACTTTCCTTTAAATTACAGAAGTGGATATATGAAAACAACAGCAATTGTAGCAGACGCGGAAAAGAAAATTAGAGAGAGATTGCAGCCATTGCTGGAAAAGGCAGAGGCAAGTCTCTCTCACATTTCACTCTCTTAAGAGTTGTCCAATTTTTCGACCAATTCTGTCTAAATCTTTGCTTTCACATTCTGTGCACAAGTTTATGCTTCAAAATTATATTATATGCAATACCTGCACGAGTTTTGTACGTTGAAAACTTCTAAACCTGATAGTTTTATATTTATTGATATCTGATAGTTTACATAAGTTTCTCGTATCTCATAACTCAAAATAGCCTGAATCTTTCTGAATGGGAAGTTTCTCTATTGACAACCGGCAGTATATATGACACAAGAAAAATAGTGAGAGCCGCACCTAGTGTGCCCCATTTTCTCGTTTTTAGTATTAGGGTTGTTGCCCGAGATTGTTGGAGGGTCCTTTAAAAACCTGTTAGAAATATTTATCCGAATCCAGATAAATATTCTGGATTCGGATAACCCTCGTCAAAAGTTTTAGTTCACCTCCCTCACAGGGGTAAGCAGCCTATGTCCGCAATCTCTGTTATGCAAATGCCTCCTTGCCAAAGTTGTCTGCTGTTTCGCCGCGTAGTTTCTGGTGCCAATCCTTCTTGGAGTCAGGTTTAACGATTAAATGTACACTGGATATTCATTTAGATAGACTAATAAATAACATTTTATATATAAGCATTCATTAAGATATTGGCCATTCTCACCTTGCACGATTATTTAATTTCGCGACCCCAATCTATACTAGCTGCTATCCCTACAAGAAAGATCGAAGGAAGAACAATACAAGATGTCCGTTAAAAGGAAATTGGCTGATTTGGTTTCCGACACAGTACGTACCACTTTTTTATGTTCTCGAAATAATAATGTTGATATTATGCATGACTCTGTCAGGCTGCGATCAAGAATCACTTCGTATCACTATGTGTCACTGCAAACGGTAGTGACTAAGTAGCAATGAGAATTGTTTTATTAAAAACTCTCATCTATCAAGGAGCATAAACTAAGTCATTAAGGAGCTCAACCAAATCATTATGTTTTTAACTTACAAAAGTGGTAACAATCCAGATGTGGTAAATCATGCACTTAACGCCCCTGCCCATTTTAACAACCACTTTTAACGTCTCTCTGTAGGACAATGCAGGGAATATGGATAGTAGAACAACAAAAGTACACATTTTGTACTAGAAATTTTTGTAAGAATGTTTAAGAATCGCAATTAATGAAATCTAAGAATTAAGAGCAGTAATAAGGCTCGAATTTCATTGACTTTTTGTCAATATGTGTTGTTCAAGTTTATATAGAACAAGGGAATGTCATCAAAAATTCTGCTTAAAGGGGGCAAAAAGGCCAACATTCAAGTTGTAGACCAAAAAACAAAATCTTTCAGGGAATGTTTTCTCGGAAAAGGCCAACATTTATAAATTTAACCTAAGTTTAACACATACATAATGAAACAAATTTGTGTTAACACTTTTGCAGAGTTTGCTCAATCAAATATGCACAGATAAGGAGAAAACTCTGTACTCTTATTTTCCCTAGACAGTACATGGTACACTGTAATGACAAAATTGAGTCTTAAGAACATGTCTGTTTGATTTCCAATTATCGTTTTTACTCAGAGTCCAATCGTGCCTACAGCCGTTAGCAGGAGTTTTTAAAAATTGATATCATCTTTAGGCGGTATCAAGAGGTGATATTCTCGCTGACCTTATCTTAGATGACTTGCTCAACGAAACCGTCAGAGAACTTTACAGGTAATTTTTTTATTAATGCTAAGTTTCTTTGGTACTTGGTCTTCTCAGGTGCCTTTTCGATAACCTGGTATTTATTGAAGAACTAAAGCTAGCTATTTACCTCTTGATATTTCGTTTTTCGTGTCGAGAAAGAGTGCTTCTGATGTTTTAAGAAGTTTTAAATTGTTTAGATTAGAAAACGAAGAAATAAGAGAGGCTAATGCTGCCCTTGAACTGATGAAGCCAACTGTTAAAGAAATTGCCGAAAAAATAACTGATTTTGAGGTAAGAGAAACTTTATTATCTCTGATCCTTCTGCGCTAGCGATTAAGTTAAAAAGCTTTTTTAAAAGATTTAGTACCCAGAGCATTTTGGGCGTGCACTGATAACTGCCTATCTTCAAGTAGCTGCTAAAGCACTTTACTTTTCACAAGCAGCTGGAATTTGACTTTCACCTCACCTCCTTTCTATGCATGGCCCTTAAAACACATGGGAATATATTGCATTTTGATGTCAAATCAGCCTAGCATTATTTGTTTTTGTTTTCAATATTGTAGTTCCTTTAAGGTTTACTGTACTCCTGACTAAATAAACCGTGCAAAATGATAATGATTTGCCCACTGTATGGCACATCATACCTGTCAAGAATCAGGAGATCAATCAATATCCATATGCAGGATATCAGAAGTTTGCCATGACATAATTAAAACTACAGCTTGCTAGATATCTAGAAGGGTTGGTTGTCTCCAAAAATTATGCGATTGATGTCATATTTAGTGTGACAAACGGTTGACTTGCTTTGGGCAGCAAAGCAGGCATTTGAATCAGATCTTATAGTAGATAGCGACATCACAGCTCTGATACTGCAAACTAGAGCAATCGCGTAGCCCCACATGCCAATTATGTAGATTCTTTCAAAGCATTTCTGGAGTTATAGGCTTGAATAATTTAATTTCACGGGATAGGGTGACATCAGAGATGTGGTCAGAAGGTGGTACACAGAGGGTGTTGTTCCTCTGTGCCCGCGATTTTTAACTCACGGTTATCATACACACCATTCATCATTCGTCCTTTTCTATTGCCCCGAAGGGCAACAGGTAAGGATTACACCTACTGATGTAAATATGAAAGGGCGCCTTTACCAACATGGTTCAACCACCACCCGTACTCATTGTGGGATAAATATTGGCGCATGCGCAGTACACATTTTGTGGCTATTCTCTTTCCTGTGTTTGCAAAAGTTGTTTTGTCAGGTTTTGTTCGCAACATTACTAAAAGAGCTAGACTACAGATTTAAATACGCAGCGGTTTACTTCCTCAATTATTTAGACTGTTAAGACCGGATAGACTTTCTAGACTAACATAGTCTGGGCTTGTTGTGGTATGGTTTCCTTGTTATATTAATGATATTATATAACAAAGAAAAAGTAACCAAGCCCTACCATTCTGACTTGCACTTTTAACTCAGCTTTGTCACGATGTAGCGATCGAATCTTCTCTGTTCTCGTATCATCAATGGGGTTTCCTGAATAAGGCAATGCTTGTACAAAATTGCAGATTATTTCCTTTTTTCCAGAAAGAAGAAGAGCAAATACGTCGTCGATGGAAAAAGCTTCATTACAGTGAGCTGGATGTTGATCAGGAAAAAAAGGGTAAATGTTAAGTAGATAGGGAATTCCCGCTTCTGGCTTGCAGAGACCGATTGCGCTTGGGATGATTCAGCGGGACTTGGGAGCATTGTAGCTAACTCACATCTAAAGCAGTGAACCTTTCAGACAAGAGTATCTTAAAAAAAACTTTAAACTTTTGAATGTAGAAGTTACAGGTAAAATTATGGAATGAAAAGGACATAATTTTTAAGGGGACGAGCTGGACTATAATGTAAAACGAGTGCAAATTTGCGTTGAGAAAATTTTGGGGCCATTGGATAAAAGAAATAAGAGTTATTGAGATTAAGTTAATGAGTTATTGGGAAGGATATTCCTGCTCTTAAAATTCGATGGACCCCCTTGATCAATCTGCTTCTTCATATTCAACTTGAATATCCATATCAATGGAAATAAGGATCTGAATTTTTATGCATCTTTTTATTATCCCCCCCTCAAATAAGAGGCCCCCTCGAAGTTATCGAATAAGCGCCCCCTTCGAATAATCCTTCAACCTTCAGAAACGGGCGCTTATTCGAATTTTCAACCAAAACATAACTGGAAGGTTATTCAACAAGAAAGATTAACGAACAACACAATTTGCACCCGAATTTACTTTTTAAATAAGCGCCCCCTCGATTAAGCGCCTGCCTCGAATAAGCGCCCACCCTGGAGCCTCAAAAATTAAATAAGCACCCGGGCGCTTATTCGAGGCATTACGGTAATGCATATTATTGCGTTCCCACATCTACGTAAGACGTACAACCTAACAATTGGGGAATCAAATGAAAAAGCATCCAGCTCCCGATCAAAAACGAATTCCCCCTCCTGCGAGAAGAGCTTTCTCAGTCTTGCAGATCTAAAACACCGACCAGAGCATATAATTGCACACGTTTGCTGCCACTGTGCGCATTTTGTCTTTTACCGTAGAAAATGTTCAATAAACGAGTTAAAAACGTATTTTTTATGATGAAACAAGCATGAAAGAAACTGGTAATACTAAGTGACCTTTTCTTTGCTGCTATATGAAAGTTAAAATAAATTGATGACAAAAGAACGTTTTAATTAGCAAATCCTTACTCCTCTCTTGTGATTTTGAATCATTCCTCTCAATGCAGTGTAATTTGAGTAATGCGCCACATAGATATAGTATTTCTATGTGCGCCACTCAGAGTCACAATCTGAATAATGCATGAAGAAAATAAAAAAACCAACGACGAAAAAGAAGCTAAAACTGGTGTTTGCAGTGAGGTCTATAATAGTGTCCAAGTAAGGTAATTGTCCAGGGAGAAAGATATTGGCAAGTATCTTGTGATAGTCAGCATCAAAAATAGAAAATTTCTTAACCTTAAATCAGGCCTTAAATTTGGAAGAAACTGACAGATTTCGGGACTTCGATGCATTTATGAATCATTTTTTGTTCCTGATGATTCAAATTTATCGTGATTAGCGATTGAAACAATTACTGTACTGTCATTAGCAAGGTACTAAATGTTGCCCATTTTTGCGTCACAGGCATATCAAATGTGGAGCGATCTGGAAGCAGCTTGCACAAAGCTAGGCCAATCATATTCACTGCTGCTATCGAGGAAAACAACGAATCCAGATTGAAAAGAACATCACAATGTAAGTGAATCGCAGCTGTTACTGCAAGCTACTGGATTTGCAACATCCTCTTAATAGCAAAACATAAATATAAAAATAAACCTATGAAACTTCATACAGATTTATACAGAGCTATCAGAATGACAGACCCTTTAAACTCAACTTTTTCTTTATGCAATATTTATAAGGCTACCGAGAGGGGCAGGAGCAAGTTTTCCTAGGGCTTCGAGGTCTAGAGGCACTTCATAAAGTAATGAATTCCATTCTAATAAAGTAATTAATCAAGGTAACATGCCTTAAAAATAATAAAGCGTTTTAAAAGATTGCAAGAAAATAACTGCAAGAAATATTCTAGTATGTATTTTGAGCTAATTTAACGGGAATGGTCGCAAAAATTTCCTGCTCCCTTCGCTTACAGGGAAATTGTCTTTCAGTTTTGTACCAGGGCCTAAGCGCCCTCACAGCGACTCTGAATATTTAACATGAAATTCTTACCTTGTTTTTCATAAACAGAAGTCTTTGGTATATTGGAAATGTTTAAAGGCACCAATTATTCACAAAAAGCACGAATATGGTTTTACCTCACAAAACAAAACGCAGATTTTCTGACAAGTGAATGCTAAGCAGTCTTGAGCTGGATAGCTTAGCATACACCCTCCATCCCCTTCCAAGAACGCGCCTTGCGCTGAATAGAGTTACTCGATAGATTAAAAAGCCTCCCTCCAACCAATGCTCAACGATTGCTTTATCATTAATAGATAAAAGCAGTTCATCCAATTGATTCAAAAAAGGTATCAATTTCAATTTCCAAAGTTACCTTATAATTTTTACTATATCCAGGTACAGATGAACCTAAGAATGCAACTATTCCAATTCCCGAAAATACTGAGTTTATCCCAACACATATGAGAGCAAGTATTTTGTCTTACTGTCGTCGACATGACAGCTACTTGAAACGGACAGTCTCCGAGGAACTGGATAAATTCAATCCATGGACGATTGTGGAGAAGTAAGTCACTTTGGTGTTAAAAACGATAGGGTGTAACTTAAATCCAGGCCTCGCCGTTTTTATTCTGGTAGGTGAGCTGTGAATCGCTTATAGCGAGCTAAATCAGTAACACATAGAATGAACTTTAAAGGCAATCCCCTTTAGTATCTGTTGATTGCTTTTAAATAGTCTTGAAATCAAGGAGTATGCTGTTTTACTTCTTTCAATTTATATATGCTTTGAACGTAGCCCAGACACCCTCTTTGCTTAAAGGATTTAAAAGAATGAACTCTTTCAGGTTTGTGTGATGCTTGCACAACACAAAAGTAACAATTCTCTCACCAAACAATCTTTTTGCTGTGTAGATTTAAAAATGGCTTTGAAAAACCAGCCGACAGGCAAAAAATTTATTGCAAAAAATGCAATGACGGGAGAAATCGCTGTTACAAAAATTAACCAATTAACCCTTGTAGGTTTTTCAGGGTTCTGTGAATACGAAAAGGGCAAATGAGTATGTTGAGGAGGGCAATTAACAGCTCACCTCAGGTTGCGAGGGGAGCATGGAGGTGAGCACAAGCTATCGCTCTCCTCAAATGGCCAGGCCTGTTAAATCATACAAAAAAACTTTCTTCTGTGCTTGCAATTATTTTCTGTATCCTGTACTTATTCCCTTAACCTTTTGAAAGTCTGTCTTTTTTCCTGTCATACCATCAGCATAGTGATAAACAACTCGATAGCCAGTACCTACAATTTATTGTGATAATTCTTCCCTAATATTTTATTTGTAGTACCTTCTCAGTATCCATTTAAAGGAAGCTGACTAAATAAAGTCACTCTTTGGTAATAAATTAGTATAAACATATAACCTGGAAACAAATTTTTCTTGCAGGATTAGTGATGAAATTGTTGATGAACTTGTTCTTGGAGTTGAAAAAGAACTAAACATGTTTTGTGATGATTACATAGATGAGATCTATGCTGATGAATTCCTTAAAAATGACAGTGCAGTTTCTGAGTCTGTCAGTGATGTCCCCTGAAGCCTCTCAACCTAACCCTACACATATTGATACTGAAGATGGCACTTGCTGGTTTAGACCAACCACAACTGTCACTTATAGGCAGTGAACTCTTTATGACTGTGTGGTATAGATATTAAGAAAGTAAGATAACTCCAGCGTCATTTCAAAAAAGACATTTAAAGGCCCCATGTTATTTCCAAAAAATTTTATTTCATGCATAGCATTTAGCAACCTCAATTTTCATTTGGTTTCATTTAATAAGTCGTTCTATGATTGATCAATACAGACCGTTTCAAATAGATCATAGAATCCCAACAAAAACTTAAAGTTCTTTGCTGCATTCTTCCCAATTCAGCACCTAAGAATTTTTTAGAAGTTCAATGCCTAGTTATCATCCTTATGGCTAGCTCTAATGGATGTTTAATGCTATTAAAATTTATCAGATTTAATGTAAGAGTTCACTTGGTGTGTTCCATTTTTATATTATCAATTTGTGCCATTATCAATATTTCACAACTTCATATTGGTAAGAGTTAAGAAGAATCCATATATATAAAACATTGTTAATCTCCTGGTTGTCTAAGATAGAGACAAGTATTCGATTGTGTTTAAAGTTTAAAGCAGGTTCAAAAGGACTTGAGCTGATATTGGTAAAATATTAGAAAAGAAAGAAAACGCTTTAAGATGTCATATTTTAAGATTTGCTATATGCAGAAAAATTAATACCACTTGCTTTCTAGATGCTTATTACATTGTCTTGTGTGAAAAATTCTTGTAAATACCATGAAAATATATATTTTATGTATTTCAGCTTCTAAAGATCATCTTGTTATGTTACTTAAGAAGTTAGATAATACCTGTCCATTATAACCCAGTTTTCTCAAAGAATAAAGTTTAGTTATAAAATGGGTTTTCTGAATTGCACTGCATTTACAAATTTTACAACTTTCTTCCTTTGAATTGCATTGACCTATGGTGTTTCCATTTTCCTAAAATGTCCAGTATGTCCATATAGCAATTCGTCCACTATTTATCGTTTTTCAATTAGTCTGAGCTGCTTCTTCTTCAATCGCTTTAGCTTTGATGTATTCTTGATCTAAGAAGGAAAAAAGTTACTGTCAGCTAATAGGAAAGAAGCTAATAGGAAAGAAGATACAGCAAATGTTTGTGCCAGTCACACAAACAGATATCTGGATAAGGTTAAAAGACTAAAGTCTATATAGCTTAGCTTAGTATCAAATCTAGCCAAGTTTTGGTAAATTTTAATAATAAAACTATAATAGTTAGGTAGTCCTATTGCTCAACTTGACCTCTTTTTCTGTTCCAGTCATTTGACCAAAACATGATTTTGTCAGGATTGTGGGAAGCCTCATTAATGAATTGAATCAGTTGCTATGTTACTGTTCCTTTACAGTTACAAAAAACAGTTGGTAAATTTGCTAAAACTTCACTTTACACAAAGGTAAAAAGGAACAAGGATTGGATTAACAGTTCGGGTATTGGGATTGAATTTTAAGACTTCAACTAAAATCTTTCAATGATAGTATGGAAAACTTGGAATCAGCCAACATGTAGCTTTTTAGTATATTTTGTTTGGCTGGCCAACTTTGACCATCAACTGTAAAATATTTGGCTGAGAGCCATTCTAAACATGTTGACTTGTTGAATCTTCATGCAACATGCAACATTTTCTTACTTTAAGTAAATAACATAAAAAACAATATTGTGCTTTTCGGTTATCAGCTTTTCTCCCCAAGGTTCTTATCAATTTTTTTAAAATTATTTGACGCAATGTAGACATAACTTTCCAGGTAAACTCAGTCAGGGCCACATTTGCCTAAATTACCTCTTGAACTATTTCGGCTTTTTTAATATTTTCTTCTCGCCTTTTCTTTCTTTCTTCCATCTTTTTCCTTTTTTCCTCTTTTGCTTGTATAGCTGCATCTTTAAGTTCTTTTTCGAATGCCCTGATGGAGCTTTCTTCAGCGCGTTTCTTTTGTCGTTTTGCCCAGGTTGAATGTAATGCCTTGACGTTTATCATTTCGCATTTCCTGGAAAAAAGAGTGTTCAATATTCGATTAAATTTAAATCCCTTTAAAGACTTAGCTAAAATCACCAAACCTGGATCACTAAAACAAGTATGTAGCTTTAAATTACCATGACAAGAAATAACAAAGACAGCTAAAACTTTGATATAAACTTTAATATTGAATCGGAAACCTTTCAATATTAAACCTTTCAATACCTTTTCTTCTCTGATTTCCAAAGTCTTCCAGATTTTGGTTTTCCTTTAAGAGTTTTCATTTTGAAATGGATTCAAAGAATACGAGCGACTCGTTTGACAAGCTGCAACCCAAAAGTCAATTCGAACAAAAATTAGCTAAGATCTAAAGCCACATCCATTTTTGTTAGGCCATGTGAGTTTTCTTTTCCCGAAAATGGGCCTCGTTTCCATAAAATAAAAGGAGGTTATGAAATGGCGGGAGAAAATCTGGGGATCTTGGGACGGTCATGGCGTTGCATACATCTTGAAAGAATTCCATTTAAGAATGTTTAGGCAACAGGTGGGCTCGTTTACGATATTTAAGCAATTGGAAAATTGTTTTATTGAAGAATTTAAGTTTAATAATGTCGTTATTTTGTTTTGGACTTCGAGATTGTCCGACTTTCGGAGAAAAGTCCAAGCCTTTCAAACTCCAAAATTAAGGTACGGAGTTAGTCTAACTAAAGTCCAGGGGCTTCGCGACCCCCCCCCCTCCCCAATAGTATCTCAATAGTAAATTTCAGGTAAAATCTGCTCGGTGGAAGAAACGCTTTAGGTATTTCAGAGACATCCATGTCATAAAATCAATAAAGGATCAAGCAGAAGTAGTTGCTCCGTTGGTTTATGGTATTCCTTGATATTGATGAAGGTAAACAAACTGATGATTTGAAGATTTGAAGATTTCTTGTTGGCACTAAATCTAAAAATCCAGGCCCTCTTTAGGTAAAATTGTGTCTTGTGTCAATTTCCCCTAAAGTTTCTCGGTAGAAGCGTTAACTGCATTCAATTCACTATGAGCTCCAGATTTGTTTATAACATTCAAAAGGCATACTAAGATGGAAAGAGGGATCTAAATTGACAACCTGTGCTGCTTGTTACCTAGCTAAGTAACTGAAAACATGGTATTTTTCAAGACCACAGCGTAATTGTACTAGCTGTTTTTATCTGCTCTTCAATTTGTTTGCAAAAAATTCAACAGGACTAGGAGGATTGCTTCAGTGAAATGTGCTTAAAAGAGTGCATTTTCCAGCAGGGGTGGATTCAGGGTGTCGCACAGGTCGCACGGAAGACCGTCAGATTTTCAGAATTTAGTTTTATTCTTCAGTCATTGAAATAAGGCAATCATGTTTACCACAATCTTTTATTTTCCTCCTTAAAGATAATACATTTTGCTCTCTTTACACAATAAACATAGGACCGAACTTGGTCGATCTCACACACAATGCTACGATTTAATTCAATATAGAAAAAATCCCAATACCATCCTAGACCGTAAACAGTATGATTTTTAAGCATGTCGCCTGTGCCGCACAAATATGCAGGGCTCTTTGTTATGCAAATATTTTACCAAATCTCACCAATCAAAATTCAAGTTTTCAGATATTTGTGCGGCACGAAAAGTCTGTAAACACTATGTTAGATTACTGTGCCGCACAACTGCTGGCAAGGGAAGAAAGTGGCTGCGGTTGTAAGTTGTGAAATGGAAGAGTCCCAATTTTCTTTATCTATACGGAAGAGGTGCACAGGAAGAGAACACTTCTGAATCTCAAGAAATTTTGTTTCAACTGCGTGTTGGATTTGCTGGAAAATTTGGAAAACCTTTTAAAGGGAAAAATGTTTGACTGAACAATTTGAACGTTTTAGGGCCCCAGTCCTAATTGCTCTGGTTTTGGCTCCGTCCTTGACCATGAGGGAGGCCCCCTGGACCGCCTGCTAGGCAGTATTAATGTGCGACCGTCAACTTTTATTCTGTATCCGCCCCTGTTTTCCAGGGAACTAGAAGCATCAAAATTCAAAAATTTCCTGCTCCTTTGGCGGCAACCTTAGTGCTGCCTTCAGGTAGTAACTATTTCCTTTGCCCATCCCAATATAGAGATTTGAAAAAAAATATTAGGAAAAGCCGCCAGTATTATGTAAAAATGAAAGTTGCGAACCATATACTGACTTAGATTGACAAAATGTATTGCAAAGGTATGTGACAAGAACTAAAGAATTTCAGGCAAACATTTTGTAATCAGGTAAATTTGTAGTCCACATCCCCCAACAAGGCTTGCCTCACAACGGCCCTGCTAAAGTCCCTCAATTTTCCTCCGCTTTTGTTGTCTGCTTCTCGGTGGAAATTTTTTTGTCCAAAGCAAGACTGTAATTGAACAATGTGCCTTTTAAAAATTTATCCAAAACACTAAATTGGCTTGAGTTGGCCAAGGAAAAGCTGCAAGAAACCATAATATAAAACACATAAGAAATGCCTTGTAAAGCCTTGTAAAGGCCTGCACTGTTCCACGAAGGCCTTGTTTTGGTGACAGAGCTTGTTTCACTTAGAAACAGGCTACAAAAGAGGAAAAAAATTGATGGGGTTTAAATATACTTTATTTCCAGGGATGTTGTGGGCAATGAATTCTAGAGGGGACCTAAAAGAGAAATTTTCCATGAGACAAGTTTCTTGGATTCATTTAAATCAAATATAAGCTATTCATGTAATAGTTGAAGAGGGGTGGGGGAGGGGTAGAAAAACAGCTTAGGAAAGTAATAATTGAGAGATAACAAAATTTTGCCTAAAATTTGTACAACGTTTTAAACAATTGAATTTATTTTGTTGATCCAAAAGTTTTTATTCTGTTGATATTTTTAAAAGATACAATTTGGATCTGTATGTGTTTTTTCTTGATAATATGCCTTTATATTCTTCCAAAAATTCTCAACTTCAAAATGATAAGGCAATTTTAGGTCCCACAATAGGAAACCACTTAAGAAACTTTTGGTACTCTACAACATGAAAAAAGGTGCCAAATCAAGAAATTTGTAGTGTTTAGTGCTGATGCAGGTTTACTATGAAATAAAAAACATGTATATCTAGTTGGCATGCACTAACCTACCTCTCAGAACATTTGACTCGTACAATAATGCCATACATTTTGAAAAATGTTGGGTTAGATTTCTGCCCAAGAGGTTTGTTAATGCATTAGCACCTATGTAGTCTATGTAATCTTCCATTAACCACGAAGCATCTTCTGAGACAGACAAAGATAACACAATTATTTTCTTTTCAAGCTCTTTAACGCAGACCATGAAGTGTCTAATACCAGGAAGGTTTGTAAAATGTGAGTTGATAAGCAGTTTTTCATACTTTCCATTTCACTTTTCAGAGAATGTCAGTTTTCTACACCTAACAAAGGATGAATGTAGTTGTATTAAATTAATTATCCCTGTACAGATCTGCCAAAGCTTCAGAGTTCTCATTACTGAGGCTGACCTCAAAATGTTAGAGATTCAATAAAAAAACTGGAGATTTTAAAGACTGCCTTATTTTATTGTCAAATCAATACAATGTTCAGTGGCATTACATCTGGATATGCTCACCTTGGAGTGTCCCATCACAATTGGGAGAGCTGTAGGTCTGTTTGTATCAGACCTTCTTTCTAAGGACTCTAAGAAGTGTCTTTATGCAAATTTGTAATCATTTGCTTAGTAACATAATCTCATTTACATACTGAATTCAAAACTTGTAGTCTTTAGGTTACCATAGATCTTGGATGACTTCTATGTATACCATAAGTGGTGTTAAATATGAAACAAAATGGACCAGGCCAGCTTGATACACTTACCTAAAACAAATTTTGTTTACATCCCATGTAACCCAAAACCAAATACAGCTAGAATTTTGGTAATCAATATAACTATGATTTTTGATTCAAATTGTAGTATTTGGAAGAGCAATACACTGTCTTTCGAAAATTGGTGATGAATTGTACCTCGAAGCATCTGAAGATGGGGTGAGAAAAGTATCTCTTAAACTTCTTTTCTTTGTTGTTGCAAGCTTTTGCATGTATTTCCTCCAGTTCAAAGAACTTTTGGTGATTCATTAAGCTATTTAAAATTCTTTCTCACAATTAGTGAGATTAATACCCTTGAAAATTTGTCTAAACTACCTATGTTTTCAGACCTAGTTCTTCACCCATAGCATCTTTGAAGAATCCCTTTTTTAATCCAATGTTGTGACAACAGAAGGAAAAAAAACTTGATTATGCTTGTCATGTCTAAACAACAACAGTAAGAATATAGCTTAGAAATTTTGTTATGAAAAGTAAGTTTCTGTGCAGTCAGAAAAATGGGAAAAAAATTATATACATTTACAAAATGTTTATAATGAAATTTTCAGGTTAATTTCAAATGTTTTGTTTGTGATTGTAATTGTCTGTTGAAAACAGTTGCTTCATCCTATCATCAAATTTTCAGTCTATCTTGTGTCCTTTGACCCTTTTATACCAAAGTGTTAACTTGTATACAGTTGAATTGATTATTTTGCTTTAGCTTGCACTTCGAACTGTTAACTCTTCAAGATCAGCATTTGGTTGTTTTCTCTTCAATGAAAGTTTCTTTCACGAGTTCAATATTAAAATCAGCAATAGCAATGGATCAAAAGAAGATGAAGAAGTTGAAAGATTCAAAATTTCTATGAAGGTTTGTCTATGAATTGGTTTTGACTTTTTCCTTTTGAGGATATTTTTTAATTATGTGATGTTACCCACCTTTATGTGTGTTGTTTATAAAGCACTCTTGTTATGACATATGCATAGGTATTGATTCTCTATTTGTTTTAGACACCCCTCTAGCTTGACTGCATCCCTAGCTTCTTGTTGTTTTGAGTTTTCTCAGTCAGGAAGAAATTTGGTCGAAACTCTTTTAGTATTTTACAAGATCTAATTGTGATTGCCTTGTTGATACAGCCAAACTTGCATAAATCGGATCTCCTTGGACAATACATAATAGTCTAGTTTATGCAAAGTCTGGTTTACATTTATTAAGTCATATTTTCCAGCTTGTGTGAACTTTGAAAAATTTGAACTCGATAAACTGTATGAAGCATCACAGCTGAAGTAAATACTAAATATGACTATACATGCAGTGGCGAAGCCAAAGGTCGTGCCTGTCGTGCCCGGCACGACCATAAACTTCCAAAAGTAAGGTTTTCACATATTGGCAAAAATTTATTTTGCTCCGCGAAAAGTTTTCAAATATAGACAAAAATTAGTCGTATAATCGACAAATCGACAAAGCTTATCCCGCAGACATAAGTGAATTCTACTCGAATCGCCCAGGGCCCCTGGAATTATTTCAGGAGCGGAGTAGAAATCCACAGGGTTTCATATTGGTCGTGCCCAAAATCTGGTACCTTGTGATTTGGTCGTGCCCAACAATAGAAGCTTCAATTGGACAGCCTATGTTTGGTCGTGCCCAACAATAGAGAAAAACAATGCTAGTCGTGCCCTCAGAAATGAGCACGACCTCGTCATAATAATAATAATAGTTGAGGTACGATTTCCAGCGTTTGATTGGCTGAAGCTGGAGGAAATCAATCACGAGGTCGTGCCCGTTTCTGAAGGCAAGACTATCTGCACCCTGTTGGGGCCTACTTGTCAATACTGCAGGCGTTTGTGGATGTTGGTGTGATATCAGGGTGATTTAAATGGTGCATGTAAATGTTCCAGTCCAATAAACCGTTGTAATTTATCAGGAAACTGGTTAACGACTGTGGAGGGATTGTTTCATAGTTATTTTGACTCAGCCTATATGGAATCAATCCTATGGATCTCTTTGGTAGGCGAACAAGTTCTCATTCACATAAACAGAATCAAGATCTTCAAATGTGCAAGATGCTATGCTATCTTATCTAGAAAATGGACAATAATTTGAATATCATCTGGATGTTTTTAACGTGATCAGAATAGAAAAAAAGGCAGTTTTTCGATCGGATTTGTACCAGAGAGACGCACACTGAACGGGATAAACTCAATCAATCAATCAATAAAATAATCAATAATTATTTTGACAACAGTATACTTAGGTGTTCAAGACGAAAGTATTATGAACATTTGGGGCAAAATGTACATAAATATCTATTCATTTTACATTAGTTACGAGGTGTTTGATGTATTTTTGGACTAGAATCTTCCCAGTAGAAAGTTCTGAATTTTGAAAGTATTTATCGTAGAAAACCTCTTTGCAAATTAGCTCTACTGGAGTTTTACCCTCCTTAAAACATGTGAAAGGGAAAAATGAAATAGCATTGATCAACCTGTTGATGATTTTGTTTATGTTTCTGATGATATGTTTTCAAGCTCAGCCTAGTGATTTTCTGATTTTTTCCCTTGCTTTCCATGTAATTTGGTTGTGTGCAGTTTCCTTGGGTGTGCATATATTTTCCTTAATATAGGTAACTTTCTCCATGAATTAGTCAGTTTGTCTTAAATAAGCAGGGTGAAATAATCTTTAAGCTGTTACACATACCCCCCTTAATTGTTTGCTCGAGAAACACTGTTGTCTGCAATAGCTCTCAGGCTCATGATTATTCTGTATTAAATTTGTGACCCCAGTCATCTGATCTCAGTATTTCCACCTAGCTGGACACTGAAGAAATTTATTGAACATTCTTCATTTGTGTATGCTGCCCTGTTTATTCATAAATTGTCATGATCTGTTTTTCAATGATTAATTTAATGCTGCTTTTCAATTGGAATTTTATTCAAACCTTATAATGGTTATTTCATCTTATGCAACTTTCAAATATTGTCATACATGGTGTAGTTTATCATTATCTCATAAGGCATAACCTTAAATTAAGTATCTAATTGATTGGTGAATCTCTGTGAGTGGTTTGGTTCAGCTTAACAAAGTGGCTACCTACAAATCTTTATGCAACAAACCTGATGAAAAAGCAGGTCTCAAGGATTTTAAAGAAAGATTGCCTTCATTCTGCCACTCACTATTTAGTGCTTTTTAACTGTGGCTAGATCAATAATGCTGCATGACAGTACTGTCTTCAGCAGATATTCTAATATTTCTGTTTCATCTGTTTCATTTGTCATCTAATTCTTGATACATGCCTTGCACTTCACAGTCAAGTTTGCCTTTAAAGCCAAACTTTTGCCTCTTTTTTGAATGAAATTCTAAATTTTATGTGTGCAAAACAAACAGTGCTTGCAATTATTATACATTTGAAATCTGAGTCCACAGGTGTATATTTTGGTCCCATTGTTGCAATAATTTGATAAAATTTTAGAAAAAGTTTTTTGTTCAATCTTTATTATCCTGTGAACTGATTTTTGGGTAAATAATACCAAAAATAAAAAAAAGTTGCCAGGAACCTCCATCACACTTTGGAAAGAAAATGAATTTTGAGTATCAGCCAGAGGCAGGGGAGACACAAAAGCAGCTTTTATACTTTTAAATTTAGAAATTTAGTTTGTTTCTGTCGTGTCAGAAAAATAATGCAGTGCCATGCAATTGCTATATGAGCTCCTTAGATCACTGAAATACTTTTTTGGATAATATTGCGGAGGCGCATTTCTGTTGCGCAGTGGCCAATGGGCACGACCATCCATGGGAGTCCAGCTTCGCCACTGTATACATGTACAATACTTATCAGCATCTAAAACAGTCGCTGATTTTTTCCTGATGCAAATGATTTGGCCTAAAATGACTTGGCCTAAAATGACAGCGAAAGCCTAAAAAGTCAAAGCCATCATCTCACCTGCAGATGCATGGTTGGCTATGGCGTATTAAATTTGCCACCTGTTTGCTTGCACAGGTAGATGGCGGCAGAGTGCTGCCCCTATGCATAATCATAATCATATTTTGTTTGCAGATAATATTCTGTTTTTATTGCAAAAATCAACTTTTGCAAGTTAATTTCAGAAATGATTTCAAAAGAATGTCTGAAGTATGCAAATATCTGACTTAAAAAATATGAATTATGCAATGAAAATTGAATGGTTTGATACAAAATGGACTGAGACCAAGCATTTTTGTCAGGGTTAAGAAATATCTGACTTAAGCCAGTTCGACATCCAAGTTTGACTGTCAATTATTTTCACACCTTTCTTATAAAATTTTCCCCTTGTTTGTCAAATTTTATCATTTGTCCAAAGCACAAATCTCGCTGTAATCTAAGAATAGATATGTAACGCTATCATGAAACACAAAAGTAATACCGTAATGCCTCGAACAAGTGCCCCCCTCAAATAAGAGCCCCCCTCGAATAAGCACCCACCCTGGAGGTAAAGTTATTGAATAAGTGCTCCCATCGAATAAGCGCCCACCCCTCAAATAAGCGCCCACCCCTCAAATAAGCGCCCACCCCTCAAATAAGCGCCCACCCCTCAAATAAGCGCCCACCCCTCAAATAAGCGCCCACCCCTCAAATAAGCACCCATCCTTCAACCTTCAGAAATGGGCGCTTATTTGAATTTCCAACGAAAACATAATTGGAAAGCAATTCAACACGAAAGATTAATGAAGAATACAATTTGCACCCAAATCTACTTTTTAAATAAGCGCCCCCCTCGATTAAGCGCCTCCCTTTTATAAGCGCCCACCCTGGAACCTCAAAAATTAAATAAGCCCCGGGCGCTTATTCTAGGCATTACAGTATTGTTGGTAGCATAAGAAGCAACAAGTTTCATTGTTAGTTTCTATTTTTGCTTATCTCGTCATTTCAGTCTTGCCTTGGAGTCTTCAAATCATTGAACACAATAGAAAAAAATGTGGATACTTGCAGACTGGAATATGATGAAAAAAACTCTAGGATTGTTTTCCAGTTATTCTGTAAACATGGTACAGTACCATTCCTTTCATTGGTTCTTTCTTGTGCACTATATTTTTAAGCTTTTTCTTTTCTGAACACAAATTGAAATCTTCCATTTGGTTATTTGTTTACTTTGTTAATTAGTAGCAAATTTTGTAGAAATTTTTTTAATCCTCTTTTATTGTTGCATAAACTACTTTTATCAATAGTTGTCATTGTGTTATTGTTGAGTTCAGTTTTAGGGTTTTATAGTACAGATTTCCTTGACTATAGTTATACCATAAATAGGTAGCTTAATATATTAGATACTGGAGTGGAAATACTAGAAATATTTGATGAGTTCCTTAATTAGAATTTTTTGGATTTGTTTTTTCCAGTAATGTTCAATTAAGTTTTAATAATTTGAAATATTTCTTTCTTATAGGAATAGTGAAAACTCATAATCTAACTTTCCAAGAAAGTGAAAGTCTCCAGGCCGTGTTTTCAAAAGATCTTTGCCCAAATCTTATCATAACTTCAGCAAAGTAGGTTCTTAATTTTTGACCTCACTTACCTGACCAAAGAATCAGACCAAAGGGATGTTCTGTTGTATTTTGGTCAGGACCAAAGTGTTTAACAAAAAAGTATTTTTTATCATAAATATTAATGCTATATATATTTTCCGTACTGTTTATACCAATTATGACTCTTGCTGTTTCTCATCTTAGTCTATAAACCAAATTTTCTTTTCCAATTTTCTCTAGTTTGTATAGTATATTCTCTAGAAAAACTAGCTGCAATTATGTGACCCCAAAAATTTACTTTAACATATGAAGAATTTTTTCTACCAAAATTACAAATTGAAAGAAAGTACTTTGAGTTTCCCTACAATCCTAAATTTTACCAAATTTTGTTCAAGACATTTTTCCAAATTCTAAACAAGAAAATTGCTAATTTACAGGCTTCTTGTCCATACTTATGTCTTGTATAACCCTCCTTGTATTTTCTTAATTGTGCAATTGCCTATAAAATCGAAATTTGCAAATGGCTTTGAGAAAAGCAAGCATTTTAGAACATACATAACATAGATTAAAAACGCTATGCTAGAAAACATATATACCCAGTTGTAGATCAATAATAAGGAAAACAATTAATATTAAAATGTCAAGCACTATTTTCATACAATGGTCAAAAAGATCAAACAATCATGCTAGGAAATATATATACACCCAGTTGTGGATCAAAATAGGTCAATCAAAACCTGGGTGTTTATATTTCCTAGTGTAGAGTTTTCGATCTATGTTCTGACATTTTATACTCTGAAGTGTGTCCGGTGAAAAGCTGAAGTATGTTCTTAAAAGTTTACTTTTATTTATTTCAGGGTACTTATTGATACAGCAGCAAATTTTCCAAATAGCTGCGAAGAGGTGACATTCTGCTGCACACCGGAGTCACTCACAATTAAGAATTACATTGAAGATGAGCCAGGTGTTATGTTTGCATTCTTTTACTTTATACTCTCCCTTGATTTCAAGTACCAATGTCACTACCTGAGTATCTGGAAGAAAAGTAGATGTGTTATTTATTAGAAATGCAGATATGTGATTGGTTGAAGAATATCCAGAGTTCAGTGGCTTAAGCCATTATGAAAGATATACAGGAACAAAGCAATACGACGACGAGAATCCAAATTTTCAAAATAATTAAATTTAAAGAATATGCTAATATTTAGCCCCGGCATTCAGGGCTTCATCAGAGTAAATGAAACGAACGTAACAACACTCATTGCAAGATTCACAGAATCCGGCGGACAGCCTATCCTGCGGTTCTTCCTTCTCACACATTAAGCCATTATGCTTAGGAAAAAGTTTTTTAGCATATTGATGTTCAAGGAAAACGGGAAAACCTTATAAAAGAATTACTAAACTAAATTTTAAAGTTTTTAAAAGTCCTGATTTTCTTCTTAATCTTCCTACAAGTATATGCCAAGGTACCTTTTTGTTATCAAATAGTTCTACGGTATCACAAAGTAAATCAATAATCTTGATTTGTAAGCATAACATGATAAATTCTATATGCAAAAGTGGCGTGAAGATGATGTTGCCATTTGGTACTGTTTATATAAGCTGAGGGGAGGAAACTTAATCAGAAACTTTTAAAGGACTCTAAGTTTGCTTATATTTTTATTCAAAATTCAGATTAAAATAATGATTCCTGTTTTTATGAACTAAACTGAGCTTCGAGTTTAACATGTTTTCTGTCAATTTTCATAATAAAGGTTCCCTATATTGAATTTGGTCACTGGTGAAAATTAACTTGCCATGGTTTCTCAACTCATTTTAAAACATCAAACGTTTTTCGAAATTTTTTCACATCATTTTATTGAAAATAAAAGAAAGTCTAAAACATTACTAGAATGTCTGATACAGAAGTTTTATTTAGTTAAAGTCCAGTTTCCATTACATCGCAACGCAATCGGAGCGGATCAGCACTAATCTGTGATCGTCGCCTTATTCTCCTTCCATTTCTGCAATCTCGGACAAAATTGTTGAAACAAAATGCAATTTTTGCAATTTTCTACTTTACGTTGCCCCGTAGATTTGAACCCTCCTTTCCTCCAAATCAATGTTGGATTTGTAGTTCTATTATTTCTCCTTCAAAATCATGCATTTAACATTGAAATGGGCGAGGGGGGGGGGGGAGTTATTTTCAAAGGAAAGAGAAAATATCAGCTTTCCTTGAAACAATTTCAGTCTCAACTATTTTTCCGGGATTGTAGATTTCTGTTTCGATACACCCGCGACAGTCTGCGATTGTCGATAACATAATCCTTTTCGAATAGACCTATAGACCGATTGGAAAAAGCTGATCGCCGATTGGCTGATCAAACCCACATGATTATAGCTTAACAAAACAGTATCTGTGATGACTACCGATTGGCTACGATATGTGTTTCCGTTATATCGGGAAAGTCCTGACGAGGGTTGATAAATTTGAACACAGCTCACCTGCCCTGGTACTCGCTATCAGCGACTGCCGACAAAATCATCGTTAGAAAGCGGATGATCATTGACTGTAACTGGCCCCTTTACGATCACTTTTCAATTTAATGACAACCAAGCTTAAGCAAAGATATTCCCCAAGAGAGTCACTTAAACCTTTTTAAATACAAGTGAACCCCCCCCCCTCCTTCAAAATGAGTAAAACGAAAATTCACCTAAAATATCGAGAACATATTTGACAGAACCAAAGTTGTCAGCTAAAAAGTATTGATAAGACCAAAAAATATCAAAATACAAAATCTTGTTGTTGAGCAAAAAAATACCACTAGTTATAGTAATTTGAACTGTTTACAATAATTATCAGTTTAAACACGTCTGTTCTTTTGTTGCTGTTTTTGATATTTTTATGCGTTAGGTTGATCGAAAAGTATTAAAAAGGTGTATTATTAAATCAGTTACCCAAAACTATCAGATCACAAGGAAAATTCTTACTCATAATTATCAAGTGAACCCCCCTGTATAGTAAAATTTTAATTGCCGTCCCTGGGAGATATTTTTATCTAATCTTTATTGAAAATATTTAACTTCAGATCCCAGTAAGATTGTTCACACTGAAATGAGGCTTCATCCTGGAGAGTTTGAAAATTACCGAATTGGTGTGGATGCAGACATTACTTTCTGTCTGAAGGAAGCCAGGGTTTGTATTCTACCACTGCCTAACCAATTTTATCGTATTTACAAAGAGTTTTGTAATGAAAATTTTCTTGCAGGTTTATTTTAGACAAGGCTCTGCCTTTACCGCATCTTACCCAACTGCTGTAGTCTAAATCCAAGGGAAAGAAGCCAAATAGCCTCGTATTTGTGCCATTGATGTCTGATCACATGTAAACAAATTTATCACATGAAATTCTTAATTGTATTGGCATAGTAACAGTCTATCTTTGACAAGACAGTAGAATTCTAGAGACAATTCTTATTCTAGGCTATTCTTGCATTTTCTGACTTTGCTGCGCAGCCAGTAAACATCCACTTCGCTGCACCTGGCAAGTAAGTCAGATTATTTTCATAACTATGCTCATGAAAGTTCACATAACTGGTTTCAAAGGTTAAGTATTCAAAAGGTCTGTATTTTGTCAGTCAATCATGGGCCAGTAAAACCAAAAGGGAATTCGCAATGGCGAATCAGTCATCAGGCCATAAAATTTTGAATGCTCCTTGAATTTCTTTCTGTGTTTGATCAAAATTAAGCCCTTACTGCACTACTGAACTTACCTAAACTTACCCCGGGTGGAACATGGGCGTGTTTACATTAATCTAAGGAGCAACCTAAACATGAAAATGGGTTGCTTGAATCGAGGTTCCTTTATGTTGCTTAATATCATGATTCAAACCTAGAAAGGATAAAATGCTCAATTGGTGATAGTCAATGAACCTTGGCTCGTCCCTCTATCTTCTTCACCCATAACTTTGAAAAGCCTCTCTTGGCTTCATCTTCAACCCGGATTCAACTTATTTCCTAGATGGGTTGTTTCAGACCGGATTTAAAGAGAATAGCTTTCTTTCAAATTCAATATATTTTATAAACAGGCTTAAGCCAATAGGGAAAAATCCGCCCCCACTCCCTGATACCTTTTTCTTGGTCACCAGTTTCCTCTCACTTCTAGTCTCCTCTCTCTTACCTGCCTGCAAATTCGTATTAAGAAATCAAACTTTTTCTGTCGAAACAAATTTATTATCAAATATATAACGTCATTTACGCTTTGGCGCATTATCAGTTTTCTACCGAATACCATCCCATGGCCACAATATGATTTTGGTGGCTGCTATTATATCCAGGATCGCCAGAACAGCACAGCGGCCATTTGCAGGCTTTAGGGAAAAGCGCATATGAATAATTATTCCTGGTTTCTACTAATTCTTTCGTACATATTTGGTATTTTTATTTTCATCTGCTTTCGCTCGACACCTTTAAGTGTTTTACTTCTGGCATTTGATATTTTTTCATTTTGAGAATCGTCGACATAAAAGATATGAGAATCGATTGCAGTTTCGATTACAATCATTGCAATGTCAGAGGCAATACAGCCACGATTTCATAACATTATCCTTAAATTGAAAAAAAACAACGTCAGGTGCATTTTTATGTACAAAGAACGTGGACGTTGTGTGATGATTATGACATGAGGCAGTTATTTCTGTCTTTTTCTTTTATCTGAAGCCGTATACAAGACGCGAAACACAACTTTTCTTTTTCACTTGGAAGGTTATATCTGGGTATATTTTTTTGACTGACGTATGTGGACAGGTGCTGAGAAAATTGTTTTGCAAGCGAAGACCATTTATGTTGCTTTCCGATACACCACTGTGATTAAGCTAGAGCGAATCCGATATCTTTGATCATTGATAGAAGAGTCAGGAAATAGGTGGAGTGATTTTTGTTCTGTTTCCAGATGCCACCGTAGATGAAAGAAGCTTCAATGTTAGAAAAATGGGAGGGATTACCATGTTACATTCTAGGATTATGCGAAGAATCTGCTGCAATAACAATTGGATATTCAATTTTCGAGACATGTCATAACATTAATAGCAATAAATCGTAGTTTGTCTTCTCAATGCTAGGCAGATTAAGCTAGCTTTTCTCTTAAATCGAAAAAATCAATTGAGCTGGCAAATTAACCTGAGCAATAAACTAACAAAGAAGAAAGAATTGCTACTAGGCAGAAAACGTCCTTTTAGGCTAGAGTTACACTGATTGCTGTAGAAGCGAAGTAACTGAAACTTCGAAGTGTTCCTACGGCATTATTCTTCATCATTCCTGGTCTGCACTACAGCGCGCTTTTGAAATCTGGCACCTTAATTCAGCCAGGTCTCTTCGCTTTTACATTAGTGAGTTCAAACCAACAATGTTAAGATATCTGCTAACTGCTCGAACTGCTTGGAAGTGAATCTTTCCAATAGTAACGTTTTTTCAATATTTGACTACGCCAACAAGGGTATCATATTTGTAGAAATCAGACTATCCAAGGGAACCATTTCGTAAAAAAAGTCTAGCCAACAGTCTACCACTCTGAATGTGCTCTCGGATCAAGCTAAGAACCATCAACCCCCGCCCCTCCGTGCATTGTACTACATTTCTCTGTTAAGGAATCACTACTGAGTGATTTTTGTATCAGCTCATGATTTCCACGCGGTTAATATATGCGATTTGTCCTTGATTGGTTTCATCCCATTTCATTCTGAATTACAAGGTAGAAACGTCAATATTAAATGCTGCTTTACAGCTTACCTTGTCAACCAATATAAAGTGGGAAAGTGCTAATTTTAACGATATTTCCAATCGGGGCTATTTGTTGCTTTGGCCCAATTTGTTCCAAAGTTTGGCTCCCTTGAATGAAAAGCTTTTTTGTCCCAAGTGTATTTTCAACAGAGTAAGGTTCAAATCTAATTGGAGTTCCGTAATTTCCTGTCGTATCTCTCAGAGATCCTTGTAAGCAGACCTTACAGATAATCAGGGAATTGACTGTGTAGTGACTTGTGAAAAGCTTTTCCTTTTTTTCAAAGCATATCATTTGTTTTATATCAAACCAGCCATGTTGTTGTATATCAAGGTGCAGCTTAGCAATCCGGTATATTGTCACTGGAATCTAAATGTTGTTAGAACACAGGCTCTTGTTATTAATCATTTCGAGATTTCCTCAAGATCGAAAACTTTCCTAATGACCAGTCAACTTTTATAATGGGTAAATCTACCGATTAAGGGCTTTAATCATATTGAATATCGTTGGGATTCAAATATATATTCGCCTTAATTAGGGCAAGCAGTTGTAACAGAAATCTGGGACTTAAAGGCAATAAAAAAGTGGCTTAAGCTATCTGTCAGTCAGAATTGACCAATCAAAAAACGTAATGCAAGTGGCACGCTTATTGATTGACCAATGAATGATTGGCAGAGTTCAAAAACCACTTTAGTATCTGTTTATTGACTTTATGTAGTTGGACATATCAAATACTCAAAAAGATACTGAGGCCAGCTTTGATTGCATGGCAACATCTACAGTGACATTGTTGGGCCAAATTTAAGTGACATTGTTGGGCCAGATCACTACTCAATGTGGGTTTGCCCAGCAAATCTATCATTAGCAGGCTTTAAGGTACAAATTGAGGCAGCAAAAATCGCAATGTATATAAGATACATCTGCAACGCCTCTAATACAAGCATTCAAGGAGCTCATTTTAAAAAAATCAGCTTTCGTATGTAATTAATACTATATAACTTGTCGTCGATTCGATGCTTACTAGATGCTTCAATAGCAGTGATGGAATTTGCGTTGAACGGATTTTAATCTAAGAACACCATAACTCGAAAGAGAGGTCTTTCTGCTTCACGAGCTAACTGGTTAGATTTGACTATATGCTCACTCATTAATGTTTCTTGATGCATCTGCCAGTTGCCAACACGTTTCAGTAGAAACACAACTTTGAATTTTTTTCTGTTTTGCTTTCTTTCATCGTGTTTCTAATGCATGATAATTAGTGACGTATTTCTTTTAAATTCCTTCTGGACATCCTTTCATATTTCATCTCTTTAATGTTGCTTTTTGTTTTTCGCAGGCCAGTTGTGTTTTCATTGGATGGAGATAGCCTATACTTGGCTGACTTTGTTCTGGCAACATTAATGGAACATTCCATATCCTCACAGGGAAGCCAACCTGCCGAGGCAACCATGGAACGGGCAGCAAATACGATCAAACCACGGTAATGTTTTCACTAGGTATTAAACACCTTTTTGAAAATCTCCCATGCTTGTGTGCGGTCAGATTCTCAAGAAGCACTCTATTGGCTAGACCCTCTTTTTAATATTTCTGTTCATAATAAATGAACTTAATTAAACATGTATTATAGTTTAATTGAGGCCCTTTTCATTCAGCTAGTTGATTATCCGATTTTTTAAGGTTACAATTTTTTCTAAATAATTTCCGGTAGGTAAATAAGTCCTCTCTCCATAAGGATATGTGGATACTGTTATTTTTGTTTCAAACTTCCATGTCGATCAATTAAATGGATATTACTATGAACTGAGAGCATAGTGATATTAGTGATAAATAAACTCGAGTTTTTTACTCTATTGCAAATTTTGTAGCTATTTTCTTGTTCCTAGGCCTACAAAAATTAAGAAAGGTGCAGGTTCACACAAGAGCAGCAAAGATGCAAAGAAGGTAATCACCTCGCAAGCTCATAGCCCTAAAAAATTTTTTATTCATGCTCATTTCTTATTTCCAGCCTGGAAAAACTCTTAGTTTCAGTAATTCCTTATTATAATACTTCATAATTATTCTAATCTGGAACGTTTCTTGGTATCTATACTTAATCATTATCCTTAGTTTTAAAAATATCCTCTAGTAATACTTTACAATTTTTATATTTTGTTTTATTTTATCTCAAAGTAATTCTATTTTCTTAGCTTTGACAATACTTGATAGAAATGCTTTATAACCACTCCGAATTTTAACCACAGATACGAAACCAGAACTTATTGTGATTTTCAAAGGATGTCAATCTGATGCGTCAAAAATGACGAGCTTCATTCATTTGTTCTGCCTGATGTATTGCTTTCATATTTACCCTTCTTTGCTTTTCTACCCTATTAAAACCGATAATTTACCATTCAAGTAAATAAGGACTTTAACTTATTCATGAAAGAATTACATATACCTGATAGATTTTATTTAACACAAGCAATATCTAACAGAAAACCCCAACTTTCACAGAAAGCCTATCTCTTACAAAAAACTAAAGATTTACATTTTCCTAGTTGTAATATTTCTTTTACATGCTTCTTCGTGGAAGTACATCTAAAAGAAGGGCTTTTATTTATACGAGACATTGTAATGTATACTTTTATTTATCTAATAGTCTGTTTAAGAATAGAAATCTATAGCTTGTAGATAATACCAATCAGATGCAAGATCTCACTATGAGCCATATTTCAGTGCAATTTCAACCTGTTTGTTGAAAACACTCGCTGGTTTTCAAAGAAACGTTTCAAGTAACTGCTTTTTTATTTACTTGATGCGTTTTCAGGCTCTTGAAGAAAGCGATATACCTGTGGAAGTAACCTGCGATGAAGATGCTCTAAATGCAGTTGACCTAAGATCGTTGTCCACGCCGCCATATAATGCCAATAAAACAGCTAGGAAAGGGTCAGAGCACAATACAGAGTGAGCCATCTATGAGTCATTTTTCTGTTTGCGGTTTTAAAACTTGCATCAGAAGGATTAACATTTTGTTTCGGTAGACCAATACAGTTGTTTTTGTAGACCAATAAACAGCTCGACAGTGTGCCTTTAATTTCAACTGATTCACAGAATAAGTTAATCTTATTTTGTGTCTTAGTTTCATGATTGTCGAAATTACACTGAGTCAGCTGCTTGTTGTTTGTGTCATAGTCTGTGGTGGTTTTTAGCTTTTAATCAAGTGCAGCCCTTTTCTTACCGCTGACCAAGATTTTCAAAGGTTGTTTTACGGGCACCGAAGAAATGCCCGTAACTACCAGTGTAGTTTTATTTGCAATGACTTCTTCGGTTTATTTATGAATAAAAATTTCAAGAAAAATAATAACTTTTTTAAAACGATTTGCTGTGTGCCATAAGCGACGAACTATCTGTAAAATGTAAAATTACATTTTATAAATTGTATAGTCACAAGGAGGTTTGATCAGCTTTTTTTTTCGAAATCTAGATCACATGGAAACGAAGAAGATGATTTCTTTAGTGAATCTTTTCCATATAAAGGTATAGCCTTTCATCAGTTTGAATCAGTAGAATTATACCTATATTTGACAAATATAAATAGTGGGTATTAATTAGTTTCCCATAATTATCTTTGTATATTAACTATAGCTCAAACCAACTGTAAACAAAGTGATCATTATTATTATTATTATTATTATTATTATTATTATTATTATTATTATTAGGGCCCTTCAAAGCTTAAGACAGAAAAGCCCTTACTTAAAGACTGACCGGCATGCATTGCGTGCATCAGGTGCATAACAGTGCCATTTGCGCAATTTTGTGTGAAAATTACATAAAGAAACTTTGCGACCCGTTAATCGTTGGTGAAAATTATTTTAACAGTCGGATTGAATACATCAATGCAATTTACGGTCTTATTTTGAAATTTTTCCAAACTTTATTGTACGACCTTTTACGGTCAGATTTGCTTTTATCGCCATAATTTTAGGCCGGATGCACTTTTCCATGTTGTTTGTGCTTGTATTTTAGATTTTACGGAGAAACGAAGTTTGAAAACTTGTAAGGGATTTGTCCGCAAAAATCGTATTCTGGGTTCCAGAGCGCCAAGTGTAACAAGTGGGGCGTCGAGGAAATAGACCCCACTTGCTACACTTGACGCTTTGGAACCCAGGGTACAAAAATCGAAACCTTACCCCCCCCCCCCCCCCTAGTCGCTGATGACGGTTAAATACATTTAGAATTTTATCTTTATGTCGTCATAAAATCATTATCATTAACAACAACATGATAAAATCTTTCAAGTAGACCAAATTTCTTGCTCTCTATCCGAAACTGAGGTCAAAAATTTTTTACAGAAGTATTTGAAAACGTTTTTAAAGTGAGGTTTGAACTCGAAGTCGAACAAAACCCGCTGTTTATAGGACAATCCAGCATGATAATTCGGTGATTTAACTAACACCCTTAATAGCAAACTTCTTCTTTTATCTGTAGACATGCTGAAAAAGAACAAAGCACATTCAAGTGAAGCCTCTGAGCAGTATCCTTTAAAAATTGACAATTCCTAGTTGCAGCGATGTCGTGAAATGTCGTGAAAAAATATCTTGAAAATTGGTATGGAAAGGGTAGATGTCTCCAATGATCTGGTTGCATTTATCGCTCGTTAGCGCCGCTAATCTTTATAAAATTGATTTTTGAAAATTTTAAGTAATTATTTTATAAGCCAAATCTGTTCCAGAGCATCTGTTTTCCATATTCTCGTTTGAGCGACTTGACATCAACCGGACTCAATCACAGTTAGATGTAGAATAAAGAAACCTTCGATTGTAATTAATATCATGTGAAGTTACCTAAGAATGACCTTATCACTGATCTTGGACAGTTTCGAAAATATAACTTTCTTACATTATAAGAACAATATTTAATATGAATGATAAGACAGGAACTTCGATGCAGGGACACAAGGAAACGGGTTCAAATTACGGTAAACGCTTGATTAATCGCCCTTTCACCTTGAATTAGTGCTAAGTTTTGAAGTTATAACATGAAGAAGGCCCCCCTTCTCTCTCTGAAGAAGCGCCCCCTTTAAGTATAAAATTTTGATATCGAACTGCAAAATGTATGCAATATAGAATTAAAGAGGAATTTAAAAATAAGAAGTATAAATAGAGGGATCAAGATGCTAAATCGAGAATTTACGGTAACACCATTCGGAAGCTACAATCACTGCCAAAATTACTTGGAACACCTAACATTTTGCGCTGTGCTTTTCTACTTTTCATTTGTTTTCTGGAATACTACCACTTCCGCCCCCCTTTCCCCCACAAACAATGTTGAAAGTATAGAAAAATATCAAACAATCCACAAGAGAAAGCGTACCCCATAACCCTTTTCTTTTTTCTATAGTAAATCAACATTGTTCCTAGGGGGAGAGGGGGATGGCTGAATTTGCCTTTGAAAACCTACGTTAGTGTTCCAAGACTTTTGGCAGCGATTGTACTTGTTCGAGCAAAGAGTTCTCACAAGCAGTGGTTTTTGTAAAAATGAGACCTTTCCATTCTTATTCGCATTTGCTGTTGTAGTGTAGTGAACATTTTCGCTCCAAGAATTATATTATAAATCCTAACCCACAAAGTCAATCTGGATATGGAGAAGACCCTGTTTTGCAAGTAAAAGGTTATGTTGACTCGCAGAATAAATCAGTGCTTTCAGCAGACGTTTCTTTGGTAGGTCTACGTACAACATTTTATGCTCGTATTCTGTATCATTGTGTAGATTTTTATTTTTATTGCTGATGACGTCAATAAGGCTCGAGAGATTAGTGGATATGATAGAAAAATGCGTTTTAACGACCATTGGGAAAAAACTGGGCTCTTGACTCGAATATCCAGGATGTATCAAGATATGCCGTGACAACAATTTCAGAATATCCTTGCAAAAAGTTCTCGGAACAACCAGATATTAAAGTGTTGTTTTTGAAAAAAATTACTGTTTCCAGTAAAAAGACCGACACAGCACCCCCGTTCCCCAGCACCCCCGTTCCCCAGCACAAACTTGGTTGTAGAGGGACTTATCATAGGTAAAATATTCAAAAATTCAATTTTATTTTTCATACCAAGCTTTCATTCCAAGTTAGGTGATCAGCCAACATACCAAGTCTTTTGGCTTGCATTTAAGGTTCTCTTTTTCATTTTTGCGTTTTGTACTTGTGCAAACAGGAATTTGTGACACTTGGAAACTAAGACAATTTGAAGGTGTCGATGTTAGCTGATTGGTCAAAACAAGGAGCTTATAACTTCTATCAACCTTTTTGTTAATATCCGATCTTTCATACAACGTGGACGCAAAAATTAATTCCCTCTTTACAACATGTTCTCGTTGCAATCAACAAACTACCAAATGTCTTGAGTTAATGGTACCAAATAGCTATAAAGCTCCTAAAAACCTCTATCCATCTACCTGCCAAGAAGTGTCCAAATAACAATATTTTCATATATTAGCATATCCTTTTTTGCTTCTTTTGAGGTTTCTTCAAAAGCCATGATTTTAAGAAAAACTCTCACCAATTCACTTATTTTCACATCTGTTATAAAAAACCTCAAAAAAGAGTTCTGTTTTATGAAACCAGGTTCTCAGTCGCTTATCTTCACTAAGCGTTAATGGTTTTAATACTTGATACTATTCTAGCCCTTCGTTGGTAACAGTGTAACTCCTCAAAATGAAATGCCGAAGACGAATTTTGATGTTTGCGATGATGTGTTGCCCTCTACACCACCAAGCAAGAAGGTTTGTCAAATTCCAAATTAGACCAAGGGTCGTAATCTATACATGTTACTCTGGTCGTAATCTATTCATTTTAGCATTTTAGAGAAGGGTAAATGCCAAAATGAAAGGCTTTTCAAGACTTGAAAACGCTCTTTTGTGAAACTGCTGTCTGAGGTGTGCGTTACACTTTTATTTGTTTATAGAAAGTTGATTGCTCAAAAAAAAGGAAAATGTGAAGGTAAAATACTTGTTACAAATTAAACGCATTAGTAGATGCTTGTTAAAACGAAAAGTAAATTAAGATATTATTCCAATTGGGTTATTATTATGATGCTCAGAATGCAATCTTGATTTTAACTGTTGCTTGTAAATTTGCATATAGGCAGGTTATTTAAGCAATAGGAAATCAATCTACAAACTTTATTAGGCAACATTGCATTCAGAGTCATCTAATTCTTTCTTTCCAGTTCAAGTCGATCTTTTTTGGAACAGTGACTTCTCCTGCGGAAATACGAAAAAGGGTATTTTTTAAATTTTTTGATAATTGAAATACGTCCAGCCAGTTATCTTTTGAGAATTTATGGCTTCAGTTATAAGTTCGAAGCTCTTAATGCCATGAAACAGCTTTGTCACCAAAGAGCTAGTTTAAAACATCTCAGAGTTATTAAGTTCCTTGGAAGGAGTTTACTGGGCCATGAAAAGTTTAAGGAGATAAGAAGAGCTGAAGGGAAAAGGAAGTGTTGAAGGGGAAAAGAAGAGTTGAAGGGGAAAGGAAGAGTTGAGGGAGATAGGAATAGTTGAAAGGGAAAAGAAGAGTTGAAGGGGAAAGGAAGAGTTAAGGGAGATAGGAATAGTTGAAGGGGAAAGGAAGAAAGGAAGAGTTAAGGGAGAGGAATAGTTGAAGGGGAAAAGAAGATTGAAAGGGGAAAGGAAGAGTTAAGGGAGATAGGAATAGTTGAAGGGGAAAAGAAGATTGAAAGGGGAAAAGGAAGAGTTAAGGGAGATAGGAATAGTTGAAGGGGAAAAGAAGATTGAAAGGGGAAAGGAAGAGTTAAGGGAGATAGGAATAGTTGAAGGGGAAAAGAAGATTGAAAGGGGAAAGGAAGAGTTAAGGGAGATAGGAATAGTTGAAGGGGAAAAGAAGATTGAAAGGGGAAAGGAAGAGTTAAGGAAGATAGGAATAGTTGAAGGGGAAAAGAAGATTGAAAGGGGAGCTCAAGTACTGCACCGATACCACTATCTTTCTCTAACAAAACAGAGATGCAAAAACCCAAAAAACTTGTAAATCTGGTTCGGAGGAAGGTTTTGGACAACAAATGCTTTATGGACAAAATTTTAGTTCTATGTTTATGGGTTAGTTCTTTAATATGTGAAAAATTTGTCAATCATAGATACCACGAACCGTTTTAGATCATGTCGGCAGATGGCCAGGCTTTGATTCAAAATAATTGAAAGTAGAAAACAGGCTTGCTTCGTTTATGTAATAATAGGAATACAATATACGAGGAAACATTAATGTGTGTCAATAAAATTTATTCTCTAAAGACTTAAAAAATTTTATTCTTTAAATATGTAATTCAGATAGTCACGTTTTAACAGGACCGACCTTTACTTTTATCGTGTAAAATTTATCTTGTTAGTTGAAGAGTCCATTTTATATTTCTATATCTAATCAGATTCTAATATGAAAAAAGTCTTGATGTTAGGCCTTGTTTTATTGTAGATTACCTTTATTTTTAGCCTACTGTAAATAATTGAATGATGGTAAAGGTGATGCGCATCCTCTCTTAATTTTAATTGTCCTTCTTTGCTCTAAGTTCATTCTTTCCTGTCGTTTCTAAATGCTAGTTGCCCTTCTTTGCAGCGCAAACTTCACGAAACAGTGCTTGCAGAAGATACAGATGACGAAAATGGACCGTAAGATAAATGCGAAGATCCCGTTACTAAATACCCATGTGATCCTGGTCTCTTTCGCTGCTTATAACCGAGGTTCAGTTAAATTATCTTTCCAAATCTTTCTTTGTTTACCAGTTATTGCAAACGATGTTCCTAGAGCTTTGTTGAAGACCGGTACAGTGTAAAGGCAATCGGCAGATATTTAAGTGGCTCAAACCACTTGTCATTCAACTATTAGCCAATCAATAAGTCCCTGAGTGGTATCACGCTTATTGATTGGCCATTTTTTGATTGACAGACGACACTGCCTTTAATGATGATCAAAGGCATCTTCATTTCAGAATTTATGCTTGTATTTTATCGGTATTTGTTATATTGCTTGTAGGGCAGTAACATTTCAAACTTTTCATTGAATACTGTTAACTGTTTTCAAAAAGCTTCCTAATCCTTGTTATATTCTCACTCTGTTTATATAAGTGCTTAAAGAAACGCCATGTTCTCGAGTCGATACTCAAAATTCAACTAACTATTTACATAACTAACATGTGGCTAATAAGCAGTCATAGGGTGTCAATATCACAATATAACATCTCTCCCTTTCTTCGAAATGTCTCTTCTCGGGATGAAATATAAGCAAAAAAAACAAATGTTATGTGATTATATTGAATATGATAAGTACTTAATGAGTTACAACTGTTCCGTAAAAGTTTGTCATCATCCTGTTTCGTACTGGATATCTAAATTGAGGTTGTTATTCTTCCTGGTTCTGTTCATTAATCTGTTCATTGTCGCTAATCAGCTTTTCTGGTATTCCATGAGTAGAAAATATTCTATCAAATTTGGGAATGACAGCAGAAGTAGATTTTACAAATTCCACCTCTTGGAAACGTGAATAACAGTCATAGACGACAAGCAGATGTCCTCCTAATGATAAAGGTCCTTTAAAGTCAGTTTTTAAGGTGTGCCATGGGCGTGGTGGCAGTGTACTTGATGTCATTGGTTTGTTACTTGATGCTTTGCCTGTTGCTTGACATGGGAGGCAATGTTCCATTTGCTCTTAAGTGAATTTGTCAATGAATGGGAACCATATTTTCTCTCTAATTAACATCTTTGTTTTTGTAATGCCCATGTGTCCTTGATGTGCTAATTCTATGGCTTTCTTGCGCAATGTTCCCGGAATAATGATTTGGTTGTTTTTCAATAAAAGGTTTCCTTTCACTGTCAAAGTTTGCTTTATGGAATAGAAGATTTTCAGTTCATCTTTGTTAATTTCTGGATCTGCAATTGTTTTTATTGTATGCCATTGATTATTTTTGTGCAGTTCGATAACTTTTTGCAGTGTGGGGTCCTTTGATGTTGCTAGCTCAATTTCCTTAATGGTCATAGCGTTGGGTACAGCATGTGAACTGATGAATCGTACGTAGTCTTCTGCTATATGATCTTTGGCTGTAATACTCTGATTTGGATGTCTGGATAGATAGTCGGATGGGTTGTCAGAGCCTTTACGATATTTCACTGTAAAATTGTAATTTTGCAGTCTCAGCTGCCAGCGTTCTATTCTAGCAGGCGGTTTGTTGGAATTTCTGTGTGTTTCTTGACATCAAAATACGACATCACTGGATGTGTACATAGGACTTTCTTTAGTGTATCAAATGCAGTTTGTTGTGGAGTGTCCCATTTGAAAGTAGTGTTTTTGTGTGTTAAAGTACGGAGTGGTTCAGTGATTGTTGAATAATCCTGAATAAATTTCGCAATGAATAAGTACTGTGCCATTCCTAGCAGACTTCTTACTTCACCAACAGACCTTGGTGTTTCGAAATTATTAAAATCTTCAACCAGCCTTGGATCCGGGCTAACTCTTTCTTTTTGGAAGATCAATCCAAAGAATGCTAATCTAGATTTGTTAAATTTGCACTTTGATTCATTCAGAGTAATGTTCTTGTCTTTCAATCTCTGTAACACATTTTCCAGGGCCATGTTGTGTTTTTTTTGCGTTTCCCCCCCCCAAATGATGATGTCATCAGACATGTTTCCCTGATTTTGAATACCCTGTAGTGCCTGAGTGATAGTGTTCTGAAAAATTTCAGCAGCACTGCTGACCCCAAAGCATAGATGTTTGTATTGTCTCAACCCTTTGTGTGTGGAGAATGTTGTCAGATGGGATTTGGAGCAAGAGTAAGCTGTTGATATCCCTGTTTCAGGTCGAGCTTTGAGAATATCGCTGCTCCATTCAATTCTGTTATTGAATCATCAGTTGTTGGCATTGGGTGTCTTGTTCTGAGAATGGCTGTGTTTGGTTGGCGCATATCTACACAAATGCGTATGTCATCTGTGTCCTTTTTTGGAACAATGACAATAGGGCTCACCCAGTTTGTGGGGCCCTTCACTGGTTCAATGATGCCAGCGACTTCCAGCTTTTCTAATTCCTTTGCAACCTTTTCTCTCACATGAAACGGGATTCGTCGGTTGAATAACTGGTTCGACTTCAGGATCTTCATGAACACAACTTCACAATCTTTGAGGTTACCTAAACCTTGGAAAACATCTTTGTATTTATCTTTTAAATGTGTGACATATTCTAGTGATTCTTTGTCGATTTTGTCTGTAACGTAGAGAACTGACAGTGTGCATGTGATGTCATGTTCGAAGGCACATCTGTAGAATCATGAGTTTTCTAATGGTGTCATTAGGCAATGCTAATTAATGACGTATTGCTTGTGCTCGTCATGTGATGACATGTCATGTTTATCAATAAATTGGAAAACCGTGATTGTTCGGCGATTAGAGAATTGGAATATGCACTAGAGACACGTCTGTTTCTGTTGTCCGTTTCTGCCCGATCATAACAAATTGGTGACAGAGATGGATATTATTTGCATTAGCAACACGATTACCTTCTTTAATATTCGGATTGTCAACAACCCAGTTATTCGCACTTTGCGAAGCAATATGTCCCGAGCCATTGCACATCTGGCATTTGAACGAACCATCACTGGGTTCTTTGTTCCCTGCTTGTGAGTTTTGGGGGCAATTTCTTGCTATGTGACCCTCTTTAGAGCAAAAGTAACATGTCACACGGCGTACTGGCTGTTGACGTCCAGCAAATTGGGAGGTCGGTTCTTTTTTTGAACAGTGGCTACGTACGAACTATTGTTCATTTTTAGCTCCTCTACGGCAGCTGTTAGTTTGTCCAGCCGTCCCCCAATAGATGTCGGTGAAGGGACGATGACCATGATTATCACCTATCGCCAGAAACTGTTTGGAAAAGGAGAGCATCTCATCCAACTTCGCGTCAGGCATTCACTTTGATGAAATTTAATTCTTCAGCGGTTTTGCATGTCATAAGGTTTCCTGTTACATTCTTAGCTACGTGAAAGTGTGCTAATGTGATTTTCTGATCGGTTTCGACGGTGTTTTGAAATTGTCCCAGAATTTTTAAGGATTTCGATGCTCCGTAAGCGTATACTTTGACATCGGTGGGTTGGAGTTGAATGTTTTTTCTTGAATTTATTTGCTTCCACGAATTTTCGTCGATGATGTTGATGCTTGCACCGGTGTCGAGAAGAAATTTTATAACCTCTTGATTTTTTTTAACAGAAACTTCAAGCTTTCATTTTTTGTTGCGTCCATCGATGTAAAATACGTAGTCATTTGCACTTGATTCTTACGATGCTGAGGTGTGTTGATCAGCCTCGATTTTCCGCACTGTCTGAGGATTTGGATGTGTTTTCCTGGCATTTTTTGACTTGCGACATCGAGTGAAGTGATTCTTGCGTTTGCATGAACCGCAGGTTTTTGCTCGAGCGGGGCATGGCCCAGTTGTGTGTGGGAAATCAAATCCACAGCTGTAACACGTTGATTTCTTTTTAGCTGCTTGTGTGGAGGTATTGCTGTATTTTCTCACTTGTTTTGGCTTGTTTCTGAATTTTTGAACTGTTTTTTTCTCGGAGAATTCAGGTTTTGGAATTCCGGTAGATAAAGGTTGTTGAATTCCCATCGCCCAAGAAAGTACGGTATTGAAAAAACGAGATGTCAATAACTGATAATGAACTGATGCTAGTTAGTCCTGAAATTTGGAAATGATGACGTAAAATTGATTGATTATTAATTTGCTAGCAAACATGTTGAAATTCTTCCTGTGTGACTTTTAATTTTACCCTTAAGCTTAGTGCGGTTGTTGAGGTGATGAACCAGGAAAAAACTGATGGAAAAGAATAACGTACATCATTTTACGTAAAACATTTTCCTCTATTATATATCCAAAATCGCCTAAAATCTAATTTGGGGAAAAATTTTATGGAAATTTTGAAAAAATGAGCTTTTCGACCATATGCACAATATGACCATTGGCAAGCGGATGGACATTACATATGTCACAACACTACACTGAGAACAATTATTTGCCATAAGGAAAATGATTTTTAGGGAAAATTATTGAAACCTTTACGTGGCCCCAGCCATTTAGCCATGCAAAGCCTTATATAAAATTCTTGTAGATAAGAGGGAATTTGATAAACTGAAATTGTTGTTATGAGGAGCTTAAAAGAAGCTGTAGTTCATTTTTGCAGATTAACCTTAAATTTGTTTTTCGCAAAAAATGCTCATGGATTCACCCTAAAACGCGCAATCTAGAAATATTAGTTTCTGCAAACTTAATTTCCTTATACTTTCATGCCATTATTTGCTCTTATTTTGTTTTCATTAAGTGTGTATATGACAAACCATTTCATTGTTAATAAATTTTCTATGGAGAAATAGTAGGTCAAAAAAGTAAATTTGGTCACTTTTTCTGAATAATTGAAGGCTAAAATGGCCTTTATATGTTGCTTTTTAGGGTGGGTAAAATTTTTATCTTTTCTAAAATCTTTTCGCGAACCTCTGGCCTGGGGTGCTGTTTATATAAAGTAGGTATGAGTGCGGTGCTACAAATCCAGACAAAAAATTAGCTACCTGGCAATTAAAAGCGAATCTCTCCGACATATTTTATTCAAATTTTTGCCCATTAATTTTCAAAGCCTTTACAGTACCCTCTTCCAGTGGTGGCGCCAGGGGAGGGCTAGGGGGGCTACAGCCCGTCCGTCAGAAGCATCTAGCCCCCCATCGGAGGAAATTTTAGGTTATTGTCGGAGCAAATTTGACAAAATAACGTACGAAAACTGCTTATTTTAGTCATTTTAGCCCCCCTGTCGGAAGCTCCAACCCCTCTGTCGGAAGATTTCTGGCGCCACCTCTGTCATCTTTCTTAAGTCTGAAGCATCGATAACATTACAAAGTCAATATTTTTAGCTACGTCATTGACAATACCTCAGCACAGCTAAGTCATTCAGTTAGCCATCATTGAATAGGTGATTTGGAGTATGTTATAGAGGAAAAAGTTCTGCACTGAGTGGTAGAAAATTTGCTTTCCAACAATTTTTTTTCCGGTTGACCTTGATTTCAACCCTACACGGCCGCACTAGCTGTGAGACGCTCTTTCCTGTCTCTTGAAAACTGAGCAAGTCCTTTACATTTACCAAATTATTAAAGGCATTGAGTCATAGTAAATATGCCTTCTCTTTAGGGGATCATTTGGTTTCGGCGTGATCGCTGCTGTTTCATATGGTATTTGCATCCGTAGTTGAAAATTTGCTATTGATGAAAGTTGTTTTGTCAATCAGTACGAGGTGCATTCGTGTGACCAGGTAAAGGTCAACCAATAGCATCGCAGTCATGAAAATCATGACTCAGCGGATTTTGGCACTTAAGGTATACCCAATCCATTTTATCATGACTCAATGCCTTTAAGCGATCTTTTGGCTTGGCGGTTTGCGATAGGATCATTTTTCGCCTCGTGATTTTCTTCTCCCGGTATCCGGGCGATATCCCTTTTGCTTCAGGGCTGACGTAATTTTACTTCCATTTTCGATGTTAGTATTCAGTCCGATACCGACCTACAATATTTGGAACACCCGGCTACTTACGCTGCATTTGATATCTTTCATTCCTTTCATGAAAAACAAATTACTACTTCCGCCCCCTTCCCCCTAAAACAATGTTGATAATTTAGAGAAATATCATAAAAGAAGCGCAAAAGAAAGTGCTTACTAAAATCCTAACCCTTTTTATAGTAAGCCATCATTGTTCTGTAGGGGAGAGGGGGGTAATTGATTTTGACCTTGGAAATTGACGTCAGTGTTCCAAGACTTTTGGCAGGCATTGTAGGCCTGCATCTCTAATCAACAGATTTTACAGGCTTCTGCGGCAAGATGTGCAAAAGAAAATGTCTTTTACCTATTTTGAAAGTAATCTGTCTCAAACCCTTGTTTTTTGTTTCCCTGTTAGATATTTTTTGCAGATTGATGTATAGTATAGGGTTAGATCTCTCTGAGTATAAGACATGAATAATAGCGACCATAAATCTACTGTTTGCTGGAGGGTCTGCTATAGTGAGCAATTTAAAATGCCTGTGACATGATCTTCATACTAGCCACACTTGATATTTTCGAATCTGGCGTTATTTTTTCCATTTTTTGGTAAAAAACGCACTTCTTGACATTTATTCCCACTTTAGTCCAATTCCAAGTCAAATTTCATTTCATTAAGCAACTTTCTTAAAGCGTGTATATTAAAGATCTATTTACTTATTGTCATAAGCATAAAGAAGAATTCAGAGATTATAGAAAGAAAGTCCGTGAGTGTTGCCTAGGACACTGAGATAAACTCACATTAAGGTTAGATCCGTGACGTCACAGGATGAAGCTTTTCCATCCTCGAGTCCATCATTCAAGAGGATTAGATTGAGGAGATATCGTTACACCAAAATGAGCGACTTTTTCGACGATTTAAATGCTAGTAAAGAGGGAAGCTTGGATGGCAGTGATAGTGATCTACGTTGATCCACACACTTGCAAAAGATTATTTGAGATGTTAGAGGCAATACAAGAATCGTGTCACAAACACTTCAAGTTGAAGTCGGATTTTGGTGGGGAGACGAACCAGCATTTGCCTGAAGGTCGGTTGGTTTTCAAAATTTTGCGCCATTTGCATAGCGCAGTTAAAGTCAATTTTATTGTTTTCACACCGCATAATATATCATATAGTAAGAAAATTCGTGGCACTTATGGAAACAAGCCAGTTTCGAATAAAAAGACGAAAGAGAGTCAAGCGAAGAGTGAAATGAAACTCTGGTTTATATGATGCAACTATGATATATAATGAGGTTGATTAAATGCTGTAAAACACCATGAAATGTATATTTTTCCTTCGGCCTAATGCGCATGCCCATGTGATGCACATCAAAAAATGGGAATTCATACTCGTCTCTCCAACAAGATTTACTGGTTAATACAATACTTGGAATGGCAAAGGAAATATCCTTGCACATGTTAAAAGAGGTTTGGTTCAGATTTAATGCTATTTTCTTATATACAAAGGCGGCCTATATCATCGATATTTGTAAATTCTTCTGTAGCTCAAACAAAGTCAATTGTTAAACGACGAGAGTCGGGTTTTCATTCTAAAAGTAATTTTTCTTTTCTAAAGAGGTTTTCTGACCAAAAAGATAATGGAAGAACAGCCTCTATCCACGATTTAAACTAGCGATCGAATGAAAGAATTTTGTCATGGCGTTGTGAACTGTCCGTCCCGCCTAGCAGCGGCGTTAGCCAAACTGTAACAACGATAGCAATACAAGATAAGCTTGGAAAGGATGCGCCATTAGAGCAGATTCGTGGACTGCAAATGTATAACCTCGCCTTCAAGGATGCATTGATCTTGTAGCAACAGGAGCTATATATCACGAAAACTGCTTTTCGCGTTTCATATAAGGCAAACGATTGCAAATACCAGGGGTCCTTAAAAAACAGAATTTATCTATCAGTGAAATTGTTGAAAATTATTACTCTCGTTTATAATGAAGAATTTTCAATAATCTTAGCTGGTTAGCAACGAGACTTACTTTGCTATTGTTCTTATTTTTTATTTCTAAACCTTATTTCTCAATTGTCCACTTAAATACCAGAATCTTTCGGCAGTTGGTAATGTCCATCCACTTGCACAATATTGTGCATATGGTCAAAAAGCTCGTGTTTTTAGAATTTCCATAAAACTTTTTCCCCAAATTGGATTTTAGGCAATTTTGGATATGTAATAGAGGAAAAAATTATACGTGAAATGATGTACGTTTGTTTTTCTACTAATTTTTTCTTGCTTCATCACCTCAACGACTGCACTAAAAATGGTTTATGACGAAAGAAGATCTGGGTGATAAAAATTGTGCAAAACAAGTACAGTACAGCAGCAAAGTCGTTCCTTAACATTGGGACTTTGCCCATTATGTCCAAGCGCACGTGGAATACTTTTTCCACATTATACATCTTCGAATGCGTCATCTTCCTAGGTTACATAACAGCATGAAATTATTTTTTGCGAAGCGACGAAGAAGCAAAATGTCTTCTGAGTCCAAGGTTTTTATCACCTGTTGGCGGCGCATATTTTAGTAATTTACCGCTAAAATTAGAAGCAGCTATGTCAGATAAAGATGATCAATCGGTTGGGGGGGGGTGGGAGTAACTAAGCCTAGTTTTGAACGGGGACGTGTCCTTTTGGTTGAATGATTTAAAGTGACCCATAATTCCGCAAACATGATGAAAACTAAAACCCATAGTTCCGCAAAGCAAGTAAAAATCTTAAAGCACAACAAATGTATCATACAAATTTTGCTTGTTCTTTGCCTTTAAATCTCAATATAACACATATATCATATTTTCTTTTCTAACTGGTCATTCAATTTGTTAATGCCAAATTTTCCTCCTAATAATCTTGCAATATTTTCGAAAAATGGTATTTATAATTCTGCATGTTTCTTCAAGTTCCGCACATATTTCAAAAACTGATACCGATGTTTCCGCATTTTCATAAAAAAGGTCATCCTAAATAATGGCACACCCCCGTCCCTTCAAACATGTTAAGGTAAACATTCTTCTCGTTCGTTGAGCGGACATATTGGATGTTGTTCAATTAAATGTTCACTTCGTTTGACCAGGCTTTAAGCGGATTCTGGTACAGAGCACCAATCTGGCGAGTTTGTCATTCTATACAACACTAACACTATGAAAACACTATGAACGTACATTCAATTATCATATGTCCGACAAATTTGAAAGCCACTGTTAATGGTAGAGATAAGTTCAATAACAGTGAGGAAATCCATTAAGTTCTCATATCAAAGGAAAAATAAGTTCTTTCTTAAAAGACAAAATTAAGTTTTAAACCGAGATGTAGTCTCAAGACCTGAATTAGGAGATTTAGAAACCAACACAATATTTTTAACGCTCTGCATAAGGCGTAACCATTCATGTTCTTTCCTTCCTTGACTGTGTTAAACAATCCACACAACTTGTGCAACAAAAATTTCTGATGTTATTGTGACGATATAGGATGCTCAGTTGACGGAAATATGCGTCTTAAAGCATTAAGCTTTTATGATTATTTGTTAAACTGCAATCTTTTTTGCTAGCATGCAAAACAGAAGGAGTGACATTTCAAACAGAAATGGCAGCTGGTATATGGAGAAATGTACCTCTTGTGAGATATCTTTCTATGTGTTTTGCAATGGCTCATAAGTACAAACATACAAAGAATATACAAACAAGACCGGATTGAGGAGCTAATCGTGAAGAGAAAGTAGCTCTTTCATATGATGTCACAAATAAACTAGCAGTAATTCAACGTACGGTCAAAGCATCTTGAAAACTGATTACTATAGAAGTTCTTGCAAAGCTTTTCATACAAACCATGATAAATTTGATCAAAGTTAAGTGCAAATAAGTGCAAAGTTCGAGTTCTTATTGTCTACGTCATTTCAAAAAACAGTCTAGTCTGATTGCCAATTTGAGAAGCAGCATAACTTTGACTGAGAAGCGGCATAGCATAACGTAAAGTTATTTGGTCACAGCCATGAACGATTCTACAAACGCGAATAGTTTGAAATGCAGGATTACATTTAACATTTAAAAACAGAAAACAGTAATTAGACAAAAATTAGACAGAAAAATTCCAACCAGATACACATTTATTTGCGTTAATTTTCTTCAGTGAACTTTGAATCTCTTCTGACACGCTGCAAACAATATTGAATCACTTTATTGCAGCCTCTTTTCATTAATGCTAGGCCAATTTTCAGTCAAAGTTATGCTGCTTCTCAAATTGGCAATCAGACTAGACTGTTTTTTGAAATGACGTAGACAATGAGAAACTCGAACTTTGCACTTATTTGCATTTAATTTTGACCAAATTTGAGAAGCAGCATAACTTTGACTGAAAACTGGCCTAGCATTAATGAAAACAGGCTGCAATAAAGTGATTTAATATTGTTTGCAGCGTGTCAGAAGAGATTCAAAGTTCACTGAGGAAAAGTAACGCAAATCAATGTGTATCTGGTTGGAATTTTTATGTCTAATTTTTGTCTAATTACTGTTTTCTGTTTTTAAATGTTAAATGTAATCCTGCATTTCAAACTATTCGCGTTTGTAGAATCGTTCATGGCTGTGACTAAATAACTTTAAGGGCTGCCAAACATAACGCACAACCCGTTCCAGACCATAATTTATTTCAAAGTTTTAAAACTACGTCCTATATTTGAAATCCTATTTCCACAAAACGATTCGATCAAATTTGATATAAGTTATATTTTACTTGTTTCTCTAGACAGGATAAACAGGCATGCAACAAAATGGAACGTGAAATTCAATAAACTATAATGCGACTAACAAAGAAAGACACGATGTAAAGGTTGTTGTGAAATTAAATTGATCCCACATGCATTGTTTGAGATAGAAAGTCGGAACATTTAGACAGTCATTTCTTATTTCCAAATCTTCAAATTTGCTTAGGAAGAAGCAATATTGAGGGTGCACAGGGGCTCATCCCTCGTGTCGAAATTCAAAGAAGTAGAGCTCAAGCAGCTTATCGATTTAAGCCATCGTATATCAAGACATGGATGCTTATAGAAATCTCAGCGCGTGACATTCTTGCGAGTAAAATTAAAATCTACTTCGCTTAGATGTTTTGTTGATTCTTGAGCTTGGGTCATCTTTATGTTTATATAGGAAGATTTGTCTATGTTGTCTATCTGCTGAACACACAATGATTTTTATCATCATTTCAAATGTTGTTTATAATATCATGTGTCATTAAATCACTGGAAAGATCATATAAGAACACCTTTATAATTTTCTGGAAAGGCATGAAATACTATATACTTTTTATTTGATTTTTTTCATTCTATTAATCATACCCTAGTTACCCTAACAAAACCTATAAACATCACATTATACAATAGGAAATTCGGTCATGGGGAATTTATTGATTTACAGAATGTATTGACACCGTGAATCTTGATTTTCTTTTGATAAAAATCCAGCATCATGGAGTTGAAAGGGTTTTTTTTATTCGTCTAAGTCCTCTCTCGGATAGAAAACAGTATGAGGTATGTTGAGGCATTTTTCTTCAAAGTAAGTTGCTTTCTACCATTTGATATTTTAATGATATTTTACCCTTCCTGCAATATAGAATTTGACATTAATCAAGTGTTCTTATTCCAAAAAAAGGTTTACAAGAACAATTTATTTTAAACTTTCTTTCACATTCTACTTATAGTTTTTCTCGCAAAGGCGATATTTTCTAACTCAAAAAAACCCAGTCAATTTTGTCTCGGATCAGTACATTTGCATGGAGCCAAATGCTGGAACTATGCATGTCTTTCGTCAAAAGAATAAACACCTACTTCTTTTCAAAATAACTTTTAAAAGTGTATTGGATTTGTTCACAATACATCCGTAATTTCTTTATTGATATCTGCAAAATACTGTTAACATTACTATCTAGGATGCTATGTCGTTGATTAGACTTGCTGAGTTTTCGACAAGAATTCCTCTTCATAAAACCCCTACAATGTGTATCCTTATTTTATAATAACGATCAATGTAAGTAAATTGTACCAGGAAAATTTTTTTAAAATAAATAACGACGTCTCGAGCATAGCCCGTTATCACGTTTCGAGCATAGCTAGTTATCACCACTTGATAACAGGTTATGCTCGAAACTTCGTTATTTATTTTAAAAAAAATTTCCTGGTACAATTTACTTACATTAATCGTTATTATAGTATCATACTGTACCGCACGCAATCTAGTATATTTATGGTATCCTTATTTTACTTGTTATGAATTGTATTTTTGATTTAGCATGTAGTCAGAGGCTTAGATATTTGCGGTATGTTTTTGGGTAACAGTAGCTTAAAATAAAGCAATGGGCTAGTATTTATATCATGTTCCTGTTTTCTCGCTTGTGCTAAAAGCTTTTGCTCAATGAAGTGCGCGCTTTTTTGCCTTTTACTGACTTTATCTCGTGACCTTCATCAATCTCTCATACCTGCCCGATGCCCACGTTATTCATGAGCAATTGATTCAAGCGACTCAAGCTGTTGATTTTCCGCTTATTCTGAAGCGTTAAAAGGCTAAAGGGAACTTGTGAAACTGGAAACCAAGCCCAAATATTTTTTCAGTATCGACAAATTAATGAAAATACATGCGAAATCAGGAAAAAATTACGATATTAGATTTAGAAATAGGCTACTAGCCATTATTCCATAACAATAAAGAATTGTTTCTTGTTTATGCATGTTAAAGCCCATCAGGGCTATCGGAGTTTTTCCCCAAAGCGAAATTCTTGATAACTTTTCAGATTGAAGAAACCATAAATCAGCAAAAAAATAAGTCAAAGTAGATACAAAACTTAATAAACGAGAATTTTTTTGGGGCAGAGGCAGCTGAATACATGGCAGGTGAAATTGCTTTATAAAGCCTCGATGACCGTTAGAAAGGATAAAAGTACATTTAATAAGATCAAAATAACCGATAATTGCCTTCGACTATCTGCGATCAGAAACTTTTTGACTTAATTGTTTTTTCAGTGAGATTTGAAACAGAGAAGTAAAAATCATAAATTCATCAGTTTTCTCTAGTTCCAACATATCTTGTTGGTTATTTTCGTGTACCAATTCAAAGTTCAGCTTGCTTTTAATGCTGGTTTTTTTATCCAGCGAATGTTTAAATGCTTATAAAACAATAGGTCAAAAAATATGATTCGAAGAAGGCAACTGGACCTGTTGGTATACCATCCATAGTTATCAAAGCATCAGTGGAAGAACTTTCTGAATCATTACAAATTTTATTTAACAACTTTGTCAAAACTAGTAGTTTCCGAATGCAATAAAACAGGCATATATAACCAGCGTTGAAGGAAGAAAACTCAAAGATAAAAGAAACTACAGGCCAGTAAGTGTTCTTCTTTCACTGTCTAAGATATTCAGAGAAAATATGGTACACAGCATGCATTGATACGCTTACCGTAAAAGCCCTATTAGGCCCCCGGGGGCCTTTTTATATTTTTCAGTCCTAGAGGGGGGCTTAAAAGAGCGGGAACTTTTTAGAGAAGGGGACTTATCAATAATTTAATGTAAAAATGTTATAAAATGCCCTTATTAATTATTTTGTATTTTGCAAATGTTATACAAATGTTCTCAAAAACTTTGCTAGCAGCTTCGAAAGTTTTATAAAAATCAATCAATTATAAAATATCTGCTTTATCTTCCTCAGAGTCCCCAAGATCAATTGATATCCCCTGGGACATCTTCTAAACAAATTTCGACTGACTTCTAAGGCTCATAAGTAAATATTTACATGGCCTGTTATTAATGCACACAATTTTATCGTCATCACACCCGTCAACAGACCCACTCAATGCACATGTTTTCTTGGTTTCACATCAGGAGCTTAAGAGGAGAGCTTAATAGTTTTTGCTTGATAAGGGGGGCTTAATGGAGAGGGGCCTTTAAAGAAAGGGAGACTTAATAGAGCTTTTACAGAACTTAATAGAGTAGTTGAAAGCTTTAGACGATAATGTATCTAGACGATAAGAAAAAAACAGATATAATAATGATGGATTTATCAAAACCATTTGATTGCCTGCCATACGATCGCATAATTGCTAAGCTGTATGCGTATGTATTCAGCAAACGATATATGATGCTATTACAAAAATTGGCTAAAGGAGAGGACACAAAGAGTGAAAATTAATTCTCAAACAAGCATGTGGAAAAATATTACACAAGGAGTCCCACAGGGATCAGTTCTAGGCCCCCTATTTTTTAACATATTTCTAAATAATATTTTCTATTTCGTGACTACAGAAAATCTTTGTAACTGCGCCGATGACGATACAATATGAACAGTAGGTATGAATGTTGATGATATGATATATAAATGTGAAACAGAAGTAGCAACTGTAAATAAATGGCTTAAGGATGATTCATTGTTACTAAATGAAGATAGATGTAACTTTATTATATTTGAATATAAAAAAATAGAACCGGAAAAGCAAATATTAAAATAGAAAATGCCGCTATTGAAGAGCCAACTACTTGGAATAACTCTAGACAGCAAACGTAACTTTGAACAACATATTAAAATCCTTTGTAAAGAAGCAGGTGAAAAGATTAATACCCTTGTCAGATTAATCGCCCTTTTTATGAATGAATATGAAAGATCACTATCTATGAAAACCTTTACTCAAACCATACTCAATAAAAAACCATACTCAACTTCAAAATGCCTTTGATAGAGCCAACATTTAACACCATATTAAAAGCATTTTCGTCTTACAAAGCTATTTTGAAAGTTTTTTGAATTTTTTGCTTTTTTCAAAGCCATTTTATTCTCAACTTTTTTCTCAACCAAATTATTCTCAACTTTACACCCCTGTTGCAGAAGATGGATTATAATTGTCATGACTGAATGTACAAAACGTTTATATATTATTTGCGTTTTCTGTGAAGAATGGAAGGTCATCCAACTTTTTATACTGGAAGATGATTTGATAGATGGAGGAAAATATTTGTTTAGACTGCTCTAATAATGGGGCTCTGGGACACTATTCCTTTCACCTCATTGCGATACAATTGTTGCAATGAATGGAGAAACCAGAAGGTCCTTGCCAGTGATATATAAGCGATCTATCATTGGTCAATGCAGAGCGGTGAACCAAACTTGACTGAAATGACCAATAAAGTCAGCATACTAGGTATTTAAAAACGCATATGAGGAAAATTACTTAAATAAATTTTGAAACAATCATGAAAATAGACTCATTAATAGAAAGCTGGCAGTTTGTTGATACTACACCTTGATCATTTTCAGTACTGGGTTTTTGCGATTTTTCTTAAATTGACTTCATCTTCAAATCTTTAATTGTTTAGCTAACTTTATGATTCGTGACTGTTTTTACAAGGCACCAATCGTAACCATTATTCCTGACCTCATGTCACTACAGAGGACTCTTAAGTTTTGTTCTGTCTCTTCAAATGCTTGTCAACCTAGAAGATAACTTGCTCTCTTTCACAGACCCCAAATTTTAGACGATTTTGCATAAAACAAAACAGGAATGGAAGATTTTCAAATGAATAACAGCTTGTATTTGCATGTAGGCCAATAACAAATCCCGAAAACTGGCAGGAGCATTTTCATCAAGTATCCATCCGATTACTCCGAATTCATGCTCAAAAGATTTTCGTCGGGCAGTTCCTAAAATGCTGGACAAAAGCTATGACACCCCCTCTCAAAGCAAAAGAGGTAGTTACGCCTCTGCATGTAGCTAGTTTGATTGTTTTGAGTTGCTGAAATTAGAGTGTTTTCATATATGTTGTGGAGTTTAAAATGAAATGAACTGAACGCTGGATCTTCCTAAAGCTGGATAGGAAGATCCTGAACCAGGCTGCAGCTATCAACCAATACATTATTACTAATTTCATAATTTGGAATTTTCAAGAAAGCTTCCACTTCTCAGCTGTATTTCTGGATTCCATTCTGGAATCTGATGAAGTTTGGCAAATATTGCTACTGTATTTCTTAAAGTAATCTCAACCAAAAGTTTCATTGACGATAAGGTTTCATTTACTATTTACCCCCGTGTAGCCCTGTGTTTTAAAAGAAGCAGATAATGTGAATAGACAGTGTTACGCCATATTCTATTTTCATGATGATGCCTTAATTTTGTCTTGTTTCCTTGAGAAAAACAAACAACTAGAAACCAACGATTCAAAACAACAAAAAGTAAATATCATCGTTTGATTCGTTATTCCCATCTAATTTTGTTTAATTGCTAGTAAACTGTTTGAACATGTACCTGTTTCATTTTTAAAAGATAATTCACTACAGTCAATCTGAATTGTTGAGCCCCATTATTCTATTATAAACAGCAAACTTGAAATCATTTATGAATAATATATATATCTTTTGCTTCCAAAAGTTTCTTATATCTTGGACTTCTTTTCTCTTTCATCTCCTTTGATTTTCGAACCTGTCGAGTGCTTCGGACGGGCAATACAAGATTTCGGCTGAGCCGGAATGAAATCTTCGTCAACAAAAGGGCATTAATATGATAGTTATTCGATTTGCGTAAAGAACTGGTTCTTCTTCCTTCCACAAAATCCTGGCGTCTAATCTTCTCAAACAACTGTGACGATTCTATGCCAGGTTCGCGTTTTTTGTGTGGATCATCTTCAGATTTTGACTTGCAGATAAACTTGGGCATCATAAGATTTTTCACCTGCTTACGGCAGAACAATTTGGCACTTTTGCAACCTTCGCAATCTTTATGCGATGAGCATTGTCTGTGGTACTGTGGGCAGTTTGCTTCTACTGGAAAATTATTCTGTAGAATAAAGCAACACAACGCATGTTAAGATCTTGCTTCAATACGAGTTTTTCATTCACGTTGCACTTTTAATTTTTATTTGCAAGAATGCACAAAGGATCGTTCTTAATAATCATTATACATTTACTGTATATAGTTTAGGAAGGTATGATTGTTACCTTGAGACATTTCGTACATATGTTATTAGTTATACTGCAATTTTTCACCTGAATCATACAAGAAACATTAATAGAGCTTAGATATAAAAAATAACCTGCCTAAAGCATTTTATGTTAACGGCTCAGACTTTCTGAGAATTCTCTTGAAAACTGGCGATTCTTTCCAATTTCATGTAGTCGGGGTAGAAAAGAGGGACGAAGAATTATCTAAGTTCTCATATAAATAGTTTATTTATAGGCAATCATGGAAGAACGGCACAAATAAAGTTATGAAAGGTTGATTATGACATACTGATTCTACAATCTCGTCATTCATAATTCACTTTAAGAATCTTAAAGTTTTTTATACGGCCATTTGTTATCTTAGCTGAGACATTTAAACGATTTGCTCTTTGATATTGGGTGAACTTTGGGGTGATTTTTACAATTTTAAATTCGATTCTCAAGGTGATGTGAAACTGAGACGAAGATATGACTGTATGAATTTAGACGGAAGATAAATGTCAGTGCAGGAAACTATATCAAAAGCCTGCTTCTTTTCTCGTTAGAAAAGAAAATTGTATCCTTCTTTCCTTTAAAGCAACATTTTCTCCATTTCTTCATTTTCAACATTTTCGAGAGAGCCTGCTATTTGGGTTGCAACAAAATTGAAACTACGTTTCACAAAAGGACTTTCGTAACTACACTCGAAGTCATTTCATTTCATTTTCGTTGTTTGATAATATAAAGCCCTTGTTAGATACTCTTTACTGTTGGTATTAAAATGCTGGTCAATGCTCAAACGAACGTATAATATTTTGATATAAATATATAGAAATTAATTTAAAAATTCAAACTCATACCATTTGGCGCATTGAATGGACTGAATATAATATGACCGATAACAGGACAACCAGATAAGAATTCATCTTTTTCGAATCAGCTCAGTTGGCAACAGACAACAGGAAAAATCTAGAAAATTAAATTCAGATTTTATTTGCAAATTTCTAAAGAGATTGTACAGTATTAAAGCCGAATGCAAACCAATTAGGATAAGTTGGAAGAACTATGAAGATAAGAAGGATGATATAGGAAAATTGGAATACACACCAACAATGGATTTGCGGCTCAGCTGCACTGGCAATTAGACAAGGAGTTCCTTTCGCGAAAGCTAATACCTTCTTATATCTAATGAATACTGACATAGGAATCAATTTTTAGGAAACGATCCCCGAGAAACCTTGTTTGTCAAACCAGCCCAGCGCTCTACCGCCACAACACCTCTGTATAGAAGAACCTCGCCAATGGAAGATTTCAATGACCTAATGAATCGCCTGCAGGGATAATTGCTTTAGAGTCAGAAATTAGATGATTACCTAATTGCGCGAACCACATGTGAAACCTACATTTGCCAAACGCGCTTGGGTGTGTTTAGAAAGGATATTATCCTCGTTAAAGCTATTATTTTTCAAGTGTGAGTACTGCCAGTAAAGATTTTTGTAGCGTGTAGCTTATTAACGTGTGAAATGGACATGTTTAGTAGGGAACCACACAGATGCAAAAAAGCTCACAATGCCAAGTTAGAAAGAGGATAAATGTTACGTACATTTTAATCGCAGCAGTTTATTGTTTCGGATAAACGCTTTCATGGCAATACAGACAAGCGGATCAACTTATGCGAAAATATCAGTCAAAGATCTGAAAATATAGATCATCTGCTGAATGAATTTAATTTCAATGAATATAGTAAAAAGGGTTAATTTTGTTGTTGTTAAAATCCTTGTTCGTGTAAAAGATGAGCTCAAGGTTACTATATCTAAATTCAACGATGATTTTGCTACACTTATCTCGCTTGGATAAAACACTATTGCCAAGCAGCCATATTCTGATTCATGCTTTACATAACATTAAAGATGGATTGATACTTTGATAACTACTTAAATCGCAATATAATAGCGTAAGGTAGGCTTTTTACAAAGCATTTTTTCTTTGCTGAGACTAAATAAAAAAAGGCATCTAGGAAAATCGTATTTAATTTGCTTAAGCAAATATTTATTTGAACGCACCTTGTTCGCTCTGTCCAGCGTATGTTCTGTCCTCTGATCTGTGCCTGCAGAATGGTCTCTGCCTCTCTTATATGCTTGAAATGACAGGTGTGCAATCAGATCTACAGGAAGTCCACGTTCTGCGCTAAAAAGAGCTCAGCAAGGATCAGCCTGCCATGAAACCATTTACTTTTACACCCCCAGCAAGACTTCAAAGAAACTTTTTATTGTATCCGGTCTGGATATAAATCGATTCTTTCCAGCTTTGGAAAGTCGTGATACAAGGTGATTTAAAGCAATAAATTTCAGGAGGAAGCTGCAAAGGAATATTTATGAACAGGGAAATCTTTATGAACTTTCTGAATCCCAATCCAGTACAGAACCACTAAAAAGCAGCACTTTGTTCACGATCACGAACACCAGCATTTTTTGCAAGGGGTGGCCATGGACGCTGTTCAAACAGAGAATTTGATGACAAAACATCTTCTTTGAATTTCATCCCTAGAAGTTCACCTATCATCTTCTTTGTTTACGATGACTTTTCCAAAATTCAGATTTTGCGTCCAAACCAAAAAAAGTCAAAGCATTCTTGAAAAACAAATCAGATTTTCATTCAAATTTGCAGTCCTAAAACGGGCTAGATAGGTGGAAGTTACATTTTTAATCAGTTAGAATTTATGTCGCAGGGGCGGATCTAGGGTGCCGCAACTGCCTTACGCAAGGCAGTCAACTACCGCTGACAAAGACTGAAACATTTAAATTTCGCCAAACACATCTTCAGTTTCAGTTTCATTTATTTGAAATTCCACTACATACATCCTTTGATTTTTTTGTTAATGACTCATGCCCTCCCACCTCCCCCCCTCTTCTCCCCCAAGTATCTCCATTAATTGATTGCGTGCAGTCGTTGTGAGACCCTACTTTGCATCTTTGCTTCGCCTCATATTGAGCGAATAAGTGATTCTTTCCCTGCGATTATGTGATCTTCTTCCCTGCCTCAGATGATTTGACATAAATTATATTTTGCGGCATTTCGCATATTAATTTTAGATGCCCGCGCAGTTTTAAACAATCGTTTTTGAGACCCTACGTCATTTTTATTGTTCTCCTTGCGGCATCGATGAGATGTATGAGAAATTTTTGTATATGCAAAATATGTAGAGTGGGCTCAGCGTATGGTTATTTGGAATCTTGAGGTGCCGCAGAATGCCGCATTTGATATCAGGGTGATACTTGTGATACGTAGGTGATCCACTAGATCGGTGCGGTGATCATGAAGACGATTAGCAGCCTCATTTCACTCCTGTACCGTGATTTTGACAGACAGGAAAATAAAGCTGAGAAGGGGAAAGGATATCCTGAAAAAGGTTAAGTTCTGTCAGAGACGTGAATATTGGAAGCTTCATGCATGACCTTAGCAATATTAAGCTTAAAAGACTTGGAAATTCTGCTTCTATCTCTGCAGCTAAAGTATCGGAGCTAGGCCTACTTGGTTAAAAGTTCTATGTTGAGCCGAGAACAAACTTTTTTCTTTGGAGGTGAATTATTATTGAAGCAAACGTTTTTGAAACATTGTTATTTATGCTTCATTCTTGTTAACGTTCGGTTTCTTTTAATTTAGACGTATTTGAATAATGTTCTTTGTTATTTAATAACAATATGATTGCCAAAAAACTTTGTTTTTTATCGCATAAAATGTGTATATTATCAGAGTCAGTTAGCATTGTCAATTCTTTCCCAATACAATATAAAGTATAGAAAAAATATTATTTGTTTGATCAAATTGACTCGAATCATGACGATGTAAATTTAAAAATAATAGACAGAGTATTTAATAAGTATTTTATAAGTTTACAGACACAAGAATTTAATACACATAGAAAATCTGATTTCAAAAATTCTGTGGAGGTTCCAGGGAAAATAGCTAGCCTCACTTTCTCTTTAAATTTTTTTAACTTCAATTTCGATTTGTTTCAAACATCGCATCAGAGCATGCTAGGTTTCTTTTTCTAATTTTGTGTGCTATATTTCAAATTATGTTATGTTATGTTATGTTATGTTATCTTATGTTATGTTATGGTATGTTATGTTATGTTATGTTATGTTATGTTATGTTATGTTATGTTATGTTATGTTATGTTATGTTATGTTATGTTATGGTATGGTATGTTATGTTATGTTATGTTATGTTTTGACACATCAGACACAAATGTATCAGAGATCTTTCAATTTGGGAAAGCTGTTGCTATTAGACTTAAAAACTAAAAACATAACATTACAGTCTGATGAATGTTTATGTGTTCAGAAGTAAATTTTAACCAGTGCTTATATTTCTGATAACTTGACATAGCTATCACCTGATTGGCAAATCTGTGTTATTTTAGTAAGGATTCTTGAATTGCTATTTATGGTTATGAAATTAGCTTATCTTGTCCTCTCAGGATGCCCTTGGTTGCTTTTTAAGATATTTTGGAGAAAATGTCTTTAAAAAGACAAGTAAACTTAAGGGAAATAGAATTTGTGTATCTGAATGACTCCCAAATTAATATTCGAAAAATACTTTATTATTTGATGTCTGTATCTATTATCTGTCAATCTGCAATGTCATCTGTTGGTATAATCTGTAATGTTAACTGTCTGTATAATCTTTATCTATGAAAGTAACTTAGTACGAAAAAATATCAATTACTTAGGGCATTTTATAGCAGAGCTTTATCTGTATGTAACCTTCAGTGCATTCTTTCACAATTTTGTTTCTTTGCTGGCAACAGACTAGACCCATAGGCTTATTGATATGCTTTTAAACTGTCAAACATTTGAGTGCTTAACACAGCAACATCAAATAACTTACATCCTGTCTGCAAAGCTTGATCAAAACACCATGTATCTAGAGGTTATTGGCATGACTGAAAAAAGATTTCAGAAGTCTATATAAAATTCTATTTTGATAGAATTTTATATAGACTTCTGACATCTTTGTTCAGTTTTTGATGGTGACAATGTTCAATAAGTCCCAGTAGTGTAAAGACTAGTTTTTAAGATTCAAGTGCAAATGCAAAGTCTAACTGTTGTAGCTTTAGGATGAGAAGAAGCCAAATTCAAGCCTACTCACTTAGACCTTCATACTCCAAAAGAAAGTTCTGTTTCCTTTCATAAACTGAACCATAAAATCTCAAAACAGAAAATGAATTGAAATTGCTGTTTCAAATTATTCTGATAGTGGCTTTTTGGACAAGTTGAACTTGTTGGAGCAGCTCAGTAGTAGGATCTCTTGAACAATGCCTGGGAACCAGATGCAAATTTTAGAGTTCCTTCCAAATTTAGGGAAAAAGAAAGTTTTTCATTCTCTTTGCTTAAAAGTTACCCATGGTTTCAATATTCTAAAGCTTAATATTATGCAATTTGCCTGCCTTTGGAAATTTTTTTTCTAAGAATTGGTGTAAATTCATCCAGAGACAAGCTGGTGAATTTTTTTGACAGACGTTTCCTGTGCAGTAGCAAGATATAGAATCAATGCAGATTTGATATCAACCATACCCTATTATTAACCATGCTAACCTTTGTAACTGTAAAAGAAGTAGGCAGTGAAGATTCATAATTGGCAGTGAAGAATTACTTAAGATAATGTTGTTTTATAGTTTCCTTGAATAACATAAAATATTTACATGCAAGCAACGCCACTATTTAACCACTTTACATTGCGCATGCGCAAATGGGTTTTGACCACGCCCCTTTTTGCCATTTACTTTTGGACCACACCTATTTGCGGCAGTCAAATTTTTCTTTAGATCCGCCCCTGTGTCGTGTCAAGTATCTTCCTAAATCTAGGTATTCTGAATGTAAATTGTCTTTGAAACTGTTTTGAAAGCGGCTTGGCCGGTTGTTTAGTTAACTGCTTGCAATGGAAAAGTGAATTTATTGAGGATGAATTTGATTCTTAAAAGGCCATGAGTTCGACGCTCTTGAAGTAAAAGTTGCTTAAAGAAACTCCAGTCAAACGGGGCTGATTTACTTAGAAGCTATCATTACACGAATTTTACACCGGTCCTTGAAAAATATCAGCTGTGAAACTACATTTTATTAGATACCTTTCAAAAGAATTAATTGGTATAAGCTCTAGTTCGTTGAAATAAACTTCAAATGTCACCAATTTTGCAAAGGATTCACTTTTATCCAAGGACATGACTGTATGGAATGTCTGTTGACAAGAAACAGTTTTATTTGGATTGGTTCTATATCGATGGAGGTCGCTACATTTGCCTCTGCTAATTTTCTTGATAGAACGACCATTTCTGCGTAACTTTCAAAATGACCAATTAAACACCCTAGGAGCCATTACAAGAATCCACTAAATTACATCTATTCTTTCTTTCTTCATTTGAGCAGAAGGTACAGGTGTTTCAGATGGACAAGCTCGGTAATTTTGTAAAGAACAATAAACATGCTGCCCAAACACAAAATAAATGTGTTGGCGTCGCGGCGTCGCGGCGTCGCGGCGTCGCTGTTCCCCGAAACACAATCATTATTTACTGAGCGGCAAGGATGAGGTTTTCACTATGAAATCAGCTTTGCTTCTCGTTCACCTGGATCGGAAACTAAAATTATCAAAAGACCCACGCCCAATGCGTACCTGGGCACATTTACCGTCCGTAGAAATTCTTGCAGGCAAAGCGCCTCGCTATAAAGTTTTATATTGATAGATGTTGGCCTTACCTTGATGCGGATCTTCATTGATCAGTGAAATTTTCTCTCTGTACATTGCTATTTCATTTCCAGATGTGTTTGCAAGTAAACTTGCAGCTGCGTGTAGTGGTGTAGTCGTAAAATTTTAGGAGGTTTAACACAAGTTTAACAGCGTTTTATCAGTTTTTTCTTCTGTGGTCTTGGAAAAAAAGCTCAAAATAGGCATTGTACACTAAGACACACTATTTCAATACTCGTCAAAAGTGTGCAATTTGACTAAGAACTCCTTACTTGCTGCCGGCTGCTGAATTCTACAACCCTAGTTTGAAAAAATCTGCAATTCTAGACCTTTGCAATCAACTAACAAACGCTCTTGGTAAAGAAACACCTTCTTGTACATTTGTATACTTTGCTAAGGCTTTTGACACGGTTGACCACAAAATTTTAACATATAAACTCGGTCACTATAGTATAAAAGGTCCTGCTTTAAATTGATTAAGGTCATACCTATAAAGTCGAATTCTACAAGTTTACATTAACGGCACTTTGTCTAAACCCCGAATTATAACACACGGATTACCCAAAAGTCCTCTTCTTTACATTAATGAGCTACCCTCTTGCTCCAGACTTCTTAGTTTTCATCTTTTTGCTGATGACACAGGCATCTTTTTTTCTCATACTAATGCGAAGGACCTTGAGTCAGGGATGTAAATTGGCAGATATTTGGGGAGGGGGAGTGAAGGGCCCAAAATTTCCGATTGACAAAGGTCAATTCTAATTTTGTATGAGGGCCTAAACTTTAATAGTTTTTTACCAACAAAACCTTATAAATTGTGTCGTAAATAATTATTCAGCTGTATGATAAAGTTTCTAGATTTCATAAATTTGGAAGATCGAGCATAAAAACTGTTAGTTTAATTAGTGCATCAAAACATACGTAGTCCAAAAATCAGATCGTAATTTAAGAAACATGAGGTCGTTTGGTCTTTCATCGGTCGATCTCGAACGGAGGAAGTTCTTGACAATCTTCGAGCGACTAAATGCTCTTTCATTCTTTGCTACTGATATATGAGTAGTAAGAGCTAACTTGTAAGTTCTTTAAGTCATGGGAAATGTACTGCGCTGTGTCACACTCTCCAGTATTTATGTGCCTGCCTTGACTTCATTGTAAATCAAGCTTTGTAGAATTTTGCTCGTTATCTTGGTATTTTTCAATTACAAATATATATCACAATTTGCTTTAACTTTAGTGTTCCTGTATTCATTGTGTCAACTATTCAATAAAAAGACACTGGTCCAGAAAACCTCTGGGCTTGTCTCAATCTCCTTGGCAAAATTTCAACCCTAAAATAAAACTTATCATTGTTAGTTATCATTCATATACATCAGAAAGTGTTATTAAAATTTGTTGCTGATGAAAAGAATTTGATTTGATTGATTTGATGAGGGGACAAAGGATGTTTACATGAAGCAATCTGAGGGCACTGCCTCGAGTTGACTTTGATGGGATGAATGGCGGCAAACGTGAAGCCAATGGAGTGGTTGGTCCCATTGACGATTAGGGTGCGAATGCTATGCCTGTGTGGAGAGATTTCTTGTTTATGGTAAGAATTTGTGCAAATTCTATGCAAAACTTTTGCAAATTTTCCTTTTCCGATTATAGATAGCAAATTTAACATTGATCTTACAGTTTGTTACTTGTGTGGGGCTGGTCCATGCCAGTATGGAAAGTATGGCATGGACCAGTACCACTCTTTTTTTGGAGTTTTGCACACTTAACCAATTTGGTTGAATTATTTTATTGTCATCACGCCAGAACACAAAGGTTGCAAGGTTGTTTGGGAACATCAAATTTACCCAGACTGCAGGGCATGGTTTTTCTTGATATTGTATGTGAAAGAGCAAATAAAAATGTTTGCATGTGCACAGGAGTTTTGGTCAAATATGTGCCGCAAGCTGTTAATGGGCAATTTGCAGCCTGATGATGGCTCTCACAATATGGCTATATGTGCAAAGAATTTATTTTACCCAGGGGCGGATATTTGCTTCAACTCGGTGAGGGATGGGCAACTGCCCCTAGTTGCCCCCCTTAAATCTGTCACTGTTTCTACCACATCACTTTGAATCATTTCCCAAAATTTTGACTTCAGATTATAGATTAGCTTGGGGCCACATTTTGTTTGGATACCTGAAATTGACTCTTTCGACCCCTTACACCTTGTACTTAGAGTTCCTTTTTTCATATCTTGCAGAAGCAATTTTCAACTGTCAGCATTTCTAAGTAGATTGCAACATGTGAGGATGTAACCCCCATAAGATTTCAATTACTTGGCTGAGTTTATTGCAATGCAGTCTGCAAAATGAGCTTTTGGAGTGAAATGTTAAGTATTCTATTATGATAAGCTGTCTCAAAAGACTTATCCCAATCTTTTTACTTGCACCTTATGAAAATCTTGCTTGTCATAGAAAATAACCAAAATCACAGAAGCAGGTCTAGAACCTTGTCAGTGATGCTTGGGCATTTCTCAGAAACTGTAGATTCCCAAAAAATCTTTATTTTCAAATTGACATCTAGTTAGCAACAGGCAACCCTCTTGACAAGCCCTTGCAGAACAGCACTTGACCAGGCCTTTTAATAAGAAAATCCCACATGAGTGGCCCAGTGCTGGCTTGATTTCTCTTGTGCAAGCGAAGGCTCCAGGTAAAGAAGGCCATTAAATCAATTTTCATTCCAAAATGAATAAATGCGCTTTCTAAATGTGTTTTCCTAATAAATGATTTCAGATGATCCATAATTTTAGAAAAAATTGTTTATAAACCAACTTTGGAAAGCAGTGTTTATAATGAAAGTCAATGATGCTAAAAGCGACTTTAATTTTTATAAAAACCTAAAGTATCCTTTAGGTACCTTGGTATAAGGTAACATCAAAGGAAAAAAAACTGTTAAAAAGTGATGTTTGATGCATTCAAAGAATGATTATGCAAAGATGATCCCCTACGATAACCATGTTGTACCAAACGTTTAAAGTTTCCAGGGCTAATGTAGTTCAAGTACTGCCTATGGTATCCCCAAACATTCATGGAGGATTTGATATTCAGTTGCATTTTCTGTCAAGATGTGGATAATTCACCTTGCTTATGTTTTCTATGTTTTGATATACAGGTTTTGTACCCTCTGTTTAACTTACTTTCAGAGGATGAGAAAGGATGATTTGATATGTTTATTGAAAAAACATCTATTCCTTACAATCTACTGTTTTGTGAGAGTGATCAAAGATCATGTGGTTGGGTTTGCACCAGTGCTGTTGTGATGGCCAGTGATCCCTCATGTCAAACAAAAATTCCTGCTTGACATACACAAATATGGTTTGTTTACAGTGATCAGAACTGACTTTTCTGTGCTTGATTGGTTGCTATCACATTACTTTGCTGGAGCATATTTACCAATCAGATTACATTTTGGTTTAAGACCATAGCAAGGAATGAGAAAACTTGTTATACCTTGACATTAAGAACAGGAGCCTTGGGATTGATGGCAAAGCTCATTGGCCTTTTTCGGTATACAACTGGGTATATATTTTCCATCTTGTTGTTATGGACCCTAATTCTGACATTTTATACTCTGAGGAGTGTCAGAAGAAAAAGGATTTATGTTAGTATGTTGTGAAATGTTTGCGTTTTTCATCAATGTTTTTTGTATCTGTCAACAGTTAAATATTTTTTGAAATTTATTAGAATTTGGATCATAAGAATTTAAGCAAAGCAACAAAAAAACTCAAAGTACATCAAAGATACAGTAAAAAGACAAAAATGGGGTTAATTTATTGAATGATACAATAAGATTAATAAGCATTTATAATATTTTTTTAATCTCAAGCATTCTTCCATTCTTGAAAAGTGTTTTCCTAAGTCGTGATGGTTCTGAGGAACAATATGTATAATCTGATGACATCAGCATCAAAGTTGTTCATTCTTCTCTTCAACAATGTCCTGACATCTTCTGGAATGTGTGAACATCGAAACCGTTCTCCTGTATTGACCTAATATCCTTGGCAGTGCATAACATGTCAAGCCAAAGACTCCAATAATCGAACAACTCGATATAAAACCAACGAAAGTGTGTAACTCCCCAACAAAACATCCAACAAATTCAAAACGATAACACCATCACAACTACAACTCAAACAATCGCAAAACTATTCACAAATCGAATCACAAAAACAATCAAACAGTAAGGGCTAACGGTTTAAGGGCACAGATGATGACTTTAACCAATTGTCACTTTATATGAGTTCGGACAGAACTGTTCAGTCATTATTTCATCTTTCATGGTCCGTTCTTTCAATATATTTGCTTCTGTAGATGATACATCCGTTGTCCTGAATTGAATACATTGGGGTTAAATATGGGTATGTACTGTGGATAGAAAGGGCTTTGTATTTGATGTACATAATAACCCGGCTCTCCAAGTCTCTTGAAATTGAACATTGCTCTTTGTCTTCTGTCTCGCTTTGGATAATCTCTTCCTTTTCGTTGACCTTGATCTACACTTGTATGGTCTTCTGTTATAGCTTTTCTCCTATATTAAATTGTTCTTCTTCACTTTCTCTCGTCGTTTCTTGAGCCTGTGTTTTATTTGACAGCTGTATCTGTGATTCTAGCTCTCTGACTTGGTTTTTGTGCTCTGTATGATTTCCTGTTTCTAGTACAAATCTTGAATGGTCACGATGCTCTAACTCTATCGCAGGAAAAGTCATCTCTACTTTCTGATGACAAACCCTCCAGATCTTTCGAGATTTGTCCATTGTCAAGCTTCTTCCGTTTTTTCTACATCTACATCTATTCATATAATCAGTAAAACCCAAACGGGCATCGCACTGATGAGGGCGGTTTCCTCGTACACAAGAGTCAGTAAAATATGTGTCATGGCCAAAGCAAGGACATGAGGCAAGTGAAAAAATTTGGACTTGAAAGAGACGGTCACCAAAATTGAAAGAGCGACTCTTGCGGACAATGGAAAGGCCCTATGCAGCACAAGACAGTGACATTTTAATAACACCTTTAATACCAGTACAACATACTGCTACTAAACATAAAGTCTAAATTATCTAAAGTAGAAAATCTTTTAATACACTGCTATTGTTTGCTAATCTTACATTTCTTGGAAGTGAATTCACATCTGTTATGGCCCTGGGAAGAAACGAGAAATTGTAGAAATCTTTTGATGCTGGAAGAGGTATAAATTTATTTGCATTGTTTGTTGTACTTCTCGTTTGACGGCTCTGTTCTCTCACATAAGATAGTATTTCGACTTCAACCGTATTATTCAAAATCTTGCTGAACATTGAAAGGCGTAAATATTTTCTTCTTGTTTCTAACGTAGGCCAGTCAAGCTCGTTTAATAATCCAGTCATTGATCCTTCCTCCCGTGAATAATTTTTGCTTACAAACCGAGCTGCTCGTCGTTGAATTTTTTCAATTTCATCCTTGTGTTTTTTCAATTAGGGGTCCAACACGATCGAGGCATACTCCAACTGAGGTCGTACCAACGTGTAGTAAGCAGCACTTTTCACATTTGAAGAGCACATATATAGGTTACGTTTGATGAAGCCAAGCGATCTGTTTGCCTTGGTAGTTACTCTTCTAACTTGGTTTTCCCACCTCAAATTCTTATCAATTTCAACACCTAAATATGTATGATGGCCCACATATTCTAGGTCTTCACCATTTAGCCGGTAGACGTATGTCTGATTGGATTTCTTCCCTACGATTCTTAATTGGTGGCATTTTGTTACATTAAAAGTCATGTTTCCATGTTTGTGCCCATTTTTCCAGTTTATATAAGTCATTTTGCAGTCGATCTTCATTACCCTGGTTTTTAATTTCATTATACAACAAACAGTCATCTGCAAATAAGCGAATTGAGGACTCAACGTTCTTGCTTATATCATTCACAAACAGCAGAAACAGTAGTGGTTCAAGCACTGTGCCTTGTGGAATGCCCGACTTCACTCTTACGGTTTCTGAGCTTTCCCCCTCTATAATCACCTTTTGGGTCCTAACCAACAGCCACGCTCTTATCCATCTCCCAACAGACGTTTCAACTCCAATACCGTAGTTTTCCAACTTCATAAGCAATCTATGGTGGGGAACAGTATCAAGGGCTTTGCTGAAGTCAAGGATAAGCATATCAACGACTTTCCCTTTGTCTCTACGACGAGCGATATCTTCCATCGTTAAAAGAAACTGTGTTTCACACGATCTTTTTTCACGAAAGCCATGTTCCTCGTTTATTAGGATTCCATGGTGTTCACAGTGCTCCATGAGGTGTTTAAAAATGATGTGTTCAAGAATCTTCCATGGTACTGAAGTTAGAGCAACAGACCGGTAGTTTACTGCCTCGTGCTTAGGTCCTTTGCCCCTGTGTATTTTATACAACAATACCTGTTTTTCAGATAGATGGTATTTCTCCTGAGACTAATGATCTTTCGAACAGGGACGCCTGCACCAGCTTAGGGCAGGAGGGGCAGTGTTGGTGCCGAGGGCAAATCGTGGAATTTTTCTACTAACATAATCGAATATTCCTAGGTGGGAGGGGGCAAGGGTGGGGTAACATAACAAAATATCAACTTGAATATGTGCCACCCATGGCTCTTACCATCAAAGATTCTAAACATAAAGAAAATGTTGAGGAAATTATCCATACATAAAAAAGGGTATTAAATGGCCTTGTCACTATACACAATATTTGGTTTTCTAAAAATCATGGCTGTTATAAATGGGCTGGTTGTAAAATTTTGATTGCCCGCCAAGTTTTTATACCGATTTATCCTCCTTAGGTTTCTGGAGTACTTCGGAGGGAACACGTCTTTTGTTTATCATCTATTATCTTTGTCGCTCTCCCTCTTGTGGCCGACCCTGTCACAGACGAACTTTTCATTCTCTGCGTTTTTGTGCTGGTGTTATCATTTTTCTAATATTTTCTAATACAGTAAATATTAACATAACGAGTGTAGTCAAAGTGGTCATCGATTATCGATAAGATTCTATAGTATTTTCTTATATTTCAGGGCACTTCTTGCCCCCTCTGCCCCTCTTCGAAGAGGGCAGGAGGGGCAGCTGCCCCTCCAGCCCCCCCTGTGTAGGCGCCCCTGCTTTCGAATATCACATTGAAAACTGGAGCAATCTCTGCACATGTTTCTTTTAGTACTCTTGTTGGCAGTTTGTCTGGGACATTTGCCTTTTTTCAGTCCAGATTGGAGAGTAACTTTTCTATTCCCTTGCATGTTATCTCCATTTGTTTGATGCTTTCAATAATTGATGATATAATTTCAGGTGCTTCACTTGTTGATTCTTCAGTGAAAATGGATTCATCATGTTGGCTTAATATTTCTGCCTTTCCCTTTGCATTTGTGACATCTTTGCCATTTTTATTTAAAGCAGGAACTCCAATGTTTTCTTTTTTCATCGATCTTACATAACGCCAAAACGTTTTAGAAACAGAAAATGTGCTAGGGATTTCTTCCTTTCGTTCTTTGAAATCTAGTAGGCTGAGGACATATTCATTGTGAGCATTTATTAATTTTTTTTATTTCCTTTGTTAAGTCTTTAAAATGTTTCCAGTCCGACTCCTTTTGTGTTCTTTTTGCTTTTTGATAGGCTCTCTGCTTTTTTCTTATTTGTCTCCTAATGCTATTGTTCATCCATGGTATATTCCATCGTTCAGATAATGCCTTCATTGGTATATGTTTTCGGATCGAATCGGAGAGTTTTTAGGTCAATGTTGACCACAAAGTTTCAACTGTCTTTGTTCTTGAATCTAGTTCAATTTCCTGCTGAATACTCTTTAGGTCTGCTTTTTTGCTGCCCATATCTCCTTTTTTATAAACATTTTGAGGCTTTTTCTTAGCAAGTGAGACTTTTATGTTGATTTCTGTGATAAATATTCTATGATCATTGATCCCTTCATGTGTTTCAATGCTTTTCACAAGGTCTGGGTTAGTAGTACAGACAATATCAAGCAATTCTGCTAATCCTGTTGGTTCTTTTACAACTTGTGTAAGATCATTTTCCTTTATGATGTCAATTACACTCTGATTCACGCCATGTCCATACTCTGGGTCTTTTTTGACTTCCATTTTTCCCCAGTCGTGCCGCGCCGTGAAGGGCGGACCACGCCGTGCCGCGCCGTGCCACGCAGAACTAGCAGCCTTTTGGTTCGACTGAGGTTCGACTGTGATTCACCTCCATTTTTTAAAGACAAAAAGTTGGTCGCGCCAAACTGTAGTGTCGCATGCGCATAACCACTTGAGTTCTTTGTCTGAGAAAACAAGATGGAAGAAGAAAGAAATGTCATTAAAGCACTCCTAAATTAAGTAATGTCATTAAAGCAATCCAAACGTAAATTAAGGCATTTTATATTGTTTCCAGCGAAAATTTTTTTGGCTTATTTCAACAGTGTGCTCAGTTTTTTAAATTCTTGATATAATGTAGTTTCGGGTCATAAAATGGTATTGGAACGTAAATTAAATCATTTGAGGCTATTCCGGAGAAAAATTTTTTTTAATAAAATCCATGATGTTATTAGATTTTTGCATATCTGCAGCCAGAGATTTTTTGAAAAATGACTTGCATCGATCTTCTTCTCAAAACGTAAGCTTGAATTCATCCAAAACACCTAATATAGTGTTGGGCAAGGCATTTGACGTTGTTTTGACCAAAAAAATTATATTCATGATTTATTTTTAGATTTTTTGCATATCTAGATTCAAAGATTTTCCGAAAAAATAACTAGGATCTTTTCTCAAAATATGAGCTTGAATTCGGTCCAAAACACCTAAAATGTGTCTTAAACGTAAATTAAAGCATTTGAGGTTGTTTTGAGCAAAAAAGATTCTTTTTTAAAATTGATGATTTTCTTCAGATGTTTTGCATATCTGTAGTCACAGATTTTTTCAAAATCTGAGCTTAAATTTCATCTGAAGCACATTAAATGATGTCAGGAAAGGCCTCTAAGGTTGCCTTGAGTGAATTTTTGTCTAAATCTCACAGTTTGCTCAGTTTTTTAAATTCTTTTATATCATGTAATTCAAAAAGGTCACCTAACTTTTTCTTTAACAAAAGTTTCCAAATTATGGCAAAATGGTAATTTTTCAATTTGATGTTGTCACTTAGAAAATATTCTTTATAAAAGGTTGACATTTTTTAGATTTTTTGCATATCCGAAGTCAGAAATTTAAAAAGAATGACTTCGTTGTTTTTCTCAAAATCTGAGCTTGAATTAATTCCGAATCACTTAAAATGATGTCAGGAAAGTAATAAAGGCCTTTTAGGTTGCTTTGAGTGAACTTTTTTTGTTTAAATTTCACAGTTTCTTTAGTTTTTTAAAATAGTTTATATCATGTAGATTTGAAATATCAACTTAACTTTTTCTTTCAGATATCATTTGGAATCTTTAATAAAAGCCTCCAAATAATGGCCAAAAGGTATTTTTTCAATTTTATGTTCTCTGTAAGAAAAATATCATTTATAAAAATTTTTTTTATGAAAAATGACTGTAATCTTTTTCAAAATGTTTGCTCTTGATTTAATCCAAAACACCTAAAGTGATGTCGGCAATGTAAATTAACGCATTTTAGGTTGTTTTGAGCGAGAACTTTTTTTTTTAAAATTGATCCGTTTTTTTTATTTTTTTGCATATCCAGACTCAGAGTATTTTGAAAAAAATATTTAGATCTTTTTGTCAAAAAGGTGGCTTACATTTTATCAAAAATACCAAGAATGGTGCGGTAACATAGACTAAGGCATTTAGAAGTTGTTTCAAGCAAAAAATATTTTAAAAATGCGAATTTTTTTTGGAAGTTTCATATTTTTGGAATTTCTTTCTGTTCCGGGGTTAAAAATTTTTTCAAAAATAAGTTGGTTCTTTTTTCAGAAATATAATCTAAAATTCATCAAAAACACTGCTAATGGTGCTCGGGACATATTTTTAAGTATTTCAGAAAAATTTAAGTAAAATTTTTTTGCAAAATTTTGATATTTCTGAAATTTTTTACAGGTCCGGGGTCACAAATTCTTTCAAAAATTACTTAGTTCTTTTTCCCAAAACATAACCAAAAAATGGTCCAAAGCACTTCTAATGATGTTTTGAATTTATTTTCAAACATCTAAGGTTGCTAGGAGTATTTTTGAAATTTTTAACATGTCTGGGGTCTGGATTTTTTTTCTTCTCGAAAATATGAACTAAAAACTCATCGAAAACATTGCTGATGCTGTTTGAAACCTATTGTCAAGCAATAAAGTTTGTTTCGACTGAATTTGAGCTTTGCAATATTTTTATATTTTTGAAATTGTTTTAATATCTGTTGTCAAAGTTTTTATATTGTCCATCATTTTTGTCTTTTAGATGAATCTTTCAAGCTCTCAAAAATCTGTTAGAATGACTGAAGGAAGGTATTTGAAAGTTTTTTTCTTCATTTCATGCCAAGAAGCTTTTTTGCAAAGTTTTCATATTTTAGCAATATTTAAAGGTCCCGGGTCACCAATTTATTCAAAAATGAGATAGTTCTTTTTTTCGGAAATATCAACTAAAGATTTATGGAGAAAACTGCTAATGGTCTTCCAAACATATTTGCAAGCATCATTTTTTCCAAAATGATCTAGAAATTCATCAAAATTACTTCTCATAGTGTTCTAAACGTTTTTCCAAGCATTTTAGGTTGTTTCCAGTGAAAAACTTTTTTTGCAAAATTTTCAGATTTTTGAAGTTTTTTCACAGGTCCGGGGTCATAGATTTTGTTAAAAATGACTTAGTTCTATTTTTCAAAAATGATCTAGAAATTCATCAAAATTACTTCTCATAGTGTTCTAAACGTTTTTCCAAGCATTTTAGGTTGTTTCCAGTGAAAAACTTTTTTTGCAAAATTTTCAGATTTTTGAAGTTTTTTCACAGGTCCGGGGTCATAGATTTTGTTAAAAAGGACTTAGTTCTATTTTTCAAAAATGATCTAGAAATTCATCAAAATTACTTCTCATAGTGTTCTAAACGTTTTTCCAAGCATTTTAGGTTGTTTCCAGTGAAAAACTTTTTTTGCAAAATTTTCAGATTTTTGAAGTTTTTTCACAGGTCCGGGGTCATAGATTTTGTGAAAAATGACTTAGTTCCTTTTTTTCAAAAATGATCTAGAAACTCATCGAAATCACTTCTTATAGTGTTCCAAACGTCTTTCCAAGCATTTTAGGTTGTTTCCAGTGAAAAACTTTTTTTGCAAAATTTTCAGATTTTTGAAGTTTTTTCACAGGTCCGGGATCATAGATTTTGTTAAAAATGACTTTGTTCTATTTTTCAAAAATGATCTAGAAATTCATCAAAATTACTTCTCATAGTGTTCTAAACGTTTTTCCAAGCATTTTAGGTTGTTTCCAGTGAAAAACTTTTTTTGCAAAATTTTCAGATTTTTTAAGTTTTTTCACAGGTTCGGGGTCATAGATTTTGTGAAAAATGACTTAGTTACTTTTTTTCAAAAATGATCTAGAAATTCATCGAAATCACTTCTTTCAGTGTTTCAAACCTTTTTTCAAGCATTTTAGGTTGTTTCCAGTGAAAAACTATTTTTGGAAAATTTTAAGATTTTTGAAGTTTTTTCACAGGTCCGGGGTCATAGATTTTGTGAAAAATGACTTGTTTCCTTTTTTCAAAAATGATCTAAAAATTCATCGAAATCACTTCTTTTAGTGTTTCAAACCTTTTTCCAAGCATTTTAGGTTGTTTCCAGTGAAAAACTATTTTTGCAAAATGTTCAGATTTTTTAAGTTTTTACACAGGTCCGGGGTCATAGATTTTTTGAAAAATGACTTAGTTTCTTTTTTCAAAAATGATCTAAAAATTCATCGAAATCACTTCTTATAGTGTTCCAAACGTTTTTCCAAGCATTTTAGTTTGTTTCCAGTGAAAAACTATTTTTGCAAAATTTTCAGATTTTTGAAGTTTTTTCACAGGTCCAGGGTCATAGATTTTGTGAAAAATGACTTAGTTCCTTTTTTTCAAAAATGATCTAGAAATTCATCGAAATCACTTCTTTTAGTGTTTGAAACCTTTTTTCAAGCATTTTAGGTTGTTTCCAGTGAAAAACTATTTTTGGAAAATGTTCAGATTTTTGAAGTTTATTCACTGGTCCGGGGTCATAGATTTTGTGAAAAATGACTTGTTTCCTTTTTTCAAAAATGATCTAAAAATTCATCGAAATCACTTCTTTTAATGTTTCAAACCTTTTTTCAAGCATTTTAGGTTGTTTCCAGTGAAAAACTATTTCTGCAAAATCTTCAGATTTTTGAAGTTTATTCACTGGTCCGAGGTCATAGATTTTGTGAAAAATGACTTGTTTCCTTTTTTCAAAAATGATTTAGAAATTCATCGAAATCACTTCTTATAGTGTTGCAAACGTTTTTCCAAGCATTTTAGGTTGTTTCCAGTGAAAAACTATTTTTGCAAAATTTTCAGGTTTTTGAAGTTTTTTCACAGGTCCGGGGTCATAGATTTTGTGAAAAATGACTTAGTTACTTTTTTTCAAAAATGATCTAGAAATTCATCGAAATCACTTCTTTCAGTGTTTCAAACCTTTTTTCAAGCATTTTAGGTTGTTTCCAGTGAAAAACTATTTTTGGAAAATTTTAAGATTTTTGAAGTTTTTTCACAGGTCCGGGGTCATAGATTTTGTGAAAAATGACTTGTTTCCTTTTTTCAAAAATGATCTAAAAATTCATCGAAATCACTTCTTTTAGTGTTTCAAACCTTTTTCCAAGCATTTTAGGTTGTTTCCAGTGAAAAACTATTTTTGCAAAATGTTCAGATTTTTTAAGTTTTTACACAGGTCCAGGGTCATAGATTTTGTGAAAAATGACTTAGTTCCTTTTTTTCAAAAATGATCTAGAAATTCATCGAAATCACTTCTTTTAGTGTTTGAAACCTTTTTTCAAGCATTTTAGGTTGTTTCCAGTGAAAAACTATTTTTGGAAAATGTTCAGATTTTTGAAGTTTATTCACTGGTCCGGGGTCATAGATTTTGTGAAAAATGACTTGTTTCCTTTTTTCAAAAATGATCTAAAAATTCATCGAAATCACTTCTTTTAATGTTTCAAACCTTTTTTCAAGCATTTTAGGTTGTTTCCAGTGAAAAACTATTTCTGCAAAATCTTCAGATTTTTGAAGTTTATTCACTGGTCCGAGGTCATAGATTTTGTGAAAAATGACTTCTTTCCTTTTTTCAAAAATGATTTAGAAATTCATCGAAATCACTTCTTATAGTGTTGCAAACGTTTTTCCAAGCATTTTAGGTTGTTTCCAGTGAAAAACTATTTTTGCAAAATTTTCAGGTTTTTGAAGTTTTTTCACAGGTCCGGGGTCATAGATTTTGTGAAAAATGACTTAGTTCCTTTTTTTCAAAAATGATCTAGAAATTCATCGAAATCACTTCCTTTAGTGTTTGAAACCTTTTTTCAAGCATTTTTAGGTTGTTCCAGTAAAAACTACTTTTGGAAAATTTACAGATTTGAAGTTTTTTCACAGGTCCGGGGTCATAGATTGGTGAAAAATGACTTAGTTTCTTTTTTTTCAAAAATGTCTAGAAATTCATGAAATCACTTCTATAGTGTTCCAAACGTTTTCCAAGCATTTTAGGTTGTTTCCAGTGAAAATATTTTTGCAAAATTTCAGATTTTTGAAGTTTTTCACATGGTCCGGGTCATAGATTTGGTGAAAAATGAATACTGTTCTTTTTTTCACAAATGATTAGAAATTCAATTTT